TGATAGCTATTATTTCGCCGGTATCATGTGAACGAGCGTTCGGTAATTCCATAAAACTAGAATAATATGCGGCGTAATGTATATTATGCATTATGTTATGGCGGATAACGAAACGTAGAAATGTGTTGACTTAACTTTTTATTCGAATATTATTATCATACAATACCTACAGGATACTCTTTGCAGTTGTTTATGGAACAAAATAATATTAAACGCATTGGTCTGGCTTCTCGTTCATTCGTGTAATAATAAAAATAAGGACGTGTAGGCGGCGGGTAACAAATAAAGACGTCTTTTTACGAATTTGTTTGGAAAGAGATTTATTTATTTTGGGATTGGTGCTTATGTTTCTTAAAAAGTAAAAAGTAATAGGTCCATTTCAGTAAAAAGGCCGATAAAATTAGAGCAATATCGGTTTAGGATTTATGCGTGAATTAAAAATGTTTATCCCTACGTGGAATTTTGATTTACGAGAATACAGGATTATTTCGGGCGACAGATCGATGCAGAAAAACTCCATAACTCTAGCTCAAAAAAATCGCATACCATTCCCAAAATCATTCCCATACGGAAATGTAATACAGTTAGGTAAGTTGTTTTCCGGACTGTTTTTCGAACAAAAAACTTGCGTGGTCGATTAATCGCGTTAAAAAATTACGTTAACATTTTTTATAGGCCGCCCAAAAAAATCCTCAGACTGCTAAAAAGCGTCGAAAGGCGAATCTACGCCCACCAATTCGTGCCTACTTCATTAATTATTGATTAAATAACAGGTGCACTAATAGCATCTAATTGAATCAGATTTAGACAGTGTGTAACGGTTGTGACATTGGAGTTTTTTTGACTGTGATCAATTATTTTCCGATGATATATTTTTGCTTTGAATAACTTATTTTTTAGCGTTTAGTAAGCTTATGCGTTAAAATTTGACATTTTTATAAGTGTTTTTAAAGAATGCTATAAGACAAATAAACTATTTTTGAGCCAAAATAATGAAATTATGTGTTTATGAAAATAGTTACCAATAAATCATCAATGAAATAAGATTTGATATCACAGGTGTGAATAAAAAAGTGCTAAATATGATATTACTTGGTACCTACTTTAATAGGTTTAAAATAGGTTTATTATTATTATTTATCGAAGTAGACATTGAACCAAGACAACCATCCTGTAAAAAAATCACATCACATCACATCCTCTCATCGGCTCAAATACCTCCCGATCGAACATTATTGAATAGAACACGCAAGATTTTTATTTTCAACATTCCATTTTTCTTTTTCCGCATCGTCGCTGATATAAAAGCGCCGCGGCGGAGTAAAAAGGAATGTTATTGCGTAAGATATTTCTAGTAAGATGACTATCAAAGGCAAACAGCTATATCGTGTTACAATATTACGTTAAATCGAGTTAAGTACGGGCTTTGTGTCATCCTATACGAGCCAAAGAGCCTCGAGTCCGGACCGTACGAACTCGTGAACTGCGATCGAAAAGGGCTCGTCCTCGGTCGACAAGTCACAGTATAGGGACACGCGACACCAACCGATGGTATGGAATAGTTCTCTGAACTGAACAGGTATTCAAACCGATTATTGGACTTTGAGCAAAAGACGGAATTGTTTAACGAAATCCAATCCTTATTGAAATTCGATTTCAAATTTAATTTAACCTCTACCCCTGTTACAATACAATGTCAATTATAACTAGCTACTCAGTAAGTAAATATCTTAATGCTTGATGGGATCGATACACAATGTCTAATTACTCCTACTAGGTAATTATCATTATCCTTTATGGGCTGTTGGGAGATTCCTAATATAGGAATATGTGCGTACATCCCACTTTCTTTTCTGGTGTGCCGGATTTTTTGTGCCTAGTACGGGCGCGTACCGAAGACAAGCCATTTATTACGGCGATTTTCACAAAAGTATCTTTTGATGAATTTTATTAACAATGCTCGCATTATGGGAAGTGTGGCGGGCGTGAAAATCGACGATTATCGAATATAATTGGGGTTGATAGGTAATAACTAATCGTAGTCGTTAGTTTCCGTTGCATTCATTAATATAATTTGGGACGGGTAAACGTTCAAGAATTATAAGGGCCGGCGATTTTGTGTGCTAATTCATTTTAACCAGCGCTATTTCGCTAATGCAACTGTTAAATTCGACAGGTCGAAATGTTTTTTAATAAACGCATAACAATGAATCCAGAAATCAATGATATTACTAAATAATAGGTCCGTAATATTCACATATCAAGTGAAACTATTATAAAGCGAATAGGTATACAAAATTTTCTAGTAACAGGATATCAAGGGATGTCCTGTGATATATTCGTTAATCCTTGTAATACATTTTGAGTGTAAAAAACCAAATGTAAGGAATATTAATCACTTAAACGTATTAAAGCTCGGTTTGTATTAGATTTATGACGATTACCAGAATTACAGTAGAATTTAATTTCGATCGTTTTTCATTTCGGTAAAACACGATTTTATATTTAGATAAAAATATTGTAGGTAAATAAATTTAGAATATTCGTGTCTAAAATTAATTTTTTATTTAGTTGTATTGCTGAAAATACCGTCAACACTTAAGCTATCCACTAAATCAAGCTATTTCTAGACAAACGCATTTTATTTGTATTTCGTGCTCTTATCTGCCGCCACTGTAATAAATTATTTTCCGTACGTTTTTTTATTAAATTAATAACTATTTTAAAATTTGACAGTAGTAGTAAATGTATTATATCGTCACTCAAGCGCTTGTATGTAAATTAAAACGATAATAATTTTATTCCTTTCCATTTAAATTTTATATAATTCCAGCACGGCAATACTTGTGATGTGCTGTTTTATATCATCGCGTTTATTTGCATATAAGAAAATTGCTTTAGCATTGCACTATTCATGGAAACAATAAACCGTTTAAATTATTGATTATAACTGTCAGGAGTCAATTGGTGGAACGTGGAAGTCAAAACGGGCTAATGACTTTGTTATTGAGACATTCGTCCCATTTAAATTTAAATATATCAAATGATTGCATTAATGGCTTCTTAAGAAATAGTATAAATTTTAAAGCGGCAACGCTCTAGGCGACGGCCGAGCGGCTAATTAATCCATTTTTGGTCGATTTGGAGTCCGGCGGGGCCCGACCTACGTGTCACCAAGAAACGCATCGAGAACGAATCTTCGCGGCCCCTCCGGGGACCGGGCAAATGTTAGGCGCGACAAACTCAATTACACTAAACCACCACGTGTCCGAGTCGAGCAACCTTTGAACTGACTCGGCCAATTCCTTTACAAACTCCCTCATGAATTTGTTTCTCTTGCCGCGTCCTGTGGCAGCGTTTCCTTCTCGCCAATATCCTTTCGGGCGGATGGTGGAAATAAAACCGCGATCCAACACACAACACGATGGATAGATAATATAATACCCTTTAGGTCGCGTGTGATGTGTTTTTATTCGATTTGAGACGTCGGAACGATCTTTCTTTGATGATGGCCGTAATGAGATACAACGGAGCGAAACTTACCTCGAACCCGGCGAAAATAAACAAGATTATTTTCATTTCGTTATAAATTATTAAAAAACTCGATTTATATTCGGTTTTTTTTTCTAGTCGAATATTCTAGCTGTTTGTAGTAAAACTTAAAATTTATAAAATCACTAAAAATGTTATGATTTTTAATCAATTTTCTAACAGGTAGGAAAGTATGGAAGCGCTTAAATGTGGTTTAATTAGCGAAACCCAAGTGAACTCTGTACTAACTTACAATAGAAAATATTAAAACATACTTCAAAATTAAAAAAATATGAATTCATAAACTAACTACTACTTTAGTAAATATTTTAATATAATAAACTTTTTTATATGTATACTATACATATAAAATCCAGCCCCTTGTATTACAGCTAATTGTTATAGTATGAAAATATTAACTATTCATTATTCAGATTTTAGCGTTTCGACTCGCTAATAATCCGTTTCGCATTTTCCTCGATTTTTTCGTTTTCTTATTTTCGAGGAAAACTTTTCCGCAACAGGATTTCTGGCTTTCATTAAAATAGAACCGATGGGGATTTTTACCGGTCTAGGTGAATTCGTAACGAACAAAAAAACTTTGTAAACTTTAATCCATTATAAATTTTTGCATTCCTACCTATCCATGAAATTACTTTATCGAAGCGCCTAAAGTCGCTAAAATTATTAACACATAAACTTATCAACACTTTTAATAATACCTATAAATACCGTTGACACTGTTTTCAACATCGTAAATAAAATCGCAAAAGCTTCCTATTTTTACAAAAAAAAATCGCGAGGGGAAATTGAATGGAATGAGGTTAAATGAATAAAAATGACAATTAAAAATCCCGAGGAAAAGAAAATTTCAATTAGCCGTTTTCGGGGCGCGTGCCCTGCCCGGGTTCATAACCTTTAAGTAAAAATTGAAAGGTGGGCGGCGACGATACTAAACCCAAGCGCAAATAGATCGAGAAAATCCAAGAAATTCGTCGAGGTTCCGCGAAAAAGCAGAAAAGCCGCGGCCATTATGCTAATGAACGACAATATGATGATCCGTGTCGCCTGGCGATATTCCCTTTAACTTTTGTATCGTGGAAACTCTTGTCATTTTTTACGCAGGCATTATGAATGTCACAGTGCTGAACGTAAATATATTTTATTGGGGTTAGCTCCACGAAAGCGGTCTCTCATTATTTCGTGTTTAATAGCCGTTATGTATTGGGTAATGATTTCGTAATGAAACAACTCGATGTGCACGGTTGCATTAAAATTATAAATTCCCTTTTTTGCCATTCCTTTACATCGAAAATTCAGCTAATAAAATTATTATGCAAAACGTACTTTTACTTTAGGTGTGCAGTTTGCTGCCGCCCTACAAAAATTTATAATTAATCTACCGACAATTTGGTGTACATTTTGGTTAATTAATCGAATGGATTTGTTGATTTTTTGCGTCTTTTCAGAACAACAAAGATGTCCCGCGGGAGAATTCAGTTGTGGGCCGGGAGACGCATGTATTCCCGATTATTTGCGTTGTAATGGAAACCGGGAGTGCAGAAACGGCGCCGATGAAGAAAACTGTCGATCAGGTATGTTACAGGGAATAGCATTTAGTATATTTCTGCAGAATCAAGTACTTGAAGTTTATAATATTTCCTTGAGAATCTACTTACAGAAATTTTTTCACTTATTTTCATCCCGTATTTTATTTTTTTTATTTAAATTAAAGCAAACTGTTAAGACAAGTTTCCTGCAATCACAATTAAAGATTCTCAAACTCGCTGTACATATTATTTTGTAAATATTGTAAATTGCAGAACTTCAAGTTACTTAGATATCTTAAGATACTTTGTAAAAAATGTAATTATTTTTTATTCGTTTGAATAGCTTAATATTGCCTGGCTTGGATTTTTTAAGTGCATCTTGATCAGCATTTTGGAAATGAATTTTTGATTTTCTTAAATATTTTGCACAAACATTTCAATGACTGCTTGATTATGAAAGCTTTTAACTTTTTCTCTTAGAAGAATAGTTATTGCGAGCTTTTTTGTGACGCGCAATTTCTAGCTTTCCTTATTTAGTTTAGAATGATGTCTTGAACTTTAATTTCAACAACTAATTTTATAAATTGCAAAATATTAATTTTTATTCAAAAACCATTCAAGACATCTAATTTTGATGACTTGGTAAAAATACAAAGGTATTAACACTAATATACATACACCAAAAACAACAAACATAACATAGTTTAAATTTTGAAAAAATCCTACTTGCATGTATTATTTTCACGAATTGTTAAACAGCCGAATGTCGAACGGACGAATTCCGGTGCGGAAACGGCCAGTGCATACCGAAAGAAAACGTTTGCGATCGAATTTACCAATGCGAAGATCTTAGTGACGAACGAAATTGTCGTAAGTGTTACCTGTATCATCAATGTCTTCTTCTGCTCTCACTATATCAAGTGTTTTTCGAGCGACGTTCCTTCTTCGATACATTCGATCTTCATTCTCGTATGAAATAGTTTCTCTCTTGTTATGAGATTATAATGCGCTTTTCATGTTGTTTTTTCTATTAGTACCGATGATATGTCGAATTGTTGTTTGATACAGGAGTTGCTGAAAAGTTTCGTGTTCTTATAAAAGTTTATTAGGTTCATTCATTCTTCATTACATTATGTGTAAAGTGTACAAAAAAGTGATTGAAGAGTTAATTATCTATTTAAGTAATTTTGAACCCACAATTATGAACCCAAAAGACTATTATTATCTTTTCGATTTATTGTCCAACATCTTAATGAAAGCAGAAATAATTTATCATCCAGTTTCTTTTACAGAAAAATGTAAATCTAGTTTGTTCATTATAAGATTTTAAATTACCTACTCTCATTTATTTATGCAGTACTAAATTCGAACCAAACTTTTCAGCATCCTTTAATAATTAAATATACCTACCTGTAAGTAGTTTATTACAACATCGGTGCGCCATTTTCCTAATATGCACGTACATCGACAAGATTTTTTTTTCTATTTTATTCATGGGTCGCTTTTATGTGTCTTCTTACTGCCACGTATTTAATTAATACTATTATACCATTGTCCTATCTAACAAACGATCCGATACTATGGAAATCGATCTATTTACTATGGAATTGTTTCTAATACTCTCACATCCTGTTCTAAACTCATCGAATTCGGATTCGCCTCTACCAAAAAAGTAGTGAATGTTTATTTGCAGCCTGTTTGCCGGACGATTTCCGTTGCCAAAATGGATATTGTATCCCGAAATCTCAAAGGTGCGATGGCGTGCACCATTGTCAGGACGGTACTGACGAAGTAGGATGTAACAAAAGTATGCTTTTACTTGCTTTTATTATTTTTTATAATCAGTAATTTAGTGACATAGATATAGTATAGAAGCAAAATAAGTTTGTTGAGAGACTAATTTATTATACTATGTAGGAAATAATACCACACCTAACATTACTACAAAGTTATCTACTACATGAACAATACACAAAAATAATGATTTATTCATAAAATAAGGTCGGGATCGGAATGTTTATGTATATAGGATGTTTCATTCGTAAAAGCTTTAATTGTAGGTGGGGCTCATAAGTAATTTACAATTAAAGTTTGTACGTTCATTTGAAAATGAAACGCCCTGTATAAATAACAAAAAAATTTGCAGTCGTTAACCAAATAGTTTTCATAGGTTGTAATCAAACAGTTATAGTATTTTGTATATACACGGAATGACGGTGATGGTTACATAAAATTGGTGAAGGTTATGGTGTTGGTTAAATATTTGCGAAAATAAAATTATGACACGCATTATCGTAACACAATATTTGATGTGATTTAATTAGGTCGATTAATTAAAAAAAATCATGAAAATTTTAATACAAAAATCAATTCCCTGTTTTCTAAAAAAAAACGTTCGTTTTGGTGCATTTATAGTTAACAAATATCGTATTTAAGAGAGTATTTAATCTTCAATCGAAATTCACCAAAATGCACGTGGATATAGAAAACCGGTAATTACAAGTAAATTCCCTCTAAACACACACGTAATTTTCCAACAGCGACATGTCAAGCGCACGAATGGCGGTGCGATGATGGTACTTGCATCGATCAAATTTACCGTTGTAACCTAAAGCTGGAGTGTCCGGATAGATCCGATGAAATTGGATGCAATGAGTGCGCGCTTGATCAGTTTAGGTGTAGTGACGGAACTTGTTTGAATATAAACAAGGTCTGTGATCACGTATCCGATTGTCCACACTCTGAGGACGAAGAAAGTTGTGGTTAGTTTTTCCTTTTAGATGTATTTTTCCGTATCCTCTGTAACTTTTATCGTTATTCGATTTTCTGCTAGTCCTTCTTAGATTCGTTTATTGTTGTAGTTATCCTTGCAGGAATCGTTTATGTGGTGTATTCGTGATTTAGTCGATTGTTTATTAATTTTATTGTTCAGTGCAATTCGATCATAGAATTGCCTTGAATGCTGTTAATTTTTCAAATTCAATCACGAGACGCGACATTGAAGCAATCCTTCCTATTGTAGACGATTTGTCTGAAACGTGTCTCTATTTGTTACTTTTTTCATGCACACCCTTCAGTTTCTTGCAAACCAGGCGAATACCAGTGCGAAAATGGACAATGCATTCAGGAAAGTTTTCGTTGCAATGGCTTAGTCGATTGTGCCGATCTTTCTGACGAAAAAAATTGCATTAACGGTAAGAAAAGTAAAAATTTCGTTCGTCTTCTTCTTTTTCTTCTCGTAGTTTTCGTTTCTCTTGAAAACAAACTGTCTGTTATCTCAAGTTCTCGATTAGGTAGTTTCCCAATTTCATATACAGGGTGATGTTAAATTAATGATATTTAAATATATCAATTTGAAATGAAATGAGAAAAAGGAATATATGAAGAATATAAAAAAACACTCATCTGGCATGTCATCCTGTATACGAATTGTATCTTTAAAATTTACGATGTTCTATAGTTATATCCGTTTTTCCGTAATATCTTTCTTTATTTTCTACTCGTTTACTCGTAACGTCTCTGTGTCTCTATAAATTTTCTTTAATTTTACAAAAATTTTCTATAGAAGACACCTAATTAAAAAACTTAAATACTTACTTCTTAATCAATTCAAAGCAAATTAAATAAACTGAATAAAATATGAGAATAAGTGTTTTTTCAAATGTTTAAAGAAATATTTCAATTATCCAATGTTTCACTTAAATACACATTGAAATATCATTGAAAAAGCATTTATTATAAATCAATGAAACACAAAGCAATTGCACTAAAACCGTTTTTTGCACATAATACAAACGAACTAATCGCATGTGATTGCCATAACCATTCCACCAGGAAGGCCCATAATCTGTCAACCTAATGCATGGAAATGTCAGGATAAGTTGAAATGTATAAAAATGAACAAACTTTGCGATGGGGTGATTGATTGCGAAGATCATAGCGACGAAAAATATTGCACAAATGGAACTAAATCGGCATATACACCCGAAGTAGTTGTTATTACGGCATCAGGTAAATTAATTGAAAAATTGGGAAAAATTACGTGTTTGTCCGTATAACAAATTTTGTAAATGATCAATCAATTTTATGTATTTATACAAGGGGTGATTTTTTGCATTGCTTCAGTTCGATGAGTTATTTAAATTTGATAGTTTAGAGAGAAATCTTGTCATACTTTTGCAAACATCTTACTGGTATCTGGCAAAATCACCACCTTATTGTTTTTAATAATTTTTAAATAATTCTAAATCTTCTTTCTCATCTGAACTATCTATTGCAAGACAAACTTGTCCTTAAGCATTTAAATTTATTTATTATATTTCTTTGGGGATATTCGTGGAACATCATTCGGTTATTAATTTTTAATAACGAAAATATAATTTAAGAGTGAATGCTGAGATTGAGTGTTATTATATTGATTACCACTAACTTCTTTTGAATTATCTTGTTTTATGATAAAAACTAACAATACACAAAGAATGCAAAGTGCACTGAATGCGATTGAGAAATTAGAAACTAACTATTTTTTTTTATTTTCCATTCACGAATTGTTACTTTTCCAATCAATCAATCAGAAATCTTTCAACAATAAATACCTATTGGTACTTCATGAATTAATAGAAAAGCAACAATTCCACGATTTTTTTTTATTTTCGAATTTTTTGTCAGTACGAAGTGTTTTGCATTAGGTCCACGATGTCGTTCGGATGAATTCGAATGCAGTGAAGGTTTTTGTATAGAATCGTACAAACAGTGTAACGGTTATCAAGACTGTCCCGATGGCAGTGACGAAGATAATTGTATAAATCCGAACCCGACATATTCACCATACCCCGGTATGTGTTTTTTGAAAGTTGAGATTTTACTAATAGCGTATGCAATAGTGTCTGATGAGTTACTGGGAGTACCTATGCAAGTTTTGTATAATCGGAATGATTGGGGAGATATTAACATTGTTGAAAAAAATAGGTGGAATGATGTTAACCGAAAAATACTCCTTTCTCTACACCAAAAAGAGTTTGTAGTATCGTTTACAATTAACGGGGGACTTTTTTCTAGTCTTTAATTGTGATTAATGAACATTTTTCATGCATTGAACGACCGTACATACAGACTGATTCTGTGTTAATCATAACAAAGGTGGATAATTTGCGTATTTACTTATTTACAAACATACCTTCGATTACACCCGACCTATTATACTAACAAATCGATTTGTAAACGAATATTTCCGCTTCTGTTAACTAACACCGCTTTTCTATATCACTGTTGCTTTTCTCACCGCACAGAAACGGCTTGCACTGCTAACGAATTTCACTGCGATGATGGAATGTGCATCGATGTCTCCTATCGCTGCGACAGTATTAACGACTGCATTGACAAATCCGACGAAAGTCGGTGCGATTTGGAAGGTGGGTATTTGTAGCCAGATTAGCCAGTTGTTATATTATATCTGGAATTACCTACATATTTCCGTGTAAAATTGTGTTCTGTTCAACACTCTGATGATTTGTTAACTCAAATTAACAATTACTGTGTAGTGTTAAATTGGTGCTACGCTAAGTGGAATTGAGTGATGTATATTTAGTATTTTTTTTACCAAAAAATGATGGTAAATTCCTTTTGCCGCAATGGAACTTTACAACTCAATTTTACCTAGTTTAGTAGTAGTTTTATAATAGTCTCTTAGTTTCCAAACAAGTATACCATTTGCATATATCTCAAAATATACTCGTTTCCACACCATCAGAGAAAACTTTTATATATGTATAACAACGCATCATTAAAAACCTTCATTCGTCTTTAAATCGAAAGATACCTTCTAAATCTCCCAAATTTCACTGCATAAAACAAATCATCATACCAGCATCCGTAGCGGTCTCGTTGTCTTGTCCGTTCGAAGTTGTAACGAAAATTTCTTCTCTAACTAGCGGCTTGCCGGCCGGACGAGGTGCAATGTAACGACGGCCGGTGCGTTTTGGGCAAAAAATGCGATCGCGTGCTCGATTGTTACGATCGCTCCGACGAATTGCACTGCGAAGGTACCTGCGACATATCGGAGTTCAAGTGTGAGGACGGCACCTGCATAGACGAAAGGCTGCGTTGCGACGGCCTGGCCGATTGTCCTGACAAATCCGACGAAAGAAACTGCGGTACGTCGAGGTGTTTGGTTGCTTGCTTGAGAATCGCCGATTTTGGCGCGTAGTTTAATCCGATTAGATTTCTCCGAAGTCGTAGAATCTTCCAGAGGAAGCCGAGTGTTTCTTACTAATGTTTTTTAATGCTTCGATAATCCATAGTTTTCGATTAGATTAGGTTAACGTACTAAATAGCGGTTGCGGTGGAGTTTGGATTGCAAACAGCATGCCTGTAGTTGCGACGATTGCGGTACCTAAATTATTTATTAAGTCGAATTTTTACATACAGAACGTAGTTGCCCGAACGGTGGGTTCCGATGCGAGAATGGTATTTGCCTGGATGGCAGGAGGAAGTGCGATGGTTATCCAGATTGTCCTAACGGCACAGACGAGCAGGGTTGTTCGAATTCCCCGAACGTTACCAGTAGGTTGTCTTTTTCAAGCAAAAACTCTGTGCTATATCTTTATAATACTCGACTATTCTTCATGCTGGAGTAGAAAATTCTCCTTCGAGACTAGCAGGATGGTTTTTTTAACATATTAGTTGCGTTACCAATACATAATACTACATTACACTAACATTTCCGTGTTTCTGGTATGTTAATTTCATTAAATCGACAGTGAAGGAACGCGAATTTTAATTGCTCAATTGATGTTCGACAAATCATTGAGGCAAATAAAATTTTAAATCCCGTACTGTCAGGGTATTAATATTAATTTTAATTAATTAACAATGTTTATTTATAAAATTTAAACGACACATAACATGCTTTAGCCGGTGTAAATATCGCTATTTTTTTTTTCGAACGAATCTAGCACGAATATTAACGTTAAATTCTATTTTTTCATTTGGTATTTATTCACCTTATTACTTAGCGTGCGCCAGCGATGAATTCGATTGCGGAGATAGATGCATAAATAGCGAATATCGTTGCGATACAGTCGAAGATTGTGACAATGGCAGAGACGAAGAGAATTGCGGTAAGTCAGCTTAATGGGTGAGGACGCTTCCTATACAAATTAAAGCTTTCTTAACGCCGCTATGCCGTAGATTTTGATTATAATCGAATAAATTAACTAGATAGGTGCTCGATACAAGTTTATTCGATTATTCGATAACGCCACACGTTTAATTATACGAATTTAACGATCTCATTATTTCAGGATCCACTCAGCCCGGTTCGTTATGTTTTTTGGTCGATTGCTAATTCCGATTCGTTTACAGGTAATTGCCAAGAGAACGAATTCCAATGCGGGAGCGACCAGAAGTGCATAAGCATCGATAAAAAATGCGACGGCAACTCGGACTGCTCGGACGATTCGGACGAATTCGATTGCCCGAGACAGAGGTGTTCTTCCAATCAATTCACCTGTGATGACGGCACTTGCATCGAAGCATTCAGGCAATGCGACGGGCGTCCAGATTGTCGGGATTCTTCCGACGAGGCAGACTGTCGTAAGTAATGATTCTTTTCTCCTTTTGATGTATTAATTTAGGTGAATCAGGAGAGGTTGTTGAAGATTTTTATTAACCACTGTGGATTTATATTGAATTATTAAATGGTTGTTTTATGTTCTTCTTGGAGAGAAATAAGGAAGCCTCAAAGAATTCCACTTAAAAGCCAAGAAGCCTTTAGTAAGTTGAAACTACAAAGCAAAGTTTTGATTCAATAGAAACTGAATAATGAACGCTTTTCCTTTTTTATTTCGCTATAATAAATGTTCGATAATAATCCACAGGTAAACTTGCTATTAAACTGTACAACAATAGCGTCGAATCGAGTAATTTTTTAATCAATTTTTGCCTAAATTTGATTAAAGAAATGATAAAATTGAACTGTTGTTTTGTGGCCTTTTTGGCCAGGGAGTTGCACCGAGCCTGAGTGGTTTCAATGCCGCGACGGAGCCTGCATCAAGGTGGCGATGCGCTGCGACAATTTTTATGACTGCAAGGATTTTTCAGACGAGCAAAACTGTGTCGGTTAGAAACGTTTTCACTTTATCGTGCTACTGAATTTTTTTAGGTGTTTTTTATATTATATGTGTCAGTTTTTTTTTAGGTAGCTAATAGGTGAAAGGTATCGTAGTTTCGTTAGAAGTTTTCGAAATGTTCAGTTGCGATTTTTGTCTAATTTCAATTCAGATTGTGAGAATAAAATTCGATAACTTCCTAACTAAAATATAGAGTAAAAATACCCGTAGGTCGACAATGAAATTTACCAATCTTATTTTACGTAGGTTTTATAAATTACGTTAAATTTAGTTATATTATTTCAACAGTTCTGTGCTCATTATGCGCTTCGATTTTTTGCATGGTTTAATTAATTTTTGTTTATCTAATTTGTAGAGAAAATTACAATTAAACCACTCTCAAATAATTAAACACAAATTCGCGTCGTAATCGCATTAAAATACTCGACTAATTCGGATAATGTTACGGTAAACCCGCGGAACAAAATAAATAAAGTTATTGAAGTTTAAAAAGCAAAATATTGAAAATCAAACCTATATTTAATAGCAAACTAATTATGTAATTTTAATGAAAACGACGACCAGGAATAAATCTCCAACGTATTTTTAATACGTAAACATATCTTTTTATGAAGAGAAATAGAAAATGTTAATATTCAAATTTCTTAACATCTACCTACTCTACAAACTTACTATTATTTACATTAACTTTTACCTATTTTTATGATTTATTTAAAATTAATTTAACTATTTCTTTTATGCACCGTGATTTTTATATTATCGGCATGACATTTTCCTGCACCCTTTTCATTTGATTTAATTTATTGTATTTTTTTTTCAGTTATGATTTAGTTTTTTTTTATTTTGTAGCTACTTGTCCGAGTGGTTATTACCAATGTTTAGATAATTTCAACTGTATACCCTTAAGATTGCGATGTAACGGAAGGAATGATTGTTCAGACGGTTCTGACGAATATAATTGCCCCACTGAACCACCTACCACTGTTTCCCCAGAAACGACGCAGCGTAGCATATCCTGCCCCGACGGCTACCAGCCCTGCAGGTCCAGGGACCAGTGCGTCCGATTAGACCAGCTCTGCGACGGGAGAGGCGATTGTTATGATTTATCTGACGAGACCAATTGCTGTAAGTGTTTCCTTTTTACTAATAAATCTCCATCGTACCTCTATTGACACTTAAATCTTGGAATAAATCATCATAACGATATTATCATCCCGATTGTAAAGGGCATTCAATCAAACGGGTAAAATATTAGTTTTTCTTGAATTGTACACTGTTCTTGTAGTCTTTTCACTAGGATTATCGGATTCCCGTTTGAGTTCGTTTTAAATTATATATTTAGGTGCATATAGTAGGGTTACGTTGTAGTGAAATGAATATTTCGCATGGTATTTGCATTGTAAGATGCAGCAGAGCGGAGGGTATTGGAATATATATTACCAATTAAATGCCTTATTTAAACATCTTAATTAATTAGGTGCTTTTACGATCCAATAAGTTTGATCTAACGCTTTACAGATAGTGTTGATTATGCTTAAATATTATTTAATTTTTCAGATTCTACCAAAGATGGACTTGATTTGAAAACATACCCTACTGCTACTGAAGAAACTGAACGTAAGTAATAATATTTCTAAAGTATTTTACATTACTTTAATTATTTTTTTTTCAATTGTACTTTTTATTTCCCACCTCAGTCCTTTTCCTCATAGATTTTCTCTTATATATTCTCCATTTTTCTCATTTCATACTTGATTATATTTGTATTTATCTTGTCAGTATTAATCTATTTTGTTTTTTAATTCACTGCACAGATGCGTATAAAACTGGTGAGTAAAAAGGCAGCCTCGTGTGATGATTACTTGAGCATTCATTCATTTTTCTCATTATCTACAAAAATTTCTTAACCTAAATTCGATCCACGAACACTTGTTACACTGAATTTAAATTTAATTTTCGAGTGAAACGCTGAAACCGATAGAATAAAAATACAACAATCCTCAACAATGGACTAATTTAATTACCAACAAATGGAATTTTGTTAAATTACCTACGTTGTGATTGTCGTAGAAAAAAAGTTGATCGCTTCGAAATAATTATTTCCTTACGAAACAACATAAATAAATGTATATAAAACACAATTATATACCGACACGTTGAACTATCATTTAATTTAGTCGCTGCTATGGTTTGAAAAATATTGTATTCATCTCAATTTTCCTTCAACATAACAAATTTACAATCCCATTGCTCGTTGGATTTTTTACTTATTCTGTAAATAATCGACGCTTTCTTACACTCGGCGGAATAATCAATCGAAGTGTTCGCTTCGACCAATTGGAATTGCGACCCAACCAAAATTTACCTTCCACCGAAATTAGGTAGAATTGGTTTGCAGTTCCGATAGCTGCATTTTGCATGATCAAGCACACCCTTACCGCTCGTTATAATTTATTTGTACGTAATCTAGGGCAAGAAGTAGTGCTCATGTGCAGAGATGAAGGCCCCATCAGAGCGCGAGTCCATTGGGAAAGAGCCAACGGAGCGGAGTTGCCCTTCAACACCACAGACATCCGCGGAAGACTTACCATGCCCAACGTCCAGTTACACCACTCCGGTACATACTATTGCGTCGCCAATGATTATCCACCCAATACCCCAGGAGCTAGAGTAGCAGTACCAGTTACAATCATCAGAAGTAAGTACTTGGGGATGTTTGTTGAATGAAGAAATGGTTTGTTTTACTATTATGCAGCTCGCTATGGAGTTAAATTGTATCCATCGCAATCGAAATTTGGTATATTACCACCCATACATACAAATTACCGCGGAACAGGTATACAATTCAGTAGCTTAATATTGCTCTGTAATTTATATGAGTTGTGTTTTTTATTTACGCTTTCCGTAATCGCGCGGTAAGTTTTTAACTCTCTTCCAATAAAACGACTTGATTACAATTAAATTTTATAAATCTAATTAATCGAAATATTTCAGAAACTCCATCACCGACGCCTCTACCGCCCTCAGTATGCAGGGTAGACGAAGCGACCTGCTCGAACGGCGAATGCATTCCGAGGTCGAAAGTTCGCGACGGGAAATTCGACTGTTCCGACGGAACCGACGAGGACGGCTACCGTAAGTTCCCGCAACCATTAGTTTGCATCGTTCCATTGTAAACCTTTCTGTCGCAGGACCGGACGGCTGCGAGCCCAACGAATTCGAATGCCGCAACAAGAAGTGCGTGCTGAAGACGTGGAGGTGCGACTCCGACGACGATTGCGGCGACGGAACAGACGAGGAGAATTGCGGCACCAGCGCCCCGTTCTCCGTGTGCCAGTACCACCAGTTCGCCTGCCATTCCAACAACCAGTGCATACCGAAGAGCTACCACTGCGACATGCAGAGCGACTGCGTCGACGGAAGCGACGAAGTCGGTTGCTGTAAGTACTCTTAACCGCCTATTCCTCCATCTAGATCACGTCTGGATCAATTTTTATAGCTAAGCCGGTTATTTCTCGACCTCCACCACCGATGGTGAGCCTGCACGAAGGCGAAACCTTCGAAATTTCCTGCACGGCCGTCGGTATACCGACTCCTGAAATAGTGTGGCGTCTCAATTGGGGACACGTGCCGGCGAAATGCAGGCAAACCAGCGTCAATGGCGTGGGCACTCTGATCTGCGAGAACATCGCAGTTGAGGATCAGGGCGCTTACTCCTGCGAATCTCTCAACATCAAAGGTTCCACCTTCGCCGTGCCCGACACCATACTGAGCGTCAAACACGAGAGTCCTTGCAGACCGGGTTACTTCAACGTGCAGGCCAGAAGCGAGGGCGAGTGCATCAAGTGCTTCTGTTTCGGTCACGCCAGCAGCTGCAGATCCGCTGATCTCTTCATATTCCAGGTACACTTTAATAGCTCCATTAAAACTTCCAATTCCATGTCGCTCGTTTTAGTTCCAACCGCCTTTCGATGCTCATAAAGTATTGGGAGTTCGCGTCGATCCTTCGGGTGCCGTCGATATTAGAGACGAGCCCGTGTACTCCGGCGCCGATCTCGTTTTATCGCCTAACGGACCTCAGGGTGTATACGCCACAGTTCCCTCGAACGGTTACCTCAGCCAGCCCAACGTGATTCCGTACTTTGCGATGCCAGAGAACTACCACGGCAACCAGCTGAAGAGTTACGGCGGTAATTTGAACTACTGGATCAAGCATACCAACAGAGGAGCTCCGCTACAAGGACCTAACGTTATTATATCTGTAAGATAAATTTTGTAGGAAAAAACGTAGTAGGAGTGTACGTGGTGTTTTTTAGGGAAACGGTTACACTCTGCTGCACCAATCCACTCATTCTCCAGCTCCGAACACCAACGAAAACATCAGAGTGAGGTTCTTCGAAGGAGAGTGGTTAATAGTATCGCCAGGATCTCGAGAAAGGCCGGCTACTAGAGAAGAAATAATGATGGTGCTCGAAGATGTCGACAATATTTTGTTGAAATTGCAGTACAACGACGGTCAACTAAACACCACTATTAGCAACGTTGAAGTGGATTCCGCTGGATTGTCCAACGCTGGTTTAGGCCCTGCGAATTACGTTGAAGAGTGTTCCTGTCCAGTTGGTTACAGTGGTACTTCGTGTGAAGTAAGTGTTTTTTTATTACAGAGTCACCTGTATTATAATTGGTATTACAATTACAGAGATGTTCTGAAGGCTATGTACGACAGAACAACGGACCTTGGCTCGGATTGTGCGTTAAAGAGCCCACTACGTGTCCACGTGGAATGTACAACGATGGCAGAGAATGCCAACCTTGTCCTTGTCCTCTTACAGATGCTAGCAACCAGTAAGATAAAATAACCTACTCCTACTTCTCAATCAAAACTTGTATTTACTTAGGTTCGGAACATCCTGCCACCTCGGTTCCAACGGAGACGTAGTTTGCCAATGTCCCGTCGGCTACGTTGGCAACCGATGCCAATACTGTGCAGACGGTTACGAAGGCAGTCCATTGACTCCTGGTGATTACTGTAGACCCGTTCGACGACCACCACCGTCTCTATGCGATCCCGCTGGTTCGGTAGACCCGAGACCCGACGAATACGGAAGATGTAGATGCAAGGTACCAACTTTAGCGCTTTAATTCGCGATTTTCTTTCCGTTCACATATTTATCTTCCTTCCTTTCTTCTTGCGCCGAACGCTTCAAAGCGTGTGGGCTTCGTTATCGATGCAGCATTGAGTTTTTATTATTAACAAAAAAGAATCATTAACTGTATATATTTTATTTGTGACTGCATTGTTTCATGCTTTACCCACGATACGTTGGTAAGTACGGGTAAAGTGCTTCGCTTCGATTTGGTTTGTTAAGCGATTATTTTACAGAATTTGGTCGATGGTCCCACTTGTAATCAATGTAAGGCTAATACGTTCCATTTGAGCAGCTCCAACCAATTCGGTTGCGTTTCTTGCTTCTGCATGGGAGTTTCGACGCAATGTTCCGGCTCCAACTGGTACAGGACTCAGGTAACGCTGTTATCCGAGCAACCGATAAATTATTTACGCGTCCGATTAAAATTAAACCGTAGGTGTCCACTGTGTTCGTGTCGTCGATACAAGATTTCAGGATTGTTACCAATCTGAACCGCGAAGCTCCGATTTCCGCCGGTATCGTATTGGACCAAGGCAGCAGGCAAATTTCGTACAGTAGCTTCTCGGTTTCCGACATTTATTACTGGGACTTACCGTCGCGCTATCTGGGTAACAAATTAACCTCTTACGGCGGTTATTTGCGTTACTCCATCAGACATAGCCCGATACCCGGCGGCCAGAGCTCCAGGAACAACGCTGCGGACGTTGAATTAGTCAGCGTAAGTCTTAATTTTGCTCGATCGGGGTTAAAATATTTAAGAAAATGTCTGTTTTAGAAAAATAACATAAACCTGTTGTATTTCAATAAAAACCAAACGCAAAGTACCAGCGATGCCCAGACGTTCCTCGTGCCAATATTGGAACAATACTGGCAACGTACTGACGGTCAAACAGCGGATAGGGAACATCTTCTTATGGTGTTGGCGGATTTGGAGAAAATTTACATCAAAGCGACGTATTTCACCAACACTCAACAATCTTCGTAAGCACGCTAAATACACATCGATTTCCAAACTATCATCGCCTATTTTTTTTAGACTAATTTCAGTATCGCTGGATATCGCTAACGAACACAACACGGGATCCCTACAAAGAGCCTTGGAAGTCGAACAGTGCCATTGTCCTGAAGGCTACACGGGATTATCCTGTGAAAACTGCGACGTCGGGTACACCAGAACAGCAAACGGATTGTACCTCGGCCTTTGCGAAGCTTGCAGCTGCAACGGCTACTCCAACGACTGCGATCCGGATACTGGAACTTGTTTGGTATAAAGTCTAACAAAAATAACTGAGTACTTAAGCGAATTCATTAACGTTGTTTCAGAATTGTCGAAACGGCACTACCGGAGATTATTGTGACGAATGTCTGGAAGGTTACACAGGTGACCCGGCTAACGGGGTACCGTGCACTTACCGCGGTACACCTCCGCCTTGTAACTGCGATCCCCGCGGTTCCGTTTCCAACGAATGTCGCGACGGTAGATGCCAATGTAAGGTATTGAAATGCTCTCCAAAAATTTACTTAAACACTTACTAAACACCACACTTATACATACTTCCTTCAAATAGGTTTGAACATGTTTGTACACTTTTTTTTGTAGTAGTATTTGTAGTGCTAGTAGTAGTTATCGTAGTGGTAGATTTGTCGTGATAGTGTGAGTCGATTTATTTTGAGTTGTTTGATTTTTTAGCACAGCAGCCGCTCTTTCTATACAATTCTTTTTTAGGATATAATTCATGTACATATTCATTCATTTTTGATTGGATTGGCCAGACTATTTTGATAGAAAATTAAGAAATATATACAAAACACTAAAATATATACAATAATGACCAATTTAATCACCAACTCATAGATTAATGGTAATGTTAGATACTTTTACCACACATACATAATTTATACCTTATCTAACATTACTTCTAGTCTAATTTCACTAAGAATGGATGGTAGGTTATAATTAAATGTTAATTCAACCGCATAATAGCATTCTACCATCTGTTCCACTAAAATTATCTACTTTATTAACTCTTAAATATTCCCCGTTTAGGATAACATAGAAGGCAACAACTGCGATCGATGCAAACAGGGCTCCTTCGGCCTGAATTCCAGCTTCAACTTCGGATGCGAGGTTTGCTTCTGCTCCGGCGTCGTGACGAATTGCAGGGAGAGCAACCTGTACATCGAACAAATCCCGTACCAAATCACGGAAACCGACCACGGTTTCACCATCACCGACACCTCGAGAAACGTCAGAATCACCGATTTCACCGTCAACGAATTCATGAACGAAATCAGCTACGGCATCCTGCCCAGCAACAGGGACTCGCTCTACTGGTCCCTGCCCTCCATCTTCACCGGCAACAAGATCAAATCCTACGGCGGTAAATTGGAGTTCTCCCAACGGTATACCCAAAGACCGCAGGCCAGATACGTACCCGATAAAGATATCATCATCATCGGTAACGGTATCACTATATTCTGGACCAATCCGAACGAACAAAGAGAGGGTATTGTCAACGTAAGCTGCAATATCGCCCCAGTGTCGATGTAGTGCGATTAATATTGCGATTTTTCCAGCCGATTTCCGTGGCTCTCCATCCCACGGCCCATTGGTACCGTTGGAACGGCAACCAAGGGCCGAAGGACGCGTCGCGCGAGGACATCATCACGGTTCTCGCGAAAATCGAGGCCATACTAATCAGGGCGACGCAATCGAGCGACACGATCAGAGCGTACCTGAGCGACATCACGCTCGATACGGCCGTGGAGCAATTCACCGGCAAACCGAAGGCGGCCAGCGTGGAGGTGTGCAGATGTCCGCTGGGTTACGAAGGTTCGTCGTGCGAATCGTGCGACGCCGGTTACTACAAGGATTTGTATTTCAATGTGTCGCGACCGTTGGGATCGTGTTCGAGGTGTCCTTGTAACGATAGGGAGGAGAGCTGCGAATTGGGACCCGATCAACGGGTGATTTGCCATTGCAGGCCGGAATGGTCGGGAAGGAATTGCGAATACGAAGGTTCGTTGTTGATTAGTGGTAATCGTGTGCATGTAGCATGATCAGTTTTATTTTTTTATCAGTCGTTTTATTTTTGTGGAAACTATTTGTGATATATCCATGAAAAATGTATACACCAACTTTTTCTTTTTCTGCATTTACGTTTATTTTATGGCTTTATTGGTAGTTTGATTTCTAAAAATTGATCATTATATTTCATGATATATCTACAATTTAAAAGAAAAATCTATCATGTAGTGGAACAAAGTAGAAGAATACATTCGACGTTAGTTTCCATTTAATTCAATTCAACTATCATAAAAAACCATAAAATGTAGATTATTTTATTTTTCGATTTTCAACGTTACCAGTGTTACAAAATAGCACAAAACTCGGTAGCATAGAAGTGGAAATAACACCGTCGGAAGTAACGGCGCCCATCGGCACCCAAGTACACTTTGCTTGTAAATATCATAAGGAATCGTCGCCGGATCTCTACATTAGCGTTGAAAGTTTAAACGTTTACGATATAAAAGAGAAGCGGTATCCCGGCGGCGCCGAAACCACTTTTTACACTGTCACCGGTTTCATTCAACAAACTATACGGTGTGTCGTTAGGAACAAAGAGATGCAAGAAGTAGGAAGTATTAAAGCATTTGTCTCACCAGGTTTGAAGATATATAAATCAGAGTTCGAACAGACGCTTTTTGTTTTAATATGTCTCAATGTGTCATTTAGGAGTCTTTAGATTTTAATTGTTTTGCTATTTCTTTATAGAAACAAGGCATTGAGTTATTCCAAATCCAATTTCTTCTGCTACAGAATCAAATGTTTCACCTCAAGAAGAAATAACAAGCAATTAAAATTTAACCACTTCTGTATTGTATGGAGTAGAAATTAGAACTTAGATTAGTATACCGATCATATTAATCTAGTTAGAAGATTATCAGAATTTATTACAATCAACCAATGTGATAACATAAATAGAATAGGTACAGAATAGAGAGTAAGTACATAATAATCTAACCCATTGGTATGGGACAATGTTCATGTGTTTAGTTCTACTATGTTCTAACAATCACGTATACGTTCGCATCGTTTATGAAACATTCATAAGAATGTTTTATTACTAATTAATAAGTAGAACAAGTAATCGTTTAGCCGGCAGTGGTTTCATTATAAGTACGTTTACTTGCTCTTCTTTTGCGAATAAACGCAGATTATACGTTGCAAATTCGAGTGTATTGATATGTTCTATTGTTCATTTTAGCTCGATACCCGATAACGACTGAATACCCAGATACAACAACTGTAACGAACGAACCCACTATCGAAGTAACAATAGAGGATACTAACATTGGAATATATGAGGTCGGGGGTACAGTGAGATTCAATTGCTCGGCCAGATCACGTATAGCTCCTGTGGTAAATTTTGGTAATTTACATAAATTTTTTAGCGAATAAATTTAACGGTTTTACAGCCTATGAGAATCTTCTGGAGAAAAGCTGACGGTGATTTACCAAGGCAGGCCATCGACGATGGAGCAGGATTGTTAGTGATCACAAACTTGAGGGTTTCCGATTCCGGCAGATACGTTTGCGAAGCCAGTGATGGTCACACTATAGTTACATCTAGCGTGAACCTAAACGTTGGAGGTAAGTAAACAATATTTACCCATCAATCGCGTAAGTCTCGAACGTATCTTTCGTTTCACGCTGCTCAGCATCTCTTAAAGGTGCTTTACAACTCGCAGGTAAATCGAAATAATTTTGAACATTTACGTACACTCACAAACCCATTCTAATCGCAATTTAATCCTAGTACCGCACGATCAATCGCCAAGGATAGCGCTGTCGCAGAACTACGTACAAGTCTACGAAGGCCAGCCGATCGAAGTGCAATGCGTGGGCTCCGGAGTACCAACTCCCGACTTGCACCTAGTGAGAGACGACGGCGCCGCTCTCAGTCCAGGACAGGTAAGACTCTACACTCTTTCTATTTGTGCCCACATTTCCACATGGTCGCGTTCCAGATATTCGAAAACGGTTTGTTCCGCATCCAGCGCGCCCAGCTGTCCGATTCCGGCGAGTACACGTGCGCGGCCTCGAATCGCGTGGGCACGGCTAACGCCCGGTTCACCGTAGTGGTGCGCGAGTCGACCGTGGGCACGATCGTGCGCGTGGATATCACGCCTGCGTCGTTCAGCGGCGTGTCCGGCGACACCGTCACGCTCCGGTGCTCTTCGACCCCGTACGGACAGGTCATCAGGTGGACGAAGGAGGGCGGCGACTTGCCCTACAGCTCCAGGGAAGATAGAGGCACTTTAGTCATACAAGATGCCACTCCGGACGTGTCAGGCGTGTACGTTTGCACCATTACCGCAGCGTCCGGTACTAGAGGAAGTAAGAGAGTTAGCGTTGACATTAGACCCAGCTCTGAAAAGTGAGTGTCTTATAGCTTCTGGTTATCTGATATTAATTGATGCGTTTATTTGTAGTGAATACATATCTGCTCACGTTTTAAATGAAAGTATTACACTAAAGCAAGGTGAATCTAAAGAGATACAGTGCTTTACGACTGGCAACCCTCCTCCGACGGTGAAATGGACGAAATTGGGGCAAGATCTATCGAGAAACGTTGAGCAATTCGGCTCCACGCTTAATATCTACGATGCTCAAGTTCAGGACAGAGGTGTATACGTTTGCGTTGCCACCAATGTTCACGGTATAGCTCAAGCATCCGTGGTTGTAGAAGTTACTCGTAAGTTTGTTTTTGAATCAAATCGAATAGGTTTTACGAGGATTTTTTTACAGGATTGGAGACGCCTCGTTTGGAAATTCACCCACAAACCACCCAGACTGTTATTGCAGGAAACAGCGCGGTGATTCAATGCAGGGCTATAGCCGGTATTCCATCGCCTACGATAACATGGTCGAGAGAAAACAACCTCCCTCTGGGTCCGAACGTCGAAGAAATGTCCGGAGGCACTTTGAGGTAAGCCATTTCGCTAGGATACTTCCAAATTACAATATATTTTTTGTAGATTCACGTCTATAACCACCTCCGAAGAAGGCGAATACGTTTGTACAGCCGTCAATCAAGCAGGAAGAGCCACCGCCACCGCTCACATTATTGTTCACACTCCACCTGAAGTTACTATAACCCCGAGACAGGAAGTTATCACTAAAAACCTGGGCGACTCCTTCAGGCTGGAGTGTCAAGCCACCGGTATACCTCAACCGTCGGTTGTTTGGAGTAAATACGGCGTAGAAGACAGGTATAAAACTTATAAAAATATATTTCTGCAATTAGTAATTAATTTCGTTTACTTTTTTTCCCTAGGAGAGTATTGTCTAGCATGCCGACCAACTACGGTTTGCCTAACATTGCTTACCAAGAATTCACTCGTCTAGCGAAAGAAGATGAAGGCTTGTACATATGTAGAGCCGAAAGCGCCGCAGGAATTACAGAAAGAAGGGTTCAATTATCTGTTGATACGTTGCCAAGTAGAGGTGACATTACAGGTATTTTTAACGAAATGAAGGTTTTTTAATAAACGCTTTTAAACTAAATAAATGACAGATTTAGACAGTTAAACATGGACCATTTCACGACATAATGATGGTACTATAGTAATGTCGTACTGGAAGTTGTTTTATATCTATTAATTCGCTGGTGAAGCTGAAATTGTCCAGTAAAAATATGCGCGAGCTCGACCTTGATTAGTTACTAATTGTTAACTAATTTTGCGTAGAAGGTCGACTTGTCTTCGAATAAGCGGCACTCGAGCTTGCGCAGCGAGCGAGACCTTTGTTTAAATTTGCTAGATTTGTCATAGTGTGGGTTTCTTTAAAAATAATAAACTATAGGTTTCGGCACTACCAGAATAAAAAAACTTCAAAATTATAATACAAATAATTGGGTTAATTTGTTGTGTATTAACTATTATATTTTTGCTTTAAATAATAACCAAAGCTACAATTTATTATTTGAGACGATTTATTAGCGCTTTACTTTTATTTCAATAATTTGAAGAATCCTCATTTCATAGATTGTAGCTCTTGTATATATTTTTATTAATCATGTATTGCTTTTTGTTTCATTTTTTTCACCTACTAATTGGACTATAGATTGGCCACCAAGAGGTAAGTTCGATGTTGTATTAATAAATTTTAATGTAATAAACTAAAATATTATGAATTACATAAGCGTTATTCTTCAGCTTATTAAAAAAAGTGAAAAATTCTTCATCCTTCCAAATTTTCTACTTAAATAATGTTGGTTCTTCGGTTGATAATTTCATTTAGCTACTAAAACGGAAAAAGCAAAGACCACAATTATTTTAACCTGGTGTTCTATATCCAATAACGCCCGATTTTCTAGGAGAAGACGCTACGTCTACCGGCGAAAGACCGAGTTGGAAAGACAACGAGCCATCAAGGCCTCACTACACAACGACCTTCAGGCCTGAACCACCAGTTCACGAGCAGGAATACATAGCGCCCATAGGAGGACGGGCTGAAATTAGATGCAGCATCGCCAATCAAGACGGTACGTTTTGGAAATCATTTCGAAAAAAATAACGTTTACAATGTGGCGCTTTTAGGTGTAAATATTCAAGTGAGATGGTCCAGAACAGACGGTTCACCGCTACCGCCTAACGCTTACGAGAGAAGCGGAGTTTTGTACATCGACAACGTAGAACCCGAAGCCCAAGGAGAATACAGCTGCACCGGATACGATCAGTACGGTAGACCCGTTTTCAAACTCGACTCTTACCTCACTGTTATTTGTAAGTATCGTTTAGTATGCTAAAAATGTATCAAATACTAGGAATATTTTCAATCGATTGTTAATGGAAATATTACTAGGAAGAAATGTAGCGAAATAATTTACTTTATTTATGTTTAATTTATTTGTGTCTTTTACTTTATCTGCCTTCAGCCGCAGAAGACATATGTGCGTATTTAGGTACTGTGTTTTCATCGGTTCATTAATTTTATTATTTTTCCATAAACTATCATCATCATTTATTTAATTTTAAACAGTAGTTGAAACAAACGTTGTTGGTGTCTAGTAACGTTTATTTTACTCCTACATCAGTTTTTAGAACATTAGTAACAGTATATATTTTATAGCCCCTCCGAGAATAACCTTAATACCGCCGAGACAAATAGTCCATCCCGGTGAAAACGCGTACATCAATTGTAGCGCCAGCGGCCAGCAACCGATCGAAATATCCTGGTCACCGATAGACCGAGACATGCCCCAATCGGTCTACACCAGGGAAGGCTACATTCGCTTCAACAACATCCAACTACAAGACGCCGGCAGATACTTATGCAGAGCCAACAACAGAGCCGGCACGGCCGAGGCAGTAGCCGACGTTATAGTCGAAGGTAAATATTCTTTAGTACTTTATAAACTTCTCAAACACCTAGGATCAGCGCCGAATATTCCGAGCCGCGGTTTGGCAGAGGACGGAGGAACCCCAATAATCGCTGTTAATGTTTGTATGCAGAAAACGTGTCGAGACCGGCGATAAAAGCTGAACAGAAACAACAAATAGCGCCGGTAGGTTCGACGGTGACGCTCCGGTGCAGAGCTACTAATCCTAGCGCTGCCGAAGCGATCAGGTGGTTCAGACAGGATCTGGAATTGCCGGTCGATTCCCGACAGAACGGGGAGGTTTTGTATCTGCGAAACGTGCGGCAAGAGGATCAAGGGAGGTATTACTGTGAGATTCAGACCAGGGACGGTTCATACAGCGACTATGTTGATTTGCAATTGACAGGTTAGAGAGTCTTTTTGTGTCTGAGCGCATCAGTAAATTATATGTAAAATGATTGTAAGATTATTGCATGTAAATTGTAACTCATTTTTATGTGTCGAGTCGATTCTTATCAGTTTACAATCATTTTGATAAATAGTAGTTGTGTGTTTGTCCAATTTTTATGTTCGTGTATATTTCATAATGATCCAAAACAAAAATCCATCAATTTGTTATTGAAATTAAGAGATACATTATGGAATAAACGAAAGCCGAGAGAGTGTAGTAGTTAGAAATCACAGGAACGTATTTAACTTTGCACAATTGCATGTATGACAGCACGTCAGGAAAGTTGTTACCCAGGATGGTGGGCTTGTAAAAATGGAAATTGCATACCGGATTATCTGTTGTGCGACGGCTTGAACGATTGCCAAGACAATAGCGACGAAACGGATTGCGCTTCGAGGATACGAAGGGGTTTGTTATTAAAAAAGACAACTAGCTTTACCTTAGAATTTAGCCTCTTCGTTGCCTATACATATCTAGCTCTTCGTGATGTCGAGCCTACGAGCGTAGACGATGTTTGTTTTTCTGGGAAACGGACGCGCTCTTTTACTATTCGATATTTTTGTTCGTTTATAATGTTTCTTCTAGTGCTTGTTGTTATGAAATTTTATTACCTATTTCTTACAGAGCACCATAAATGGTTTTTATTAAATAGTTTGTATTAAATTTCTGTGATTAGATGCCATAACTTGATATTTTGATAGCTCGACAAAGTCTATTTCACAAGATTCTTCTCGTTGAGGTCTACAAGATGGTAGAACTTAAGAAATTTAGATAGAACATAGAACATTGGGTCAATTTTAGTATTGTAACATTAATACAAACTTGTACTCTCCTGTAAAATTTATTAAGTTCTACATATCAAGTTATGGCATCTATCCACAGATTCGTAGTTGAAGAATAAAAAAAAACCCTTTATGGTTTAAATTTTTATGGTCAATAACTGTAGCAAACACTATTTTAAGTAAAAGAATGTATTATATCTTCTCTTCTTAGAATAGAAAATTCTTTTGTAACAAACGTACCTATACATCTATGTAATCGCTGTTGTTACTAATTCGAAATTGTATGTTTCTATTATTAAAACGTTTGCCTTTCTCTATTCTGTTAAATCTAAATGTTCTTGTTGTTGCATCTGTTCTTACGAGCATTCCCCGCGTATAATTCTTTAGTAAACGAATCTCGTATTCTAGGACCAGCGCCGTCTACGCCTAGATCCTACCTGCCGCCTCCGAGTCTCTACATTTCACCCCCGGAATCCGATCACTACGTAGGGGAAAACATCGAAATCTACTGCCAGTCGTCCGAGCGCGGAGCCATTCCCGTATGGTCGAAAGTATCAGGCCCGCTATCCAGCAACGTCGAAAACGTCGGCGGTACTTTAAGGATCGTCAATTTAATAATGGAGAATGGTGGTACTTACAGATGCGAAGCCACAGGCAGGCAAGGAGTCCACTACAAAGATTACAACCTCAACGTTATCGGTAAGTTTTCTTATAAAAATACGAAAGAATTCGAGTATTGTTATGTTGTAGAACAACAATATAAAGATGAACCGCCGCTTCAAATCACCGAAGCTCAAAGAGGATCCACTGTTGTACTCGAGTGCAAAGTAGATTTCGATGCAACGCAATTCAGCTGGAGCAAACAAGGAGGAGAATTGCCCAAAGAAGTCGACTATACCGCTGTAAGTAATTTTACTACAATTATTTTTGTAGATTATATGGCCTTTTTTTCAGAAAACAATTCAATTAAACGACGTCGACGGATCCGACGCTGGTGCGTACACGTGCACAGCAAGCAACAACGCCAGAACCATCAACGTACCGGTAATTCTCGTGGTAACCGGCATAGTGCCCTACTTCACTCAAGCTTCGAACAGCTACATAATGATCCCGACCCTGGCCGATTCGTACATTCAATTCAGCTTCGAAATATCGTTCAAGCCGCAACAGGACACCGGTTTGATCCTGTACAACGGGAACAAAGGAAACGACATCAGCGGCGACTTCATCTCGCTGTCGTTAGCCAACGGAGTTCCGGAATTCAAATACAACCTAGGCATGGGCACCACCAGCGTGAAATCCAACCGCGCCATCACCATCAACGATTGGCACACGATCAAAATATCGAGAAACCGAAGGAAGGTGACGATGTACGTCGACGGCGACGGCCCGTTCGTGGGATTGTCCGAGGGAAAATACACCGGTCTCGACCTAACCGAGCCCCTGTACATAGGCGGCGTGCCCAGCGCCAACGGAATCTCCCCGGAAGTCAACCACTACGACGCCTATCGAGGCTTCGTAGGCTGCATCAGTCGATTCAAAATCGGCCACGCTTACTTGGACATACTGAAAGAAGCCATCAACAAAACGGGAATAACCACTTGCGAATCGTGCAGCGACAACAAGTGCCAGAACCAAGGCGCCTGCCAGGAGGCGCTCTCCAAGGAAGGGTACATGTGCATCTGCCCGTCCGGCTTCAGCGGACCGACTTGTAACAAACTGAAAGGAGAAGCCTGCTCGCCACGTAACTACGCAAACGATCCGCTCCTAATCAATCGCTATATAATCGTATTTTTCCAGATGCTTGCGGCGTTGGTAGATGTATCGACACCGAAAACGGATTCGAATGCCAATGTCCCTTCGGCTACGCGGGGCGCAGGTGCGAAAACGGAATCCACATAGTAGAACCGGCTTTCAGGAACGACGCCTATCTAGCTTATCCTACACCCAAACCGGCCAGGAAACTTAAAGTCACGCTCAAAGTGAAACCCAACACGCTCGACGACGGTCTTTTGCTCTACAGCTCGGAAAGCGAAGAAGGCTTCGGCAACTTCATTAGCTTGGCCATCAGAGACGGCCACTTGGAGTTCAGATACGACGCTGGAAATGGTGCGTATTAATCTTGGCATACGTAACGATATTAATGAGGTTTTATTACAGGAGTTAGTGTGATTAGAGATGAAAGCAGTTTGAGGCCGGGCGAATGGCACGTTGTCACAGCGACAAGGTCTTTGAGCGAAGGTAGGCTGTTAGTGGACGGGCAAACCCCGACGGTATCCAGACAAGCCGGTAACTACAAAACCATTAACCTTCAAACGCCGCTCTACATCGGAGGATACGACAAGCAACACATCAGAGTCAACGATGGCGTTCAAGTGTTCAACGGTTTCAAAGGATGCATCGCAGATGTAAGTTATTGCCACGCACAAGGAAGAGCGTTGGTATTAATTTGTTCTTACAGATAAACTTGGCTGGAGTCGACCTGAACATCCTGCTGAACATAACCGACTCGGCCAACGTGAGGGATTGCAGCGACAATTCGGAAGGGGAGAACAGCGTGTTCAGCGACACCACCGAGGAGTCCTTCAGGCACGTCAGCTGCTCGAACAATCCTTGCCAGAACGAAGGGCACTGCTATCCGCTGTCGCCCACCGAATACCAGTGCGCCTGCGCGCCCGGCTACGCCGGCAAGAATTGCGAACTGTCCGAGAACTTCTGCAATCCGAATCCGTGCCAAAACCGAGGAGTTTGCAAGTTGAACAACTCGCACTACGTCTGCGACTGTCCGCTCGGTTTCACCGGACGAGCCTGCGATCAAGGTGTGTACAATTTATAATAAATCAACAAAAAAGTTCCTATATTGTTCCTAAAATCGCTTTAATACCTTGAAAGATAGTTGTTCAATTACTTCCTTTATACCAATTTTTTTGGCAATATCCTTAAAGGATGAGGTACTCTAAGGGTGAGTGTACCAATATTAAGCCAGTTAAGAGACATTTTGAAACTGTGTTTGATATTGTACCTAAATTGATACTATTAGTTTCACAGTAGGACTTTAAAATATACCCCTTCTGGTACCTGGTTTATTACTGGTATACTATTCAAATGGCTGCTGTTATTGTTATTATTTGTTGTTGTTATTTGCCGGCAATTCTCTTCAACCCCAGGATCTACCTGGATCATAGGATTATCTGTAGTTTTCCAGCTGTTATAATGTCATTGTTTCTGACAAAGGTCACCAATAAATGTGAATCTTAGGAGTTCCAACACCCTTGTTGTGTCTAGATCTTTGTGCTCAAAAAACATTCTTCCCCAGTTGTTGTACCAGCGTATAGATAGTACTGTAAAGTAACATAACAAATGTCTACTAAATCATAAACTTCCAGTAACCGAATTGAGGAACGACGCCAACTTCGAGGGAAACGGCTACCTAGAATTCAGCAAGCAATTGCTATCTCACGACCACGGCGAACAGGACCTCATCGCCCTGGAGATTTCCACCAACCAATCCAACGGGCTCGTCTTCTGGCACGGACAGACTCCGGAGAAGAACGGTCGCGGGTTGGATTACATTTCTTTAGCCAGTGAGTAAACTCCCCTTCCAAAAAAGCCTCCAGCGCTTATCTACCGAACAATTAATTCTTCCGCAGTCGAAGACGGCTACTTGGTGTACAGCTTCGATTTGGGCGAAGGCCCGGCCGTCATTAGGAACGACAACTTGATGGTGAACGACGGCGAAAGGCACTCGGTGATTTTGAAGCGCAACGGCAAACTGGGCTCCATGGACATCGACAACGCTTGGACGGTGGAGGGCGAGGCGACCGGTCCATCGTACACGCTGGACACCGATGGTAACATTTACTTGGGCGGCGCGCCCAACGTATCCAGAATAACGGGCGGCCTGCACACGCAAGGCTTCATTGGATGCATCCATGGATTCGAATTGCAAAATTCCCAAAGATTAGAATTAGGATTCAAAGCTATAAATGGCTTGAACGTCAAGCCGTGTTCTAGGTAAGCTGCGTTTTTTGTTGATTTGATGGTAGATTTATGCAGGGTTGCGAAATTTTGGCGTTTGGTAGGGAAGCTGGGTAACTGTAGGATCTCCTATATCTCTTATTTTTGGAGTAACATTTTGGAAACGAAAGCTGGATATCTTCTAGTACTATAGTTATCAAGATTTCCTATTAAAATTGGACTTGATTAAAAGGTTTGTTTAATTTTTACGCTGCGTTTTAAAGACTGCGATGGATTCCGTCCTCTCTCGTCTTCGCCGATGGCGATCAGTTCGATGAGATCGTAGAACCCCCTCCTGTAAATATAATCCATCCTAAACCTTCCAGTTATGCTCAAACTACGCACGGCGTGCGGATTCGTTGCTTTTTCTATACGAGCTGTATATTTTTGTATCTATTGACGTAATGAAAGAGACGATGGATACCGTGCGCCGGACAATAGTTACTTTCGTTGGGGATGTTGTATCGATATCATATCAAAATTTTTATTGTTACGTTTAGAAATTTTTATAATGCGTAAGTTGAATAAACGAGAAAGTATACATTCTGTTATGAGTTAACTTCGATTGCTTCTGTCGAAAAATTATCGTTTTTTTTTTTCGATTTTGAAGCGATTCGGGGCGGTATTAATTTGTGATAATCAGTATTGTATGTATATAAAAGTACGCTAACGTTATAAATATTTTATTACCTTTATAATATTATGAAATAGACTGATGCTTTTTTACTAATGTTGCATTATCCGTGGATATCTGCTAAAATGCCAGGTGAGGTTTTTATACAGAAAATTACAAATATTTCTTGTTCAATTTGGACTTACATGACGATCTTATTTTAATTTACAATTCAATTATTTCAACTATTTTTTTAATGTAAGTGTTTCTAGTGTTCAGTAGTGAATAATAGTATTTTTTTGTTTCAGCTTTTCTATAGAACCGAGATGGTCCAATGATCTGGTACATTGAACAGTTAAAAACTCTAGGTTAAGATGAACGCAGTCGTTGTCAGTCAATACTTAACTTTTATTTGTAAATTATTCATCCATTAAGTGTTCACTACTTGTGTTCATTGATCGCATAATGTTGATTTAAGCCCAATTAATCGTTTAATCAACATTAGCTGTATTTCAGTCTATTTTGCTTCTTGTGTTAATGTTAACGAGCTTTAAGGTGCTTGAAATACAGCTTTGTATATTATTATTTCTTTCGATTTCGATACTGCCATTTTTTTATCTGGTCTTTAAGTTTTTGTACTGTTTTTTTTTATGTTTTTTCTTATTGTATCATAGTAAGTATATGAAAATATCGTGCCATTATACATAACTTAGTAAAAATTGTAATAAACAAGATGGTCCAAATGTTATTTATGCATTGTGGAATTTAATTGGAAATGAAAAATGTATGCTCTGTTGCTCCTTCAGCTATCAAAATATCTTATGAGAAATTTTTTTTTTAATAATTTTCAATTTCGTTTGATTTATAAGCCTATTCTACTCTTCATCTACTATACATAGGTATTTTTCAACACAATATTTTTATTTACTTATTAAAAAAATCATCTTAAATTCAGTAAAATATTATTTTATTTGTAAATAACCTCGAGGGCTACTTCAGGAAAACTTCAGAAGCAACTTCTGTATGACATATATTTTTTTATTTCTAATTATTCTTCATACTGTGTAAGTTTAACTCCCATTTTACATGTATTGATTTTATTATGGTGCTATAGGTCATTGTAAAAACATACCTTTTTTTTTGTATACCCAAAATGTAAATTTTCGTTTATGCTTATGAATTACTATACAATGTGATTTCAGAAACGAAACTTAAACGTATCAGCAATGGTGATTAACAATACATAATAGGTATAAGCTATTAAAAAAAATATTTTATAATTGCTTATTGTTTCTCTCTAGATTAACTCATTGTCCTCAAAATACATAATGTACTATACTCGAAAAAAATATGAATATAAAATGTCACACTTTTTTCGGTAATCGAAACGCCTGAAAATGCAGTGTATTAATTCATTATATAATTAAAATCGCATTCTCAATAAATGAAGACAATAAATATGATAAATGAATTGAAAGTATTTGTTTTATTTCACCCTTTCGCATAATTCCTTTTCCTTTTTAACCCTTTCATATAATCAGGATTCTTGAATAAAATAACAAGTAAAAGAAGTTTTCATAATAGAAAAAGCTCGATATAATTGAAATTTCTGAGGAATCAAGTTAGGAGAAACTAGCCGAGTTCTATTTGCGTTGTAAAAAAATAGAAATAAATATTAAGAGTCTTGCATAGTAAATTTCTATATGAACAAATACCACAAATAAAAATAATCAAAATCAGAAAAAAATTAAGTACTTTGAAACCTTTTTTTATGGTAATTATTTAATATTTTAACTGATTTGTAACAAATCATACTACTTCATAGTAGTCATCATAGTACTTCTTTCAAGAAGTGAATACGTGGTGCAAAAACCTCAAAGAAGTACCAGAAATTTTATAGCTAATTCAACACTAGAAAAATTTATTATTTTATGACTATTACTGCATTTTTTTCTATTTGAGTTTAGCCACTTTTCTCATAAATATATCTCAAGAAAATTAGAACGTTTGTGCCTCTATTCATCACATAGTGGTACAGGGTGGTCCTCTAAGAACGGCTCTCGGCCATATCTCGCAGACTAATTGTCGTAGAGACTTGCGGTAAAAAATCTTATAACTAAATCGGCCAAAAGAAAATGCTGGAAATAATTTTTAAGTCTCTAAAATGGCCGCTAGGGGGAGTATCCGCCATCTTGATTTTTAAAAGTCATTTTTTTCAAAATTTTCTTAAATAAAGGTATCAAAAATGTGTTTTATTTTGATAGTTAAGATATTTTCGATTATTTTTTGTTATATATTTTTGACTCTATCTTTTAAAATAAAGTGGTGGGGGTGGTTTGAATATTTTGACTAATAAATGTTAATAACTTTTAAACGGCTGAACCGATTTTCAATAAAATGAAATTGTTGAAAAGGGCTTTCTTTGGTCTATAATTTACACTATATAAGATATTATTTTAATTGCTTGCTTGGCCGCAAGATGGCGTTTTTCGACATTACTTCAAAAAACACCGATTTTCTCAAAAAATTTAAAAGCAACGATATAACTTTTTCTTTGGAATAAAATAGTCAAATAATTGCCAAACCAGCCTGTGAAAACCGCATCTCGATATCCCCTTCCTAACCTAAAATATATCTAAAAAAAGAAAAAAATCAAGAAAATGGGCAATTTTTGCTGCACTACCAATATAAAAACCTCTATTTAGCGTTGTTTCATCCACAAAAATAATCAATTTGTTAATAATCTTTAAGTATGATATTTAGAAACACCAAGCTAAGTAATATTCATTTAATAATTATTGGATTTCCCTTCTATATGCACTAGTTGAGAACAAAAGACCATAACCATGCCGTGGAAAATAAAACAAACCAAAAAATCTAATTAACTAGTCTAGAAAAATGAGCTTGGCATCCATCGGGTTGGAAATACATATTTCTTGGAGTTTCCAGAAGAACATCTTCCAATAACCCAGGAAATTCGTTACGAAGAAAATTTAGATATGTTTGTCCGTTGAGTCGCCCATTAATAAACCAGGGAACAACAACTGTCACCTAGTATACCACATCACACGTTGATATCAACGTCCTTTATTATTCTGGACCTGCTGCGTCCAGTTTTTTGGGTTTTTTATTTTCCACGGCATGGTTATTTCTTTTGTTTTCAACTAGTGCGAATAGAAGGGAAATCCAATAATTATTAAATGAATATTACTTAGCTTGGTGTTTCTAAATATCATACTTGAAGATTATTAACAAATTGATTATTTTTGTGGATGAAACAACGCTAAATAGAGGTTTTTATATTGGTAGTGCAGCAAAAATTGCCCATTTTCTTGATTTTTTTCTTTTTTTAGATATATTTTAGGTTAGGAAGGGGATATCGAGATGCGGTTTTCACAGGCTGGTTTGGCAATTATTTGACTATTTTATTCCAAAGAAAAAGTTATATCGTTGCATTTAAATTTTTTGAGAAAATCGGTGTTTTTTGAAGTAATGTCGAAAAACGCCATCTTGCGGCCAAGCAAGCAATTAAAATAATATCTTATATAGTGTAAATTATAGACCAAAGAAAGCCCTTTTCAACAATTTCATTTTATTGAAAATCGGTTCAGCCGTTTAAAAGTTATTAACATTTATTAGTCAAAATATTCAAACCACCCCCACCACTTTATTTTAAAAGATAGAGTCAAAAATATATAACAAAAAATAATCGAAAATATCTTAACTATCAAAATAAAACACATTTTTGATACCTTTATTTAAGAAAATTTTGAAAAAAATGACTTTTAAAAATCAAGATGGCGGATACTCCCCCTAGCGGCCATTTTAGAGACTTAAAAATTATTTCCAGCATTTTCTTTTGGCCGATTTAGTTATAAGATTTTTTACCGCAAGTCTCTACGACAATTAGTTTGCGAGATACGGCCGAGAGCCGTTCTTAGAGGACCACCCTGTACTAATGGGTTCCTGCTACCCGCACCCGACGTACGCCAATGCGGTTAGCGTGAGTAATCCCAGCTGGCAAATCCGTCCATACAGAATCACAACACACAAAAGAGCCGGAGGCGCTCCTCATCCTCGTTTATTACTTGAAAGAGGAACCCGAACCAACTAGCACCGCCGAGACCGAGAGCACCATCAGTCTGTTGTACCCAGTACCAGTTCAACATGCCGTTCTCCGCGCTCGACCGCTCATTTCCGTAAATAACAAATAGTACTGTTTGAACAATAATAAAAACCAAATACATAATGACCTGAATTTTATTAAACTCTGAAAAATCACCGCGAGTGTACCGAGACGGCAATGCAAATTTAAACTCTACGTTTATCCGAAAACCTGATTTATTACGTGTTTACGAACGCGAAAAAGTTATTCGAATTTGTTTAAACAAACTGAAGGTCGTGTTAAATAGATAAGCTAACGTGGAGACGGTTATTTTTTGCTATATGTTGTGTGCATGCCGATTTTAATTCACGTGAATGTGAATATTGCAAGCGGTACTCCCTCAACAACATCGAAATATTTAGTGGTGCAATAAGGATATTCGCAAATAATCTAGCAAAATGGTAAGTGGATATTCTAGCAATTTTTGTTCAAAAATTGTTAATGCATTCGCTAAATTTCAAGGGCTCTTATACTACCCAATGCATTTATGTATAGGACTTTTTACTTGCTCCATTGGCGTATCGAGAAATATCAGGTACTTAACTATCTGTGTTGGGCACAAAAATACCAATTTTTGGATACGTGATACGTATGTAAATGCAATTATTATTATTAGCACAAATAAAATTAATCCGAGTCCGATTCTAAATCGTATTAGTCAACATTTCTAGTGTGTAATGCAAGATTAATTGCGATTATTGTTCTTACTACCGAAGGAAAGTTTTCTTTCTTATACGATTCTATTTCATCACATTGCTTGTAATCAATTTGATTCATTTCACTAGAAAACTGGTTTTCAGAAATAACAATTTTTGCCGACCATTTCAAGCATTAATAAGCCAGTTATAAATTATAAACTATTACGTAACGTTTTATAATGCTTATTTATAAAGTTTTGTGCGATTAATGTTGTTTTTAATCGCAATGCGTTCGTCAAGGCTTATTTTCAATAAAAACCGAACGATTTTCGTTCGAATGCTTTGCCTTTTCCATGCATTTTCCTTTCTTTGCACCGATCGCACCTTTGGGCTAAAAATAATTCCGAATACCAGTCTGATATATGCGCATAAATACTTTTATTGTAATGTTAATGTTCTTTTCCGCCAGAGAGTGTTTTTTTGTGCATGTTTGATGTGTATTTTTAAACTAATTTGAATATAATTAACATTTTATATTTCTCTCTGTATCGAGCTCGGTTTATGATATCACATCTGGTCCAAGTTTGGCGGGATATATGTTTCATTCGAAAATGCACCTACACGTTGAACTTGGATCTTTATACTCTAACCGCATATTTAAATTTGTATTATTTTTAGTAAACAACATCACGGACTTCCTCTATTTAATTTATTTAAACATCTAATATATCATTGTGTATGATGGTTATAATTAATTTTATTGGGTTATCAATTTAATTAGAAAATTTTTGTTTACTTCCGACTAAATTGAAATTCCTGAATTATTTAAAAAGTAGATAACTCAATACTAAAGATAGACCACCATAAATAAGTATTAAAATTCCAACATTCCTTTACGTATCTATTGTGCCCAAATTCTTGTAGATTATCGACTTCTACCTGCCCGAAATACAATAATAATAGAGCTACTTCTTAAAACCACCTGATGTTGGTCTCATATGTCGTTCGTTTCCACTATACAAGGTGTATGTATCCAATAATTAAACCTTAAGGGAGGTAAAATTTAACTCATTCTGAATAAGGCACTCAATGTAAGTAATGTATAAAAAAATACCTTTTATAAATACAAAGATAATTTAAAATAAAACAGAAATATTAAGTGATACCCTATATTTGGAAAACTTATTATAATGCATTTGCAACTTCGCTACGCTAAATTTTACTTTCTAAAAACCTACTAGATATATTTCATCGAATAATGCATTAGGTATTGAAAAATTCATACCGTAATTTCCACAAGGAGCGGGGAAATAAACGCTTAAATAGAATACAAGCGGTTGTTACCTAATACAACAAATAGCAATATGTGTTATATCGATTTATCGGATTTTACGATATTGACACTAGCTAAAACGATAATTCCGAAAAAGCTGATAAGCAGATAACCGTCGATAATTCCATCAAGTTTTATTTACTCTTAACGTTCTCGGTACGGGTATGTGAACGACAAGATAGAAATTGTTCGCAAAAATATTTAATGTGTACCTATGTGTGTTTAGGTAATAGGACTAATAGAGACTAAGGTTAGTACCATGAATTTGTTAAAATTGAATTTAAAATGTTTGTTGAAAAATAAAGCAGTCGATACGATCCTGAACAGTACAACATAAAGAATTGAATAATTTTGGGTAATTAATTTTAGAATTTTCATTCCTCTGATATGCCTATTTTATTGGAAAAACTTTACTACTCAATTTCCAGTTCATAATCCTAACTTTTCAGATATCGATAATATTTTGATTTTTTTCCATTGGCTCATGATTTTGCACTTAAAACTCCGAAATAAACGAGGCATTCTTCTTCGCACGAATTATTTACAAGCACCTTCCGGGAATCCTCGACCAAATGAGCCCCGAAAAGGTTTCCCGCAAACAAAAATATTTAATTTTCCGTTCGATTTACATCCGAAATACGTCGTACATCGCCTTTGGAAGTCCATTCACTCTTCGCGATTGGATTTTAGTGCCTTCACCGGCGGCGGTAATATAAAGCAGCTGTACGTTTCGTTTAATAAAAGGTACAAGCGTGACTTTTCAGCGATTGTAAGAACATGCACCACCCCCTCCTGTCTCGTTAACTCAAATCAGTGTATGTGGTATATTCGGTTCCGAACCGAAGTTTTCATTTTCAACTTTACTCTTTCAAGTCTTCGTTCGCGAGAGCCGCGCGACTGGCGACATGGTCGGCACCGGAGGATTTATTCGCTTCATAAACGATCTCGCCGCCGTTTCTAATAGCAATCGTATTTATTGTACGGTACTTTACTCTTGTACGTATTTGAATTTATGTCCTAACGGTGATTCGAAAGTTGCATAGTAATTTCGGTTACTATTAAAAATTATATACCGAATGATAGGTAATGTTTTTGATGGGATATTAGTGCGGATTAGTGAGGAAGTTTTTATGTTGTTCTGAATAGAAAGGTGGGTATTAAATGGGTTTTGTGTTTGGAAATTATACCGATTTTGATTGAAAAGTGTTGTTTAATTTTTATGTTTATTATTTCTCGATTTTTAATAGACGAGATAATAATATTGATGTGATCTGTTCTGCGATATAAAGATAAATTTTATTGTTTATAACAAAAACCTCTTTTATATGATTTATTATTATCATTTCCAACGATTCGAAAGAAGATAAAAAATAATGAGAATGAAATATTGAGCAATTCTTATAGTACAGATTTTATCTACAATTATTTTAAGGGTTTTAATGCATTACTATAATGTTTTTAGACTAGATTACTAAACATTTCCTTCAATATTTTTTTTCTAAATTCACTACCCAATTAATTTCAAATATTTTTATAATCATTTAGTGCAAATTGTAATCATGTCAGTAGGTATGTCGTCTAATTCTGTCAAACTCAATAAAATTCGTGACCTGCATGTTATGCTCTGTAAAACGAATTCTCATTTTCCATTTTCCAAAATCACTCTTTATATAAAATTGTTTATAAAACAATTACTGCAATATGCAATTATCGTTATATTAATTGCTCGCTTGTCACACCATTTAACTTAAAGAACGGGCTTGCGATGTATAAACAACAAGTAAATAAAATATCCTTAAAAACAGAAGCATTACTTCATATTACGAATGATGATAAGCGAAGAATGTTGAAAAAATGTAAGAAATTCCACTGGGTCCTTTCGAAATATAATTATTTGGAGCACTTACTGTTTAACGAGTGCAAGTAAAAGATAAATAAAACTGGGATATTTTATGTGAATCATTAATGCTTATTTACATTTATACTGTTTATAATATAAACGTAAATCTCTCGATCAAATAGTAAAATTAATTTTATTAATCACACATGGGCTCTGCATTCATAGTCTGCTTTTCCAGATAACCAAAATTTATTAATACTAAAAATGCTACCGATACCATATGATATCATTAGAATGTAAATCTGAAGAATATTTATAAATTTAGTAAAATATACATAAATTATACCTCATTAATTAATATTCATGATAAATGCAATGATGTATACTGAATAATGAATTGTTTGAAACTTTCATTTGATAAATCGAATGTAGCTCGTAAATTAGAACAATTCCAGAGACTCAATGAGTTAAACGACCAATCTTAATGATACTTAATAACACCATACTTTAAAAACAATTTATTTACGTACACGAACATTAATTCGTTGCATTAAAAAATAACCTTCATCAATGTTATCGCCGCTAGATGTGTTTTCTTCCGAAGATAACCGGCAAATTAACTATGATAATTTTCGATTCATTAAAATATATTTTGGATGATTTTATGGTTGAAACGGTAGTAACGATTTTCGTTTAAAATAACGAGACTAATGGAGGAATGGGGGCTTTTGATGAAAATGAAACCCGAGGAATTTATCGTATCGAATGAGCGGATCCGCGACAAAAATATCGCCGGGAAGATGCATCAGCAAAGAAAACAAAAGTCGTTCCGGTAAGCAAACAGACGAGAAATAAGAAGAAGTCGAATGTGCATTTGTAAATACATTCTTGCGAGTAATTATTTCGAATCAAGCCTTTTAAGAACAGTTTTATAACGTGTGGATAACTTCCATAATGCCACACGCTTAAATTATTTATCAAATTCGAAAGAAATCATTATTTTTGCTTATTAGACCACGAAAATTGCATCCGATGTTCTGTTACTTATTGCGCTACTATAGTTATTTACTATTAGTAGTTTCCGTTCTTTGGTTTGAATAAATTAATCTATTATTAAATAATTATTATAAAACAAATAATAATATACAAACATAACGTTACCGAAATTTGTTAACTGTTATGTTTTTTTTGCGCATCGTGTTCTGTAACATCTACAGCTATTGCTAAAGCACTGTACATGTAATTAAATTGTTTTGAGCCAAGAATAAAAATTAGAAGGTACATATCCTCTTTCAAACAATCCCGATATAAGTAACTCTTAATGAAAAATAAATATTAGTTCTTCGTTTCGCGATTGTAAACAGTAAATGCTAATTGAACGGGTATATACATATTTGAAACTAAACAATATATGTATTCTTATGTTGCCTTTCAGTGTTCTTGCACTTGGTTAAGTGATATTGGTACTATTGTCTATTTAAAATTAGTTTGCTGTACCACATTTTCAATTAAAGCCCACTTGTATTAATTAAAACGAAAGTCACTTACTGTTATTTTTTTTCTTCTACGCCATTGCTCTAATCACGCCTTTCTGTAGCGTATAAGAATCCTTACTGAAGTGAATTTTCTTAGAACCTATAGTAAAAGAAAAATTTTCATATTAAACATTACAACTGTAAGACTTATAATTATAACACGAAATGCAATGTAGTATAAAAAATGAGTATTTTTAAACATGACACTCTATTATTTGAATTGCTAAAAAATCGTAAGGTAATAATTCCAAGTAGAAAGTAATAAAAGTTTCATTTAAATTTCAAACGTAACCAAACACGTTTAATTTTCCTATTATTAAACCTTGACGTGTTTATCTTCATATTTCGGTTGCAAATTGTACATTTTACGGGCAATCAACCGCTATGTTATATCTTCTTTTACACTATATAAAGTATTGTATTTCCTTATTTTAATCGCTAAGCACTAAATCCACGCGATGTGATGAGAAAATGCTATATACACCCTCGTTGCATGTGCCTTTATACATATACATACATAGAGCTCATAAAAGTAATACGACTACACCTTGAGCTAAATATAGTCTTAAATGCGCCATACGTGCACATGGGACTTATACAGTTTTATACAGAGCGGATAACAGAAACTATCGAGAAACAGGAATGGAGTTTGTATTCTAGTCCCAGCGAAATTTAGCTGGTAATTAATAAATAAAAACCTGCGTGAGAAGTGGTTTAGTCATCATATACTTTTATCTTATCTGTTGGATTCTTTTGAATGTACATACCTATTATTTCACAAGCTGACTTCAATCGCTAAATAAATATGTTGAAATAATACAAATACGAATCCATTATGTACTTGCGACGCCTATCTGATATTTTTTTAATATTGTTACAGGAGATTATAACGAGTCCGCCGGCAATATTCCCTGAAAATGGATGCACTGCAGCAAGAAAATGCAGAGCCTAACCAAGAGAAAAACGACAAATCTACAAATCAAAACGACAGCGGTTGCGAAACGAGCACGACAAAATCGATCGAAGAGACACTGAACAGTACAAATATCGATAATTTAGTAATTGCAAAAGACGCGAGCGCCAAAAAACACATAAACAAAACGGTTTATGCGCTCCTACACAGACCCCTGTCACCCAGTCGAAAAAATCAAATCGACTCGCTGAAATCGAAATACGAGAAAAGCGATAACGAAAAAGAAACCAACGAGAACTCCGAAGAAACTACTAACGGTAAAGAACTAATCAGAAACAAATCGAAACTGCCACTGCCGGTAACCAGGAGTAGCATAAAAAACGAAATCACACCCAACAAATTATCAGACAAACTTAAGCAACGCCACAGCTTGATGTTAGACAAGAAAACCAAGAAAACCGACGAAAACTCGAACGATGTGTTTAGAAGAAAAAGCAGCTCGAGCTCCGGAGAATTCATCACGATAATCCCGAGATCCGAGTCCGTGGAAACCGTCGATCAATTCGGTAAGGAACTCGACCTGTTCACTATGGACAAAAAGGTGAAAGAGAAGAAGCGCACCAGCAGCTTCAGGAAGATATTCTCCGGCAAAATATTCAATAAGGAGAAGAAGAAGAAAGACGAGACTGAAAAGATAATCGTTCAAAGCGATAACATGCAGAACGAGCACAGCTTTTCCAAGCAATCGACGCACAGGAGCAGCCACATACCCAAGCCCTACCCGCAGGAGAGGAGAGTCCCGCCGCCCAACATCGATATGCACGAAATAGAGAAACGTTACGCCGAAATGCGCGTGAAGGAATTCCACAGCATCAAGCAAAATTTCGACAAGCAAAACAACCACGTCGACGAGACCGATGAGATTCTCACCGTCACTCCAGGCCCGATGGATTTCGATAAAGTGACAAACATCAAGAAATTCATCGATACAAGCTCATCAGCGAGCGTGGAATCCGAGAAAGACAGCACCATCAAAACCTTCGTTGATCAAGAAATCCCCTACAGATCTACGAGGTTTATGGAAAATCACAGGGACACTCCGCCTCGATTGCAGGAATTACGGCAATCCCAGGACGTGCGATTAGTAAATCCGAAAGCTTTGATTCCTATTAATTCGGAACGACCTTTACCCAATCCATATCAAAAACCCGCTATTAGTCCCAAACCTCAACTAGCACCCCATCAAAATTCCCCAAAACCAAAGATTCGACAACAATTCGACTACAACTCGCAAAAAAACCCGGTTCTAAACGAAACCTACGGAACTGTTGTGGATAATATCGATAGAAGAATTAGCCAGAAACCGCCGAGATCTCCTTCTCTGGAACCCACTAAATTACGATTGCCTCCCAACAGAGATACCGGCCCGTTGTCCCCGCGAATGAGATCGCCCATTCCCCAGCACCACGTCAGTACAGAAAAATTAATAGCCACTGAATTACTAAGAACCTCCCGATCCCCAACACCTACTAAAAAGAAATCGAACCACCCGAGTTCCAGTCACCAAAAACTCGATACAAACGGAGATTATTCCGATAGCCAGAGAGTTGCAACGAAACCTCCAATTTCAAGAATGGTCGAACAAAAGGGCAATAATCAAATGTCGCCTAATTACGAAAATCAAGCCGCAATTTCACGTATGGCCAATCAAATCAAACCGAACTACGATAATAGAATTTCAACGAGGTACGAACGTGATTCTGTATCGAATTACAGAAACAGCATGTCGCCTAGCTATCAGAGTTCCCCTAATTTCGAGCCAAGAGGTCACCACTCTTCCCCTTACGGTAGTTCGCAAGAAGTACTAATGGCCAATCAAGTACCAATGAGATCTCCAACGCCGATTCATTTACTGCAAAACGCCGAATTGGCTTTAATCAAATCGAACTCTAGATGCTCCACGCCTGTGGATCAAAGAATCCCCCAAACCAATCAGACGCCTTCACCTCAAAAGGAAGAAATGAGAAAGAGCGTAGAAGCCTATTACTGGAAGGAGATCAAAAAACTAAAAGAGCAAGAAAACAGAGACTTGTACTACTATCAAATGCAAGTGTTGCCTTTCGGTTACGCCGAAGACCCAGTAAATTACAGACGATCCAGAAGCTCTTCGCCGTCTTCGTTACGAAACAGCAGGAGAAGCCTAAGCTTACCGCGTGAACCGAAACAATTCTTAAGTATGGACAGGTACCAGCATTTATCGATTCCAGAAGGAAGTACCGTGAACAACTACCAGAATCACAACGTGCAATACCAACAGAACTTCCGAAGGAACGTTCCGGAAAGGCGCACCATCGACTCGATCCCGAGATCGAACGGCAACACAATTTACAGGCCCATTTTCAAAAGAGGCAGTCTCACGACCCCTGTAAGAGAGTTTGCGGAAGACCAACAACAGAAGAGAGTTAGCTTCAATAATAATAATAATAACCAGAACAGGCAAGCCTGGCCCACGAGGAACGGGTACACCCAAAGCCCGCCGCAACGCAGAATGGAAACGGCGCGACAAGAAAGCCTTGAAGACGACGTATTTCTACCGAATCAACAACAAACTTCCAAGCTAATCGTCGATGGTAAAGAAGTGTACGGTTACGCTAACAGGCCGTACGATAACCACGTCCAACAGCAAGATCCTTATTATCAAAACGCGAACTTCTACAAGCAAATACACCAAGAGCCGGTTTACAACCAGCAATTGGAAGAATCCAGAATACCCAGAAGCATCACCAGATACAACTCCATGCAAATCGTCGACCCGTCTTACGGGCAGCACCAGAAAGTCTCGACGAGGAGGATGTCCGTGGACAACCCCCAAAACTACGCTGTTAAAACCAACCCTAACGCGCCCAGGCGGCAAATCTACCTAAAAGACGACATTTACGGTTACTTCGGGGGGTACATTCCCAACGACAAGCAAAACGTCCAGTACTCCTCCAGGCAGAACGTCGCAGAACCGAATTACGGTTACACCAGAAACCCCCAGAAACAAGTATCTGTTAGGGACAAAGTGTGCGATATTTACGGGCAAATACATGATAGAGAGAGCCCATCGTTGAGTGTTAGGAAATCCGGAGTGGTGCTCGGGCAGCTGCAGCAGGCCTATCCCCAGCCATCCGGCCAGAACTTCGTGAGGAACTCAAGACTGACCGCAAGTGCCAACGATATGTACAGGAGGTACCAAAACGTGGAGCACAATCCTAGATATCCCGCTAACGTGATGTATGATGGGTACCAGGAAAGGCCGTCTCCCAGGCCTCTCCCGCCGGTGCCCACGGATAAAAACGTGTACTATAGACAGCGCGTGAATAATCCGCAGGAATTTTGTGATGTACAAACTGTACAAAGTAGTAATAAAGGACGCGGCGTTGTCGGTAAGTGAGCCATTGGATATTTGAGCATTTGAGGAAGGATAATTCGTTTTAAAAACCGTGGTGGATGAATCGAAACGACTCCATTCAAACTCGAAGAGCTGTTGAACGTACTTAAATTTAAATTATTATGCGAAATTAAATGATGTTTTGATGTTGGAAGTAATTCCTAGTTCTGAAAGTTTGAATAAAGTCATTAACAGTGCTGGTAATAAATTTTAAGAGGTGCTTGGTGAAGGTGCTTTTTATTTTTTTCGTACTTTCTAAAAAAATAACGATTCTAAAATTGCGCTGTTCTGGGAATACCCGCTATTAATTTTTTGCACGGAAATAAATACATACATAGATACTAAATTTTATTCGTACTCAATATTGTGGGTATCTTATCTGCGTTAATTCTGCAATAGCACATACTATGGTTCATTAAACACTTTTTCATTAAACGCTAGCAATAAGATAAATATTTATATGAAGGTATAAAAAACTGTAACTGGCAGTTCAGTATTTAATTTATTGCAACTACTGATTATGCAATAAAACTTTCAAAATTTGATAAACTAATTTCCTTCATAAACGTGTGCCTACAGTTATTTTTATACCCACTATAAAACTATTATACAAATATTGTATATTTTATATACTTAAATATTGTATCTACTAGATTATTTCCTCCTCAAATCTCAAAATCTCGAATAAAGGCTGTTTACGATTTTTAATTGTATGTAAAAATGATATCTTTAATTATGTCTATATTAATGTTAGGTATATGTAGTTGGTTATTTTTTTATGTGTACATAACTTTAAATATCTACATTCAAAATGATAAACCAAAAATGCAATTATTAGAATCATAAGTTGAATGATGGAACTTTAAATTGACTAAAAAATGTGAACATTCGAAATTATCTCTCCTAGAACTACTTACCTATAAATAATAATATAATGCCAAGAATCTTAGAATGTATTAATTTTACACATACATACATTGTCGATTGCATAGACATTGTTAATGAAGCTTATTTAAATTTTTAAGTATTTTAAATACTTATATCATCCTTATATTGTTTTATATACTGTAATTTTTAATAATATAAATTATTTTATGTTTACCAACGCTATTTTAAAATTATAAGCCAAATAAATAATAATTGGAATCCTTTAAACATTTATTATTTCCCTCCTTTATTCCAGATTTTGAGAATATGTGGTACTAATATTATAATGTTAAAAAGTAAGTAATTTAAATTTAACGAAAAAAATACAAGTATCTACAAGTACAAGTCTTGTTCTTTTAGGCCAGCAAAAACCATATTTTCAACAATATCAACCTCGTATCAACAACAGTACAGAAAGAGCCATTCTTTTGGAACAACTACAGCTATTGAAGAGACAACAAGCATTGGAAATAAATAAATGTAAGAAATCCTTACATAATTAAACAAGTATTAAAGTATTGTGTAGGTATTAAATTTTGTAAAGGACAATTAATTGTTGTATCTGCTCAATACTTGCTGAAAAGGCTGCAGTTGAAAGTTTAATTTATAAATTTATATTTATAAGTATAAGTTTATATTTATAAATATAATAATATTATAAAATCTTCGTTTTAGGGAAAAATCAACAATCTCAGAATCGAAAATCTCAACAGTTCAATTCAAATTCTAGTAATTATACTAATAATGGATTGTCTTTAGAAGACTTGAAGAAGCAGGTGCTTTTAGAAGAACTGAAGCTACTTAGATTAAAAATTAAAATGGAAATTGACTTAAAATAAAGATGATTATACATACTTACTTATTATTTTATTTCTAAACTTTCTCCTCGAAAGACGAATTACCTATAAGCTTCATAAATGCGATTGACACTTTCTAAACCTGGCTGAGTAAATTCATTAGAACAGGCCTACTTTTTTGACTGAGACACCAGATAAAAATAGTAAACAAAATCTGAAAAAAGAAGAAGAAATTTATATCATTACCATAACCTAATAATTTATTAATTTAAATCTTTACATCTTTACCAGTTTTAAGTTTTCATAAAACATCACAATGTCCACAGAAATTGATGAAATTGATAAAATAATCGAAAAAACCGATTTGAAATGCATGCTGGAGTTCGAAACGCAAATATTCCTGGATATAACTCACAATGATGGCATAGTAGTTGCAGCAAAGTAAATTTAATGTATTTTATTCTATTAATCTCCCTATAATTCGATATATTTTAGAGGAATTAACTTAGACTTAGTGATATTTAACTTATTAAAAGTATACTGTGATCCAGGAAATTTAGTTTTGGTTATAAATGCCACCGAAACCGAAGAAAAACATTACAAGGAAAAATTGAACGATCCTAACGTGTACATCACAACTTCAAATACAAGTACTAAGGAAAGGTAAATCGCTTCAATTCTCATTGTATGTTGTTAACTGACTCATTATACAATTTTAGGGAAGATCTGTATTTATCCGGAGGCATAAATTTTGTTACAACGCGTATATTAGTAGTCGACATGCTGAAAAAACGACTCCCTATTGAAAAAATTACTGGGATAGTAGTTCTCAGGGCCCACTCGATTTTCGAAAGTTGCCAGGAAGCTTTTGTGTTAAGATTGTACAGACAAGGCAACAAGGTTGCATAAATCATACTCTTCGTTAGCATTTTTTAGTAACTATATTATTTATTTAGACAGGGTTCATAAAAGCCTTTACCAAGAACGTTCAGAGTTTCACGTTCGGTTACGGGCAAATTGAGAAAGTAATGAGAGCTCTATTTGTAAAGGAGCTGTATATTTGGCCTCGGTTTCATTCCATTGTTACGAAGAATTTGAAAGAACGCCAGGTATATTTTATTTTATAATAATATTAAATGTACGTTAAGGATATTTTTTTAGCCAATTGTATGCGAACTTCATATCCCAATTCCCGAGAAAATGAAAAAAATGCAAACCTACTTATTGGAACTGATGAATTTAACGGTGAAGGAATTAAAGCGAATTAATAAAACCATAGAGCTACAGGTAATTATAATTTTCAAAAACAATCAAATGATTTACCTAATAACTTTATTACCTTCAGGAAATAACAGTGGAGAATTGTTTAACGAAAAAATTTCACAAAATATTGCAAGCTCAACTAGAAACTATCTGGCATCAATTGAGTAAAAACAGCCTGCAATTAGTGGAAGATTTAAAAACCTTAAGGCAATTAATGGTGTAAGTACTAAGTACAACTTGATTTATTCACAGGTGTACAGGGTGTCCCTCTTAAGAACCGACACAGAGCAGGGGCATGTAGGGAAGCCTAAAATATGTTGTTTAACCCAACTTAACTTCATACAAAGTTATAGTCATGAGAAGTTATAGGCGTTCAAAGTGGAGTTACAAATAAAAAAAGTTACAAATAATTACATATCTCGGTAATACTCAAGTATTAAGTTAAAGTTGGGTTAAACAACATTACTTTAGGCTCCCGTACAAGCCCCTGCTCTGTATCGGTTCTTATGCGGGACACCCTGTAGAATAATATTAACTCGTTAAAAATTCTAGTACCATGTTTCATACTGATCCCATTTCATTTTATTCTGCTGCGTTAAATTGCCGCAGTAAAGAATACGCACAAAGAGCTAATTGGGTTCTTTTAGAGCCCGCGGAATTGCTTTTTTCCCAAGTAAACTCATTTGTATTCAATAAAGATAAAGGTAAAGAATTGTTTATGTATATGAACATTGATTAAACATAATTTTTTAAAGAATTTCAACCAGACTCTTGTCCAAAATGGGAACCTTTACTGGAGATATTGAACGTTGAAGTACCTGCTGAAATGAAGAAAGCTAACATAACAGACAGCCTTATTCTAATTTTATGCAATGATTATAAAAGTTGTTATCAGTTGAAAGAGGTAAAGTTCTGATATCACAAGCTATGTCTTTTTAGCTGTAATTGTTCTAGGTCTTAACAAGAGGTCCACAAAACTATTTATACATTAAAGCACTTGTAAACAACATACCAATCAAAAAAATTAGCAAATCTTTTAATGTGAACCAGGATATTGTTAATGTAGGGAGCAAAGATGACGAAACCTTGCCATCGAAAAATAAGAAACTAAAAACATCATCGACATCCGAAATCTCAGAAAACGAATCTCTGGAAAATCCCCTTGTTGAAGATTTTCTAAACAGTTATATTCTTACAATGAGTCAGACGATTTGCGAAGACAAATCCGAAGATCGCTCCAACGAAAGTAGCTACGTATTCGAACCTTTCACGCAGGTAAATATATCATTATCGTACTTGAAGAGAAAATTCTAATCAATTTTTACAGATGGAAAATATGGATCTAACGCAAATTTGCCAAATGATCAACGAACCGAAAATTCTCATCCAAACATTCAAAGGATCTGATAGATTCATTAACTTGCAATGCACTTTGGAAAACGTGAAGCCGAATTTCATTATCATGTACCATTGCAGCATGACGGCTGTGAGGGAAATTGAGGTAAACATACATTTTTTTCGAACTAATTTTACATTAACATCAAACTTTTTAAAGATGTACGAAGCCCATCGACAAAACGAAGCACCAACAAAAGTATACTTTCTCCTGCATGCTGATACTGTAGAGGAACAAAGTTATTTAACCACTCTTAGAAGAGAAAAAGAGGCATTTGAGTTCCTTATTGAAACCAAATCAGTAAGTTTAGTGTAATAAGTACACTCGCAATCTAAAGATTTCTTTTAGACTATGGTAATTCCTGCAGATCAGGATGGTAAATCTGATGATTGCTTAACGCTTCAAAGAAATTTATCTACCCCAGTAAAAAACACTCGAGAAGGGGGTAAAGACCAAGTACCCACAAGACAATTAATTATAGTCGATATGAGAGAGTTCAGAAGCGATCTTCCTGCTCTTATACATAAAAGAGGAATTGATATAGAACCTTTAACTATTTCTGTACGTTTTAATTCACTTTTTTTAATTGAGTTAATTGTGATGGTTTTTTTAGATAGGCGATTACATATTGACTCCAGAGATTTGCGTCGAACGAAAAAGTCTCTCAGATTTGATTGGTTCTCTAAATTCAGGTAGATTGCACCAGCAGTGCACGAACATGTCTCGATACTATTCACAGCCTATGCTACTGATAGAATTTGATCAAAACAAGCAATTTGGATGGCAGGTATAACTTGTTAACACGCAATTATATCCAAGCTAATTATATTCTTTTCATTAGAGTTATATGATCTCTAGCGATTCTAATAATTTTGATGTGCAACAAAAGTTATTGGTATTAACCATGCATTTTCCGAAATTGAAAATTATTTGGAGCCCCAACCCTTATGCATCAGCGCAATTATTCGAAGAATTAAAGGTAATACAAATTATATACACGGTGTCCCCCAACTTAACTTAACAACCAACTTTTGAAATATCGACGATTTTAAGTAATTGATTGTGTACCTACATGTCTTAATTTTTTAGCGTTTTTTCATCAAAACGGCAAAGAATTTTAAAAAACAATACGAATAAAATGTTTTAAAATTGAATTACCTGTGAAATGAACTAATAATTATAATTTTTTAAATCATCCATTAGATAAAAAAATCTGTAACAGTTTAAGGGAGCAACGGGAATGATGCTCCTTTACTATTAGTATTTACTGATTAATTCATTTTTAAAATTTGTAACTCCACTTTGAAGGCCTATTACTAGTCAGGAATGCAACTTTGTACTAAGATAAGTCGGGTTAAACAACATATTTTGGGCTCTTCAACCCGCCTCATATCTGTGTCCGTTCTTCTGTGGGACACCCTGTATTATTACCAATTTTTTATTCTAATTTATGTTCTAGATGGGAAAAGAAGATCCGAATATTGAATTCGCAGCTTCTCTCGGCGGGGAACAAGACTTGGATATAGTACAATCTAATTACAATTCGAATATTTATGATTTTGTTCAAAAGTTACCAGGAATAACGTCTAAAAATATTGATCTGTTTTTAAGGAAAGGCGTTAGTTTAGAAGAAGTAGTCAAAAAGAGTGAGGTAATTGCTAATTAATATTACTTATGTGAACGTGTATTCATTCATGATTTATTTTTAGGAAGAACTGAAAGAAATTGTAGGTAACTCAACAGATGCTAAAACATTATACTCAATAATACACGAAGAGCAAAAACCAAACGAAAATAACGAAAAACAGAAAAATAAAATGAAGGGTAAGTTTAGAGCTTTCAAGAAAAAATAATTTGTACTATTAAGTATTAAAAACCATTTATATTTTTACAAAATACTTTTATTTACTTCACTTAAATCCGTCTTAGCATTTTGATCGGTTATCTGAAACACCTTCATCAAGTTAAGTACATCTTTAGTCTTTCTGGCGTTAATCCACAATTTTCCATTTACACCTACAGCTATTTCGTAGCAAAATCTCTTGCCGAGCGATCTTAACAGTGGATTTTGAATGTCTAACAGTTTTTGAGCTAATGTTAGGCTGATATTCATCAGGAATCCATCGTTAGAAAGCACTCCTAAAGTACCGGCTCTGTAATAAGAATCCACACACACTAATTCCGGTTCCATTTCCCTATGAGCATTCAACAGTTTTGCGTACACAATATCGCCCACTTGCACATCAGGCTTCTGCTTCTTGGTAGCCCCCTCGAAGGCTAAAAGCGATAACGAAGCGTGCTCTGCACTACCGATGTCCACTTTCAACATGTCTCCGGATTTCTTCACTATAACTCCTACTACTAAATCGTACTTCTTAGGGATGTACCTGTTTCTGTTGCCTTCGATCCAGTACACATTGGGGCTCTTAAAATATAGCTTTCCAGGTTGGGTTACACAAATGGTATTCGGTTGATCCTCATTTTGTCGCAAACCTGGACCCAAAATTGTTACTCCTCGCACAGATTTCACATCTTTAACGACCTGGCCGGGTAAAACGAATTCTATTTGCGACATTTTACTTGGTACCTCTTATTTTGTTTAAAGTATGAGCATTTTTGGGACAATTTCAAACACACGAACTTAACCTTAAATTCGCGTCTTCTTTTTTTAGTTTTTCGTAAATCGTAGAACGAAACTTTTTGTTGATGTTTTATGACAGCATTGACAAATTTGACGTATAAAACGTTCTGTTAAAATTTGACAATATTGACACTGACAGAAAAATATAAACATTTCGTGCAACTTCATAGGCAGTAATTAAAATTGAGTGAAATAATCGTACTTTAGACTTTAGTAAATTAGTAGTTGTTAAGTCAATAATAAAGTAAGATTTAGTGCCAATTCGGTAGCCATATATCACAGATAAACTGACTGAATATGATAAACACAGGGTAAGTACCACAAAGTACAAGTGTCTTTTTGGAAAAAGTAGGTTGCAATTAAGTACAAACCTCATTAGCATATTGAAAATTAAGTACTTTCTAAATGATAGAATTTCATATTTTTTATTAACGTTTAATACCCCAGAAATACATAAACCCCGGTCATACATAAGAGTTTTAATAACCTCTCAAGCTAAAAATATAGCTCTATTTAAAAGAGGAACACTAAAAATACAACAAATTTTTAACGAAATAATCTTGGTACAACAGGTAGACTTTGACCTATTTTTATCTGATTCATGTTTACCATTGAACTTTCAGAAAACTAGCCGGCCGAACTGTTTTCATAACAGGAGCCAGCCGAGGAATAGGCAAAGCTATAGCTCTAAAAGTAGCAAAAGATGGTGCTAATGTTGTTGTGGCCGCAAAAACTGCCGAACCACATCCTAAACTCCCGGGAACTATTTACACCGCTTGCGAAGAAAGTAATATATTTGCATTACATTTAATTAACGTACTAGGATATGAGGATACGAGATATCATACTGTTGAAACAAATATCTTGAATCATTTGTTAATATTTTTTTAGTTGAGAAAGCAGGTGGTAAATGTCTTCCATGTGTAGTAGACGTAAGAGACGAAAGTGCAGTGAAAAAGGCAGTCGAAGCTGCAGTTAGTAAATTCGGAGGGATTGATATCGTGGTTAATAATGCATCCGCCATATCTTTAACTGGAACTGAAGATACTGAAATGAAGAGATACGACTTGATGCATAGTATTAACACCAGAGGAACGTTCTTAGTGTAAGTTCATCAGATAAAAAATTATTTATATTACGGTTTTTTTAATGTTGAAAATAACAAGTTTTTTATCATCCTAACTCATAAATAATTAATGACAAATATTACCATAGGATTTATTAAATTAACAACATTATTTTTGTGGAATTTTAAACGCCTCTGTTATCAATATTGTATGGGTCATAATTTAAGATAATTATTTTTAATTATTTACATACACATACAAAAATATTTTTATGAACTCGTTTGATTTAACTTTGTGTATGAGTAAATTTTAAAAAATTCGAATTTAAATTTTTCAGGACCAAAGTATGCCTTCCTTACCTGAAAAAGAGCAATCACGCCCACGTTTTGAATCTTTCTCCCCCCCTCAGTATGAACCCCTTTTGGTTCAAAAATCACGTAGCCTATACGATGGCTAAATACGGAATGTCGATGTGTGTGTTAGGAATGCATGAGGAATTTAAACCATTTAACATTGCTGTAAACGCGTTGTGGCCCAGAACAGGTATAAATTATTATTATGAGACGATGTTATTATAACATATTCTAATAAAATATAATTTTTTTATACGAATATTTCTAGCTGTTCACACGGCTGCTGTAGAAATGCTGAGCGGTGAAAGCGCGAAAGATTTCAGCAGAAAACCAGAAGTAATGGCCGATTCGGCTTATGCTATATTAATTCAAAATCCTTCATCGACTACCGGTAACTTCTTCATCGATGAAGATGTGCTCGTGAAGAACGGCGTAACGGATTTGAAGCAATACGCTTGTGTCCCCGAAAACGCTGACAAGCTTATGCCGGATTTCTTCGTCGATAGGAACTTGGAGGAAATTCAAGGAGTAAGTTAGAAGTAACATTTTATAGAGGTGAATAATTTGTAATAATTCTTAGGGCGAAACGAGAAATATAACGGAAAAATCATCGGCGCAGTCTGCAGCCCCAGAAGGCAAAGTTGCAGGTTTATTCAAAAAAATCGAAGCTTCCATTTCATCTGATACAGTCGCCAAGACTCAAGCTGTGTACTCTTTCAACGTAACTGGAGAGGAAGCAGGAAAATGGTACGAATTAAATCATATAATTTCTACATATTTTTACCATTTATATTCTTTAGGTACCTGGATCTTAAGAATGGTTCCGGAGTTTGCGGTCATGGTGAAACGTCAGCAAAAGTAGACGCTATTCTCACCATGGACAGCAAGCACTTTTTCGACATGTTTTCGGGAAAACTGAAGCCTGCCACGGCTTACATGACTGGCAAACTGAAAATCAAAGGTGACCTTACTAAGGCGTTGAAATTAGAGAAGCTCATGTCCAGCCTCAAGGCGAAATTATGAGAGATATTTTCGTTAAGTTTTGAATCATGTTTTTGGTAATGCTTCATATTTTATTAAGGGGAAATAATTTTTATACAATATACATGTAATTGAAGATTAAAGTATTTCATATTATAATATTTTATCATGTGTTAGCAACTTTTCTTTTGCAGATAATTGCATAACAATAAACTTATTTCTAAACATTCACATATTAACAAACAATTTTCCAGGATTCTAGCTCCTGCTATCCACACTATGATATTTATTTATAATCATTCTTGATTGTATATCTCGTTAACAGCACTCACGCACAAATTTTGATTTTCTGGTTTAATAATAAAACGCGATTTATTATCTTCGTTTGCATTGTGGAAAAAATCTTTTTGATGCGTTAAGTTCTGCAAGAAACTCCTTAATATCAGTTCGTTGCCACTTAGATTGTGGACTTTCCTTAGTAGAAATATTCCCCAACACAATTTGATTATGGATAAAAGCAGAAAAATCACCAGTAATATAACCAGTAATATAATTATGCCTTTATAGTTGTCCAATAAACTCTCCAATTCTTTCAGGTATTTCGATTCCCTTTCACAGAAAGTGTAGTTCAAATGTGACGAATTCAAATACAACGACGCGTTTTCTTGAAGTTGTTCTACAATAGCATCGCTTTCGTATACATATATATTTTCTAAATTAGTTGTCCAAACTGTAGTGTTACAAAGCTCCTTTTGCTCTAATAACTGCATGACTACATTTGTGTCGTTATCAATAAAATTCACGAATCGAAGACCGAACTCCAAAGTCCAATGCTCCACTATCCCACTGTACAAAACAGAGAAATCTTTTTGTATGCACGAATCCGAACAATTCCAGAAAATATGCGCATTTAGTTTGCGATCAAGGAAATAGTTATCCGAACACTGGCAAACTTGTTTTTCGGGCAAAACAAGGTAGTCGTTCAAGATATTTTTGCGCCCTTTCCTCGTGTAAACGTTCAACGATTTCTTGTCACTGTATAGCGGTTTATTAAATAACGGCAAGTCGAAAAAATATGTCCGCTGGTTTATTTCCTGCCGGTAGAATGGTACGCCTTTTATTACTCGAGGTTTACCGTACAGGCAAGTATCTTCGCATAAGTAATTAACGTTCACTCCGTAATCGACTATGCGAGCCACCACATAACTTTTTCTCTGCAACAACCCTTCTAGGCACGATTCACTAATTTCCATGAGTGCAAGTGAAAATATTGCAACGATATGAATTGCAGAGAGCCCACTCATTTTCGCTTTAAGTGATATCCCAAGACTAACTTTCAGTTTGTTGGCGAGGATGCAACCACAGGAATCAGTGATTAAGAGTCACTGTGCTATCTCAGGAAATTTATTTATCCAATGCGATTTCGAATTTATTGTGCAAAGTGTGGTTTTGAAATACCTATTTTTAAATAATCTATGTAAGAAGAGGTTTGTGTTTGATTACGTACTATACGATGCAGTTACTCTATATATGAATTGGTAAAATGTACTTACGTAAATCTCATCTTCTAATCTATTGCAGGTAATATACAATTTTCAAAAATCGGTTCTGTTTCTGCCACGGCTTACATGACTGGCAAGCTGAAAAATCAAAGGGGACCTTATTAAGGCCTTGAAATTAAAGAAGCCAATATCCAGCTTCCAGGCGAAATTATGAAATATATTTTTGTTACATTGGATCGTGTTTTTGGAAATGCTTTTAATAAAGGAAAAAAAATTATACTCAATAGTAATTGAGTATTAAAGTATTTCATATATTAGGAAAATAATACTTCATCATTTGTTACCAACTTTTCTTCGTTACTCTATTGAGTCAATTAATTATTCAAAAAAATCTACAGCTTAATTGTATAACAATAAACTTATTTCTAAACATTCACATATTAACAAAAAATTTCAGGATTCTAGCTCCTGCTATCTACACTATGATATTTATAATCAGAGTTGATTGTATCTATATCTCGTTAACCGCATTCGCGCACAAATTTTGGTTTTCTGGTTCAATAATTAAACGCGATTTATTATTTTTGTTTGCGTTGTGGAAAAACACTTTTTGATGCGTTAAGTTTTGCGAGAAACTCCTTAATATCAGTTCCTTGCTACTTAGATTGTGGAATTTCTTTAGTAGAAATATATTAGTAAAAATTCCCCAACACGATTTGATGATGGATAAAAGCAGCAAAATCAGCAGTAATAAAACAATAATTGTTCCTTTATCGCTGTCGAATAATCTCTCCAATCCTTTCAGGTATTTCGATTCCCTCTCGCAGAAAGTGTAGTTCAAATGCGACAAATTCAAATATAACGACTGGTTTTCTTGGAGATATTCTACAATAGCATCGCTTTCGTATACATATATATTTTCTAAATTTGTTGTCCAAACTATAGTGTTACAAAGCTCCTTTTGCTCTAATAACTGCATGACTACATTGGTACCATTATCAACAAAATTGATAAATCGAAGACCAAACTCCGACGTCCAATCCTCCACTATCCCACTGTACAAAACAGAGAAATCTTTTTGTATGCACGAATCGAAACAATTCCAGTAAACCAACGCTTTCAACTTGGAATCATAGCATAAGTTATTTGAACAATGGCAAGTTTTTTTGTCGGGTAAAACAACGACGCCGTTCAAGATATTTTTGCACCCTTTTCTCGTGTAAACCTTCATCGATGCCATAGCACTGTATAACGAATAATTAGCAAACGGTATGTCGAAAAAATATTTCTGCTTCTGATGGTCGAATACGCCAGTTACAAGTCGATTTGGTTCACCGGTCAGGCAATTATTTTGGCACAAGTAATTAACGTTCACTCCGTAATCGACTAGGCGAGCCACCACATAACTCTTTTTCTGCAACGACCCTTCTAGGCATGATTCACTTTCCATTAGCGCAAGTGAAAATATTCCAACGATATGAATTGCAGATAGTCCACTCATATTCGTTTTAAGTGATAACGCAAGACTAATTTTCGGTTTTTTGGCGAATTTGCAACCACAGGAATTAACTGTGCTATCTCAGGAAATCGTTTATTCTATGCGAAATAAGGGGAAATTTTTTATACAGTGTGTGGTTTTGTAATATATTTAAATAATCTATACATACAGGGTGTTCCAAAATGACATGATAATATTTAAGGGGGCGATTCCTGTACCCATTTCAAGGAAAAAACTTCATATGATCCTACATATATCCTAAACGTCTTAACTTTTGAGATATAGAGTGTTAAAGTTTAAGGAAAAAAATCAAATTTTTGTGATAACTGTGATACTATTGTAGATATGTTTATGAAATTTGGCACACGTCTTCTATGAATCAAAATACATTTTCTGATGTACAAATAATTTTATTATTTTCAGCAGTGGCCCCCGTATGGGTTTCGCATTGAATATTTTTGGGTACAAAAATGGTACGTCACTGCTTAATATTGAAATAAAAATTATTTTCGAAGTCCTCATTCAATTTAGAACAAATTTGATTTCTTGACTTTTTTCCGTACAATGCATCGTTTCGCTTAAAAAAAATAATAAATGCATTCAGTACACTACAGCTACATTAGCCGAGGGCTAAAACAAAAAAAAATAATAAATTTTTGGTTTAGGACATATGTTCATATGAAGTTTTTTTTCTTAAAATGGGTCCAAGATTCACCCCCATTATATAGCATGACATTATGGAACACCCTGTATAGGAAGAGAAAATACGGCATATAACATATAATTAATTGTAGTTCTCGCTTTAAGCTATATGTTAGATCTTGATATAAATAATATGAATTTGGTAATTACTCCAAGGACCTCTAGTTCATAAAAGTTACATAAAATAAATTTCGACACTTTTTAAATGAAATTTTCATCATACATCATTTTTCACTAATTTTTCGCCTTAGTATAAGTTTACAATTTCAAACCCAGCAATGACGAAATTTTCTGTTTTTTTATAGAATATTTAGTTGTAAAGAAATTGCTTCATTTGTAGTTACAAAAAATGTCTCTACTACCTGCAGATATATAATTCCATTATCACACTGTATAAATAAAAAAATTTAATGCATTTTCAAGTCAAATGAGTTTTTGTTATTAATATAAACCTGTTTGCCATTTCAATTTCAGAATACTGCCAGGTTCATTAGTAAGTATAATTTAAAGTAAAAAAAAACGATTTCATTGACCTAAACTTTATTTTTAATTTAGGCTTCGTTAATGGAATCATCAATTTCAGTCAAATCTTCCGCGTCGGCGTCTTGTTCTTCGGACATGCTCAACGAATGCCTCGACTTGTACATGTTGATCCTCGATAAAGTTCTCCTGTCTTGCTGGCGTTTGCCATCTTTTTGAGCGCCAGCTTCTTCAGCGGGAATTTTCACTCTAACAGAGGCTTTGCTCTCTTGAATTTCATCTTCGTTTTTAGTTCTTCTGTTGGTTGTTGTACCCTCTTGGGAATTGGAATTTGCCGGTCTTCTAGTTAGGTAAGGTCTCTTGAAATTGCCTCTCATGGTAGTGACGTCGTGATTGTCGGGAGTCGTGGATTTCTCCGTGGATTTCCCAACGGCGTACGAATATTCATCTGATGTTGGTTCTTTATTTTTAGCATTCATTGCTTTGTAGGAATATTTGTCGGCTACATTTTTCGGAACGGGTAAATTTACTTTGGGAGCCACTCTTGGACGGTCGAAAATGGTACCGCTTGTAGGTTTTATTATTGTTTTATCATCGTCCCGTTTGTGCACTCTCGGATTGTCTTCTTCCTCTTCGTACTCAACAGCAGGTCTTCTGTTTGCGGGTCGATTTTTACTTGATTCGCTAAGAGGTTTCTTGTTTACTGGTTCATCATCGTATTCTTCATCGTAATAATAATCCGGTTGTTTGCGGTTAGTTTTACCAGTATGTTGTTTTCTAGTTGATTGTCGCCTTGGTTTGTTTCTGCTTGCGGATACAGCTCCTCCTCTGTTAGATTTCCTTCTTCCTAAAACAACCAATCAAGTATGTATTGCATATACAAATCTAGTATGATAAACTTACTAGGTTCCTCACCTTCCAATTCATCGTACATCTCGTACTCCTCGTCTTCATACTTGTCTCTTGTTCCTTGATATCTCCTCATAGGTCTGTTGTAGGGTCTTCTTCTACGAAGATCCCCTCTTCTTTCGTATCGATCTTCGTAATAATCGTACTCATCGTCGTAATATGGCCTTGCTGGTCTGGGTCTTTTCCTCCTGTAATATGGGGGCTCCTCGTAATCGTAATAATAATCGTAGAAAGGGCGTAGTCTGGCCGGCCGCCTTCTTGGCATCACTGCCAGAGGTACCTCAACGGGAATTTGGGGCGTGAGGACCTAGAGAATTGTTATAAGTAAATAAATTAATGCGTTTAATTTTATGTACCTCTAATGGTGCTTGTGGGTTATGAGTAGGTTGGGGCGGTGGTGGAGCTGCATTAGTTTCCGCTTGTACTGGACTAACATTGGGTTGAGGGATTCGTCGCAATAGGGGATTCCTACGCGAAGGTCCGACAGCCGATGGCGGCGCTTGGGTATAGTAGCTGTATACAAGCGCTGGCGGAGGCTCCGTTGGTTTTTCTTTGTACAGAGCGTCGTTTCTGGAAGGAACGCGGTTTATTAAAAAGCTTGAGAATTATTTGAAACTCACCTGCTCCAGAAGTTCTTCGAATTTTTGCAGTCCACCTTGGATACGAAATTGCAGTTAAATAGCGTTTGATCGAAAGCCGTGTAGTTGGCACATAGGAAATCATAACGGTTTCCAAACAAGCAGTGATGATATACCTATAAATGACCACAATCAATATCTGTTGAGTATTTTTTTTTCATTCATTGGCTACCAGATAAAACAAAATTTAGAACCAATTTTCTTACCTTGCAACCAGGTAAACTGAAGAAATGGCAAAAAAATAAACAACGAATTTTTTTATATTTATTATATTAGGGAATCCGGATTGTTGGCTCACATTTCATATTATCATAAATACACCTATCTAAATTTAAATTAGACCTAATTTCATATGGCCGTTGAGCATGCTATCAGTATCTCGGATAATACAATTGAGTATTCTGCGTTTGTCTAGGCCTGTAATTGTCTTCTATCACACTATAATATCCGCCTCGGTAATTCGCGTTAGACTGTACAGGCTGCTCTCTAATGCTTCCTCGGGGGACTTGCTGTTTATTTCTAAAAACGTAATCGGACGTTGCGGGCGCCACAGTTTGATCGGAGTACCTATTTTTTTGATAATTATTATTTTGGTAATTATTCTGCACTTCGAAACCTGTAGGGTAAGCCCTAACCGGCAGATTAGGTAAAGTGGGATTAAGTGCATCGTTTAGCGTAACATCGTAATCCTCCACGTTTATATCCAGAGGATTTTTGTATTGCTTGATAGTTTGCTGCCGGTGCGTCGACTCCATTCCGTACTCTTCTTTATTGTCGCGAATCTTGCTGGAAGTCGAAGGTATGGGGCGAAAATCCGATTCAGTAAAGTCGTGTACTTGTTTCGTGCTGCTTTCTGTAGATTTTGTTACTGCGTGTACACCTACAGGCTGCAAGCCTCTTGCTGCAAAGGGATTCCCGCCTCTGCTGGGCAAAAACGGCCTTTTCACCAAACGAATTATAACCGGCTGGTCGAATTGCGATAGATGATCGCTGAATTCCACTGGAGCAGGGGTAGTGGTTGTCGTTGTAGTAGTAGTAGTAGACGTTGTAGTAGTTGTGGTACTAGTTGTTGTTTTGCTATCTTTTTCCTTCATCATTTCCTTACTGGTCGGGTAGAAATCCTCGTCGTCTTCGTAATCGTAGTAGTAATCGTCGGTGGGTTTCTTGGTTGAGGGTTGGGTGCTGGTTTGGGTTTTGTTCGGCTTTATTTTAACCGGTTCTTCGGTCGTCTTTGGTTTGATTTCTTCGTATACGTCCTCGTATTCCGGCGTTTTTCGCGTCGTCGATACGGACTTGTAGGCGTACTTGTTGGCTTCGTTTTTGGGCACCGGGGGTTTAATTTTAGGGGCGATTCTCGGTCTATCGTAGATCGTCCCACTGGAGGGTTTCACAATTGTTTTATTTGTTTCTTGTTTAGGCGGTTCCTTCTTATCTTTACTGGTTTTCTCAACTGGTCGCCGTTTCGCGTTCTTATTAGTTTCTAAAGGTTTTCTACGACCTGTAAAACAATTAATAACATCACTCTGACACCAATTTATTGGGAAATTATCTTACTGGTACTCGTATCATCCTCATACTTATCCTCTTCGTCTTCCTCGTCATCGTAATCGTACCTCGGTCTCGTTTTCTGTCTACCTCTGGTAGGCCTCCTTTCGTACGGTCTTCTGTTTTCAGTCCTGCGACCGCCTCCGCCGCCTCTTCTCTCGTACCTCTCGTCTTCGTAGTCGTCTTCGTAGTCTTCGTAGTAAGGCCGAGGTCGGGGCCTCGGTCTTTTTCGACCCCTCGACCTCGGCCTGTCGTCGTAGTAAAAATCGTCGTAATAATCGTCATAATAATCGTAATAAGGCCGGCGCCTGCGGTACGGCCTTCCCACTAGCCTCCTCTGGTCTAGTACTGGAGCTACCGGAGCTACTGCAGCTGCTGGAGGAGCTGCGATCGCTGGAAGCGCTGGTGCAGCAGGTGTCGTGTAGATAATTACTGGTTTGCTGGTCGTTGTTGTGGCCGCTTGGTAAAGCGCGTCGTTCCTGCGAATTAGAAAATTCTCAATGGGATTTACGTGGAATGAGTTATTGGGTTTTGCTAATAGACAGTGCTTTAATCATAATTTAATTGCCAATCGGTGCCACTGAAATTTTAATGGCCTAAGGCTGTTCGGCTTGACTGATTGTTGATGAATGGCCATTACAATAATTGCAGTTTTGGTATTCGCTAACAACTTTATTATTATTGTTCGAGTTAATTAGTTTTTCTCTTTCTCGAAAATTATCTTCAATATGGTATATGCAGAGAAACGGTGGGTAATGTGCAAGTATAGGTGAAATGGTCCGTTTCTTATTTAGGTAGTTAGTAATTTCTGGATTTTTTTATTCTTACCTGTGCCAGAATTTTTTCGAATTGTTGCAATCTACTTCGGATGCAAAGTGGCAAATGAAGGTCTTCTGATCAAATGCTGTGTAATTGGCACATAAAAAATCGTATCTCGTCCCGAAAAGGCACTGGTGATAAACCTAAAAATATAAATAATTCGTGCACACATTGACCTGCGTAAAATAAATTAATTCGTATGTTAGACGAAATTTTGGATTAATGCATTTTTGATTTTAAACTCCATTATTTTTTAATAATTTTGGATTCCAAAAATAAACTGCTAATGGATTAACTGAACCAATTTACATCTACACATCCAGTTTAATCACCTTAAACCAGACCAATTAACATTTTATGTAAATCAAGTAACATTTAAAAAATAACAAATAAATTATACAGAGTGGCTCAGATAAATAAAACTCCAAATTCGCACAATTCAACTTGTACAAAATTGTACTGACATAAATTAGGATAAAATTTGTCCACTCCTCGACTACTGAAAAAGTAAAACTTGTCGGTAATGAAGTGTATAAATCGATTTCAAAAATAGAATTAATACCCATTCGATGAGGTATTTAAAACGATCCGGTAGGCCTTCGAGTGAACGAGTGAACGGAAATTTTTAAAATACCCGTAATAAATGCATACTTATTCATTATTCGAATGATTAGATGCATAAAAAACAAGATATGCTTGTAATAAAAGTGTACCTTTCTACATTGTTACTTTTACCAAGGATAGGATTATTATGGTTATTAATAAGTGAAATGGCCGGTTTAAACCGAGGATCACGAAATAAGATAAGATTATAAATTGATTAGGTCTTTAAGTTTGTAAACTTAAAAATAAAATTAAAAGAAATTATATTATTATGTCTCGCAAAACTGAGGAAATTACTTTAATTTCGATAGTATAATTGGGCACGATTAAATAGGCAATTTAGTGGTATTTCTCATGGAGAAATTCGGTGGCGTTAATTATGTTTTTATGTTTTTTTCGTGCTGAATTTTTAAACATTTTCTATTCATTCATTGCCTACCTTTGGTAATGTTTAAAAGGAACCTCATCGATCGCAGGTATTTCTGGATATACCTAAATATCCATCACCCAAGCCACACCTAAGAAAATATTTAAGTTGATATCATAGAAAATAGAAATTTTGTACAGAAATGTTATTGAAGAATGAAGAAGTAGAAGAATCCTAGAAAAGACAGAAGATTAGAAACGGAACATTTGTTTTAGTCAAAAGGTATATTTTAACGTAGATATTTATGTACAGATATATTTACAAAAAAAATGCACTTACCTATCCTTTCACATATAAGTTTGTAGGCACTTAGAGTGATTATCACAATAAACACCAGATAGGATTTAACAAAGAAATTCATCCGTTAAACAAGTTTTAGTACTTTTACATTGCAAACAGGCACAAGAAAAGCATCGTTATAGAAGACATTTTCGAGTTAATTTTTTGAAAAAAACTTCTATATTTACACCGATTCCAATTTAGTGTCAAAATATTAGTAAACAGAATCACCCTTATGTATTTTTGTACAATAGTTAGATTTAAATTTAAACCAAAGTTTACCGTGCACACTTTAAATATGTACAATTTTTGTAAAACATAACCATTCATACTAAATTTATTTACACTTGAATCCTGTCGAATTAAAAAAATTTGAATATCTAAGTGAAATAATGTAGCTTGATACAACATATCCTAGAGGCAAGGAATTTAAATTAAAAATATTTCAAAAATTCAAATGAACTATCGGGCAATTTACCTGGCATTTATGGACCACACTAGCATAAAATCCATCGTGCAGTCCATCACATTTGAACGTTATATTTTCCGGCACCCTTTCGTAAAAAGGATAATCGGACAAATTGTATCCGTTCAATTCCTTGGGCAGATTCGGATCCCAGATGTAGTCGATTTGAGGTATACCCGTGAGTACTGGTTTCGTCACATTGCTGGTCCCTTCTGGCGCAGTTTCAGTCGTGTTCGGCTGGAAAAATTCATGAATTTATGCGGAGAACCTCAAAGAATTATGGACTCAAGTTATAAAAACGTTAGTTACTTTATAAACGGACAATTCAAATGCAATGTTGGGATATAAACTAATGTAATGGGGTAATAAAAATGTTGTTTCTATTAGTTTGTGTTGCCACATATCAATGGACTTTTTCTAAACAATTACGCCACAAATATCTTACATGTTACAGGTAGATATTTATGATAAGTGGTGTATGTAGGTATATAATAAAAATAAAAAAGTTAATCGATGGATTTCTTAAGAAATCTGTACTAGGAAAAAAAAAGCACTTTGAGCAGGACCACCAAATAATCAAGTTTTTTTGCTTCTTAATTGATAAAGTAATCATATCGATTTCGATACTCAATATCTGCAAAATCTATTGTGTAGAAACCAGCGCTCTTTTCCTGGTAGTTTAAACAATAATTTAACAAAAAAAACTGTAATTTTTATCATTATTTCACATTATCAACAGTTCTACATAATTGTGGGTAGATCCTTGTTCTTACGTCAACTTTAATCAATACCTAGCTCGACTTTCTATACTGTAACAATGCCTCTTGATGGAATCCGACCTTGAATTATTTTTTTCTATTAGAGTTGAAGAATTCTGGCCATGCAAAGATGGTCGAGGCTCGAAGCGTTTAATAAATAATCAACAATTCGTGAAATACACGAGATTTTTCGTTGAAAAGCGCGACATAGCGCGCCGAACGGTTCGAATTGTATTTTGTTGCGGTCTAAATAATACACTTTCTATTGGACAGGTAGAATATCTAAGCTCATTATCGTTCGTTTGGGCATAAATAATTTATCGCGGAGAAAATGGTAAAATCGCGGCGATAATTGATGACTACACGACAAAAGTGGGCACTTTGAATCGAACGAGCGCGGCTCGCGTCGATTTGAATTGAATTGTTTCTGTTTTTCCCACATTTCTGGGTTACATTAACCGTGATGTAACGAAATGATAAGTTGCCGAGCAAACTGCCGACGAAGTTGCAAGTTGTAAATTGCATTTCGACATTTCTTACTGCATTTTTTTTATTTATTTCAATACGTTTGTTTTGAGATAATGAGGTTTTTTAGAAGTTATAAATGTATAAAGTATAAAGAGAAACAAGAGCTAGTACAATCAAATGATATGAGAAAAAAGAAGATGAGTGAATATGAATGAATAATCTTTACCTCTTCGTCTGAAGATTCCGATTCTGATGGTGATGCAGTGCTAGTTGTGGTGCTAGTTGAAGATTTAGCGAAAACTAAGGAAGTTGCTCTTGCTCCATGAACGTCCCTTATTGTGTTTACCCATAAAATACCTAGAAAAAAATATTTCTAATTTACACTGGGAATTACAAAGGATTCTTACATTCCTAAAATCCCTTGCAAATCATTGCAAAAGTGGAGTTACTCCTCATTGAAATTAATTTTCCATTCCTTATAATTGGCTTTTTTTAAATCCTCGTCATATTTTATTAATTAAAAAATACAAAAATTTAATTATACTAATAAATAATTATTATACCTAAGATAGGCATTTAATTCTCAACAATAAATTAGTTTGCTTGAAATTCAAGGATCTCTTTCGTATTAAAATCTTGTAATAACATGTCTACTTGCATATTTTTATTTTCGTTTTTCGATTCGATGAATATTTTTTTCATTGCATATATATTTTATTGACAAATTATACGTTTGCGTACCTATATGTTCTTAAAAGGCCGATTCGTTTCCGATGTGGGTACTCACTTACAATGTGCAATAACCATCCGTTAAACTCGTAAAATTAATATTTCATGGGACGTTGGGCGCACCTTGATTCGTTTATTTTCAATTCTGTGCAGTTTTCAGTGTGTTGAAAATTTCGATAAAGAATTCTACCTGAATAAACAACATTCAAATATTCGAATTGAGGCCTTGCATACGAAGTCTAAATCCAAAAATATCTGAAAGTAATTGATGTTTTCGTCTCCTACGATATTTTTTCAATACTCTACAAAAATAACAACACCGCTTGCTAAATTATTCTCACTTTCGATTCGTCTAAAGAAAATCTTTGTTATTGAGAACCAATTAGCATTTCACACTTTTACTGGCTACCATTTTTATAATTGCACGTTTTAATGTGATATTCATTCGAAAAAGTAAGAATAATAATCGTTCAATTATGCAGTGGTTGAGTATCGTGAGAGCCTTCACCTAGATATCACCATATGCTGTTAACTATTAGATTTATTTTTAAAACTAATTTGTTTGATTCTGCGGATTCAGTTTATAACAAAGTCATCAAGATGCGTGCGTGATGTATTGTATGAAGTCGCATATTGTAAATAATCATTTGCCTTATTAGAAACTTTTATAACTACACAGATATATCAATTATTTGAAGAGGTTTCAGTCGAGAATTTTTATATTTAATTATCTTAATAACGATGTGAGATTGAACTTGATTAAGCAGATGTATGGATGAATAATAATGAACAAAGTGTTGTTAAACAAAGAAAAGTGAATAATTAATTAGAGAATAATACACAATTAATTACATATGCAAACATTAAAAAATGTAGGGCAAAAAATTAGCAGGTATCTGTAGTAGATAAATAATAAGTAAAATGCATTATTTGTCGCAAATGAATAACGAACACCCTCTTTTCGAAAGCATAGGAAAGTAAATGTTTCAGAATAAAAAAGTTTTTTCGCAAATAAATTATTAAAGTTACTCTGTGTCCGAATGATATAAAATAGTTTAAATAAGAAGTGAAAGTTTTTGGAAGTATCTCCGATGGAGTCGTAATTTATTATCCGGGCAATAATGCAAAACACACTATCTTCTCATCGAGTTAATATTTCCTCGAAACGATTTAATATCTCAATAGTTTGCGGTCCAATGGTCATTTAATTTAAAGTAATTAATAATTAAATAGAATAAATGATTTATCCAGTTGGTTAATGTCAAATGGTACAGAAATCTCAATTATTCTTTGTATCCCTGATGGTGAAGTGGTTTTGTAGTAATTTAACTTTTTGTCCTAAATAAATAGGTACTAAGCAATGAATATTAACATGGTTTTCTAAATTTTATTGAAAGCGATGTGGTTTCGAAACCCAGCAGAAGTGGAAATATAATATTTTACAAAACAAAATACATGTATAACATGTAGAATTAAATTAAAATTAATTGGTTACTTAACTTACAGTACCGTTGCAACATTACAAATTCAAATGCATTTTTAATATACTTTCATTAAGTTAAATAACAAATAATCATTAAATGTAAATGTAAAGCATATTAGCAAACCACTGCATAGAAATGCATAACTCCAATTAACACTCTAATACTAGAAAAGAAAACAGAAGAAAAATAGTTTGCATATTCGAGATGTTGATGTAAGCCCCAAAAATTATATCAACAAACCCAAAAGCAACACACTTACTAAATTATTATTTAATAATCCGATAGGTATGTCGTAACAGGCCTGCATAACTGAGTAAAAGTCAGACTATTTCCGAATCGAGGCGTATACGAAATGGAAAGTCTATTATAATTTGACTGCTTTTATTTGGGACATGTATGTTTTGTTGATACACGTTGTTGCTAAATGCACAGTGCATGGATTTTAAATTTAATTCCTTCATACTTTCTTGATTTCGAGAATTCGATTCGTGCCGGATTTTCAACTAAAACGTTCCGATTCGTGTACTTCATTATTGCCGGTGGATTGATTGGGAAAATTTCATCCACAGGATTATTTATTAGGTACCTATTCAATAGGTATCAATAATTTGATTTATGTGTACCTCTTTGACTTACTTTTTATGAGATTACGAGATTTATTATGTACCGAGTTTCGCTCGTATTTATATTAGAATTTGACACTTTTTATTAAATTTGCCAATATCGCTAATAAGCGGTTTGAAAATCAAATAAAAGTGTGTCAGCAGGATACCTCAAGTGCGAACAGATGAAGTAATAAGACGTATATTATTACCGGCAAATAATGTTATGAAAGACGCATAAAACCAATATGCAAAATACAACCTTTTATCACCGTAAGTTGCGCAATTTGATATTAAATAAAAACGGCTAATAGATCAATAGAATTAGTAATTAGTAAAAAAATATGTTGCCTTGGGAAACTCCACGCGGTGAGAGGTGGGTTCGTCGTGACGTCCACATTTCTTGTGAGTTACGAGGAATTTAAAAAAAGCAAAACTTATAGTGAATTAATGTTTATATATGTGAATATGTGAATTAATGTGTGAATGTAAACACTCACCTGCTGATAAGAGTATCCAAAGGCCTAACGGCCTCTTCATCCTCCTGAAACACGAAAAAAATCACATTAACAAAAATTAATATAATTCGTTTTAACGCAGCAGAAGAAGATAAACTTTCTTCTTCTCGCAACAAACACAGGCGACTTTTTCACCAAAATATTGTATTATTTGCATTTTATTCAAATTCCCCTTCAAGGTTTGGCTTCTTCGGCACCGTTTGCATTATAATTAGGAATTTCAGCCAACAAACAGTTCTTGAGAAATCCCATTGAATTTCATTTCGATCAGTTAACAGAAACAATAATTTTTCAGTTATGAAATATCGGAGATACTATACTTAATATTAGACTATATGCACTTATTGTAATTACTTGTAACCTTTTTATACAATTTTTATTCTTATAATGATTGTATCATTATAAATATCGCGCCCTTTATAGGCTCAAATAATAGAGATTTAACCTATGATTACATTTGTCGCATTAATGGGTTGATTGGATCAAGGTGTGTTAGATATTAAATTTTCTATTGTTAAATTATGCACTTTCCTGTACTTGGTGAATTTATAATATTTTATGAATCTTCGAGTAATCCATAAATACTATACGAGCAATATAGTTAATAGTAATTAACAATCTGTAATTAAATGTTCTTAATAATTAAACCGTGAAAAAAGATTGAAAGTAAGGTACGGATCATAAAGCAGCTATGCAGTGAAACTTGCTGTATATGTTAAACAAAAGTGTGAAAATCGATCAACCCGTTATTATTTACCGTAAGCATTTTTTTATTATCTAATCATCAGTTCGTAATTTAATTAATATGTACGAGTATAGATTCATAATTTCAATAAAAAAAATGGTAAGGAAATAAGGAAAACTAGATTTACTTCATAAGAATTCAGATATATGATAATTTTTGATTTAATGAATAAACTATTATATTCTACTACCATTGACTTTTGTTAGAGAAGGTATCTTTAAGATAAATAACAATATATGTGAATAGTGCAATTTACGCTTCTTATACTAATGAAAAATTACAGTAGAACATTTTCTTTAAAAACGACGACTGACGATGCGAAGAGAACTTTCCGCGATTTTAATTGCCCGTTTCCTGCAAATCAATATTTGCCTTGCTCTGCATAGAATAGCGAACAGCTAAACCATATCTGTCTTTTTGCATTGCGCCCGAGGTGCTATAAGGTGGCAATGGTGTAACAAAACAACTTTTACTTTCATTTGTCTTTACACATACAGGTTCGGTCGCAATTACGAGCGTTCTGCATCCAATTTGGCCACATATTTACCTAATTTACGAGTGCAGCGTTTCCCGAGAACGGCGTCTCGTTTTACTGCAGCGATTATTCGAATCGCTTAACGGCAGGTGAAATGGAAATTGATCGATTAAAAAATTGAAATATAGCTAATTTGATTATTTGTTGTCGTGAAACAATTTCTTTTGCTACAAATGGGAATTAAACGATTTAAAAAAAATCGATTACGTAATGTTATTGTGCTTTATAAACAGGTAATAAGAGTAATTACTTTCATTTTTCTAATAAAAAGTTAACAATTCAACTTCTTTTTGAGGTGTACCTATTACAAAAATTTATGAAAAAATAAAAGTTATCTATTTCTACAAATCATTAAGTACGTCACATACGATACAGGTAAATTCGAAGGCTATTTAATTTTTTTCCTAAAGCAAAAAATGTTTTATATAACGAAATAGTATAGGTGGAATAATCTTGACACACCCAACGCATGCACAATACCGCTATATCTTTAATGAAGGAAGTGAAAAGAATTTCTTGTCGGGTTATAATCGACAAGGTCGTTACCGAAATGCAGCAAACAAAAACTAAATTACTCTTTCTTCCTAATGCATTCATTGTACACTAATGCACGAATAATAGGAAAACAATTTAACTAATAGCCACTAGATATTTCTAATAAAGTGTGCCAGACTATTTATGACAAAAGTACTTTACTTATTTAAATCTGCTAGTCATTAACCAATCGCTTTCATCGTAAAAAAATAATGTGGAAGGCGTTATTAAGCATTATTTGTCGTGGATAACCTGGGGGCATATTATTTTTGGAGAAACATCTGTTGTAATTGAATCAAGTAGAAAAAAAGGTGCTAATTTGTAATCGACCTACTTTATTACAATTGGAATATTCGTACTACATTTAATTAGCAACAATGCCCAGATTTAGATAGCTGAAATGGACAATAAATAAAGTAGAAATTAAAATGTAATCTAATTGAATATCAAAATAGTATTAGCACCATTAGAAATTATTTTCACACAGCTTTGGATAGATTTTTTGAGAAATAGGTATGTTTTATGAGTTATAAAATTGTTTTACTGCTGCAATTATTTTATAATATATTTCACAAAAGGTCACCACCGGATACAAACCACTGAAACAGTTAACTCTTTATGGATATGTAGGTGTACCAAACATAGAACTACCGTTCGAAATTGTAACTGCAACAGTTAATAGAAAATTGCATAAGCCTTACGTTCTTATCATTTAGAGAGAACTAAATTTTAAATCCAGCATTTAATGAACTTACAGTAAAGTAATTAGGTACTTGATTAACTTATCATCGTCTTAAATCAATCATTCCATACTAAAAAGCCTTTAGAAAAACTATATCTATTTTACTTTAGATATCATTTCAATTATTCAACTCTCTACAACTGTAATTTTCTTTACATAATGAAAGTCCCTTATCTAACCTCGAGTTAAACGCATTGTAATAAATTCGTTTAAAATCTTCCAGAACATTAGGAAACAATTTAGTTTCTAATTGCTAGAATTAACAAAGGGATTGTACATCACGCCTACGAATCAAGGAAGTATTCGTTGCATAATAAGAGAAAAACATTTTATTCGATAATATATTTGTTGGAATAAATTGTTTGTGGCATACTTATAGATTTGAAATTCAATCTTTTTATTATGTTGTCTCTAAATACGCATTTAGCATGGTTTATGAGCAAATTTTTTTTCTTTTATGCTCAATAATAAACATAAAAAATATGTACCTATTTGCAATATCTAATTAGCAATTCGTCAATATCCAATTTTTAATTAACAATCCTTTGAAAACACAATGCAAATAATTGAAGTGTTTTAATGAGGTTCTTCCAGCAGCACGTGCATTAAAATTAACTGCATCGTCGATTTCATGCCGCCTTCGTTCTGAAATCATTGAAGCTGGCCAGAAAGAATGGTATGTATGTGATGTCGAAACGAGCTATTGAAAAAAAAAAGAGAAGACCTTGCCGATTGCGCTATGATAAAAATTTATCTGAAGCATTGTATGCAAAATAGAAAAATAAAACTTTCGATGCACACTAGAAACACTGGTCTATCTGAAAGTCCCATCTTGGGTTGAATAAATCATTTAATCAACGTTCTTGTGAAGAACATATGAGAAATCGGAGAGAAATTAGATTTACAATTTAAACGGTTCACACTAAATAGCTGGTAAATGTTTGAATTGCTTAATTAATAGACCTCTCAACGTTTTTTATGTTTATGTATTTTCAGTTCACCTTGCCATTGACTCGCTCGAACAGAAGTCTTAACAATTGGTCATAAATGCAAATCATGGGCATAAACCGAGCGTACCTTCGACGGAATGATTTATGCATATTGATGGGATTTAATTGACATTCACAATATTCGTTTAAAATGATCAAAATCTAAGGGGTCATGAACCTTAAACAGGCTACTTAATAACAAAATTAACAGTAATTATGTATAAAAAATTAACATTTATTTATGTTTACTACGTAGATGGAAGATTCGATGATGAAAGATCAAAGATTCGATTAAATTGTATTGCGATATACTAAGTTTTCGCAGAGATTTTAATGATCACGTAGGCAAGAAGCAGTGCGTTTCCATAACCATTTTTATCTAAATTAGTCCCATTCTAAAGATTCCCTCAGTATATTCCTGATCGAATCGAAAAGTAGTTAGAGCTTAGCATCAAATGAAAAGAATAGGTACTTAATAGAAAATACAATTCTCTCTCAAAGCCTACCTGCGTTATTATCTAGAACACCACTTTTCCAAAGAAACACATGACACTTTCGCGAAATATACACTAACTTTCGTACAGATAGAAATCCTTAAACGTTTAGATACACCACTCGAGATAAATATGTAACAGTTCCAATCGAAAACTATCGAAAAATCCGCTCGGAACGGATAAAAACCAGTGTTTCAGACGGCGGTGAACCGAACGCAATCCTGCTGCGGATTTCAAATTTCAATTTCACAACGCGTCGGTCTTAACCTGCACAACGATCTCAGCGGCGATCAATTTCGACGGAGCGACATGTAAATTACACGAATTCGAGGAGCGATCTGGTAGCGACATCACCAAAGTGCGGACAACAATTGACCAAAGACAACAAACAAGTAACGACGGTTCTTAATCCTGTTCTCTTGAGGAATAAGCGGCACCGAGGGACTTTCTAAACGCTCTTGTACCGACGAAGAACAAACTCTATGCTGCTTTGTCGTGATGGTGCAACATACGCTGCTCTGGCTACTTTCTAACGTACGATTCGTCGAAATTTGCTAAACTGCCATTGCAGTGGTTCGAATTATATCGGGCATTTTATAAGATAAACCATATTTATAAAAATGAAGCATTTACTTTGAAGTAAAAGGTAAGAGGAAAAGGTCATAATCTCTGCCTTTTCCTTTTGCAAGGAATCGCCTCGGATAAAATAAAGTAAATAGTACAGAGATTAGCGATTTTGTCAATTTAATCATAACGAGTCTAAATGATTCTAAACAGTTATAAATGATTCTGGAGCGTCCTAGATTGATCTAGCCAATTCTAAATGACTCTATACAGTTCTAGATGATTCTGGAACGTTCTGCATCATAGACTGTTTAAAAGTTTCTGGAGCATTCCAGATTGTAGTAGACAGTTATAAATGATTCTGGAGCATTCTAGATTGATTTAGACAGTTCTAAATGATTATGGAGCGTTCTAAATGGTTCTAAACAGTTCTAAATGATTCTGTAGCGTTCTGTATTGGTCTAGACAGTTATAGATGATTCTGGGGCGTTCTGGCTTAATCTAGAGTAAAAATTTTACGTTACAAGCTGTGTGGTGGTGAAAAGTTGCTATGAACCCAGATTCCATTTTTACAAATCCTTCCTTTTTATAAACACGGAAAACATAAAACCTTTTGCTTTAAAGCAACAGCAAGGTGCTCGAAGCAAAACCTCTTCATTCATTTCTTTTTTTGCATACACCTCGAAACAATTGCTTCATTTTTTGAATGCAAAAAGTTATGCTTCTTTTTATAAATGAACCTTAGGGTATTCTTTTATCGATACAAAAATAAACTACATAATAAATATAATACAGAAATAAATTACAATTAGTAACAACAAAACGTGGCAGTCTAAAAAGCGGAACGTTAATCGAAATAAAAACAAAGTTAGTTCAATTTATTAAGAGTCTGTATCAATTTTTCGGCTTGCCTGTTGATTCTCATCAAAATCAGATAGCCGATCATCACCGATCCCAAAGTAACGAACATTCCTATGGATTCGAAGATTAATTTCGGGGCGAATATGTTCCACACCATAAGGTGACGGCAGTGAATTGTAGCTGCTAGCATGCTAGCAAACACCTACAAAAAACGAATTAACCTACCTTATACTACAAAAACCAATTCTATTTACCCTAATCGCATGGCCAATGATGTATTTACAAGACAAAATAAACACAGAAGTCATCATGTGCTTGTCCCTTTCGAACAAATTGACCTCTCCTTTGCAGGCCTCGCTCTTTATCTCCGGCTTCTTATCGCAGATGGATGGAATCGTAACGAATATGGTGAACGGCGTTATTAGCACCAGCGGCAGGAGGATGCCCATTAAAATGTACGAGCAGAAAGTATTGACGATGACCAGAGCTGCCGGGACGAAGTTGCTGGAAAACACTCCCGATGTACCGATAAAGGCCGCTTCCCATGCTATATCGGTGAACGTGGGCTGGTGCCCCGAAGCGTAGAAGAAATAATGGGCTAGAATTATCCATACTAATATGGATACGTTTGGCACTTCGAATAATTGCTCTGGAAATAAAATAATTACTCCAGCACTAAGGAAATAATGCGTAGTTTACCTATATTAGTCGTTTTTTCGATTCTAAGTACTGAGGTTACTATTAAAACGAACGCTGCGGTGAAGAACATGATAACAGCGGATGGAGCTATCGCGTCTCCTAAAAGTAGCGCGAATAACAGCGTTAAATATATCCCGATTGTAATAAAAGCAGCGCTGTAAATCGTTCCCATTCCGTAAATAATCGGAATGTCTTCGTCGCGCTTTTCTTTATCGGCGATATTTTTGATTTTCCTGTACAGCGAAGGAACGCTGGATTCTCTCATGTAACTCGGAAGTACGTATGCGTACAGAGGTTTAAACAGGCAAACGAATATTCCAATAGCAGTAAGCCCATAAACAGCCCACGGTAAGGAATTCATCGAATTCAAAGAACCCGAGGGTTGTTTGTTAACCGGCATTCTTTTCATAGCCCAATACCCCGACATGAAAACAACGATAGTCGTGGGTAAAAACTTAGCTAGAGTGATGTTTAGAGAATAACCGTTCATATTTCCAGCGTTTCTCAGCCATTCTTTGGTGAAAAAGACGAACATGCCGAGGAAAATAACGGTCACGGTCCATTGAAGTTTGGTGGTTTCCGTTTTGGTAACGTTCGTACCGATGATGTGTAGACCGAAACACCATTGTTGTTCTTGTCTGCATTTCCAAAAGTAAGCGGAACCTCTGACGAATACTGCTACTACGATAGCTAGCAAAACGAATTTCAATTTGGACCAGCTCCAGAATTTCGGTGGAGCGGATTTCTTCTTTGCGTCTATTTTCCTCGAGTTAACGCCGATTGAGCCAATTAAAACGACGGTTACTAACAGAAAGAGGAGCACAAACGATTCCTCTATTATATAACTGTTTGAAAACAAGCCTCCGAGAATGAAAATTAGTATGAATCTACAAATTATATTGGAGACACCTTCGGATTTTCTTTTGGTGTACCAATTCGATGTGATGTCATCCCAATTTTGTACAATCAATAGTGCGAACATCACTTGAGATACGAAAGCCGTTAGGAAGAAAACCATTTTAAACAATTCTTCGGTCATTTCTAAAGAATAGAGGACTGCAGCAACAACGGTTGCAACAGACAACATGGCGAAAGAGCAGTAGATAAAGGAACTGGAAAACACTTTAGAAAGTACATCAGCAGGCATTCCATCAACTATTACAAACGCAAAGAATGTACTTAGAAATATGAACAGTAGACCTCTAATCATCGAATATGAATCGAATTGGATCCATACTTGTTCGCACAATTTACGAAGATCCTTCAGAAACTGAATAGCATCGACTGTAAACGTTTGAAATTGCTCTTCGTTAGCTACAGAAATTATTTTGGCGTTCATTACAGAGTATTTTTCTTGGAAAGATTTTAATTTTTCCTTATCGAATGTACCTTCATTCTCTGCATATTCTTTTATGTAACCGAACACCTGCTGGACGTTAGCCCACAAGGAGTACAGGCTGAATTGCCAATTTTTCAAAAATTCTGATTTAGTAAATACTGGCAAAGAATCTAATATTAGAATGCCCAAATTTTGAAACGGAACGGGCACTCCTAACAGCGTGCAAAGAGTCGGTACCAAATCAACTTGTTTAACACTATCTACAGCCATTTCGAAATCAGATAGTGGTTGATTTGAGTAAACAAACATAGCAGCAGTAACTTCATCGGGACTATCACCGCCATGGTCTCCTGTTCCCGTCATACCATGATCTCCAATTACAAACAAAACCATATTCTCGGTTTCGTTGATTTTCGCCACAGTGTTACTGAAACAAACAGATTGAAATAGCTAACATTGCATTAATTTGAATCGAATTTACTTTATAACTTCGTTTATTTCGCCCAGTTTCCTCTCCATTTCGGCGTGATTCGGCCCATATCTGTGCCCACAATGGTCGACTCCCAAAAAATGCCCGATTAACAAGCTCCAATCATTGTTATTCAGCTCGTTTCGCAGATTCTCCCTCACACCGTTATCAACTGTATCCAAATCCCAAACGTTAAATGAGGGATATGGAAAGTTTCGAGTAAAACGATTGGGGTACAGTCCATTCCAAGTGTCATCGCCCGTAAAAACCACACCGTGTTTATGCCTTATGAGCTATATACAAAAAAAATTAATGTAGTTATTGAATTTATAAGTTTTAGACATCACCTGATCGATTAAATTGTCTTCACTTATTTCAGAAGTCGCGAAATTGGAACCAGCATCTATGAACGTAGGTAAACTTCCCGTAGTCAAGCCTTTCAATCTCTGCATGGTAGTCGTGGGAGGATCGGCGATAAACTTGTACAATCTACTGTGGTTCGGGTGATGTTTTACTAAATTATTTATAACAGGTAGCTTATTCTGGAAAGGCAGTGGATTGCTAATTTTCTCATCAAACACCGTAAAGTCGTATCGTAAAGCATCAACAATGAGCAAAACGACTCTTGTTCTCGATGGTAAGCATATAGACGAGGCACTTTGGTACTTTAATAATATCGAATTTAATTTGTCGTCGATTGAACAGGCGTCATTGTTGAAATTCGGGTGATAATCGGAGGAATCGGCACAGGGTACTTCACTGTATGATAGGCAAGTGGAATTCTTCCTTTGGACAGCTTTTGATAACAGAAAACCTTTGGTAAACAGTAGAATTGAGGATACAATTAGGTAACTTAGCCATAATAGAAACAAAAAATATAAATACGAGTTACTGCCCATGGTCCATCACTTAAACAAAACCGACCCAAAATATTTATAATTTATAAGAATTATAGGTTAGGTTCGTCTTCTTTTTTAATAACAGTTATAAATTTACTCTATTGTTGGTCTTACACAGTATAGATAAGAGACCAATAATATAAAAAAAAAGACACGACACTAAAATTTAAGGTTATGGTTATGTTGTTAGTTTTCATAACGTAAACTTTGGAAATTATTTCAACGGGACATCGTATTATTACAATACAATTTACTTCTGTTTTGAAGCAGAAAGAAAAATGAGCGAAAACGAAAATAATGCTGCAAATATCACAGCTCCTACGGTTCAACAAATAATAACCGATAGGATCACAGAGGTAACTAACCTAAAAAAAATAATTTTTAATTCGTTTGCCTAAACAAACATTTAAATTTTTAGCTAGCGGATAAGTATTGGGCACCTCATTCTATAGAAAAGCATCTAGAATTCAATCCAGATGTCGTGGAGGATATTTATATGCAAGATATTCGCGGGAGCAAGTACGTTAAATTAAATACTTTGTGAACATTCTTATTATGATTTAATTTTAGCTATTCTATTAGGAGAATTATGGTTCTTGAATTCAGCCAATATTTGGAAAACTACTTGTGGCCAAATTACTCACCAAAAGCTTCATACTCTCATATGTTGTCCATAGTGATAATGGTTAACGAAAAATTTCGCGAAAGAGTGCAAGTTTGGCAGGTACTAAACAACTTGTAATTCTAAACAACTCCTTATTTAACGAACTCTCTTATTAGGCTTTTAGAAAGCACCACCAGTATTTCCCCGACTTCTTCCAACAAGTTCTAAAGGCGTGCTTTGAAGATGAACTTACCATCAACATTCGAGAGCAAACCACTTTATTGGTGTTTTTAAATCATTGTTTCAACAGTATGGAGGAAGCTCTGTGTCGTGATCAAGTCAAAAGACTCGTCTCCTTGTCTATGTGGGTGTCCCTTCAGCCGGCCAGGCGGGAATACGAGTTCAAAAAGTTCCCTAAATGGAAAAAGTATTGGAGAGCCATACAAAGAAAAGACAAGCCTGAGCAATTGGAGAAACTGACTTGGGAACGGACGTTTTTGCATCGATTGATGTTGAAATTTTTGAATACTTTAGACACTATCACAGAGGATGGCATTTGCCCCAAAGATAAAGTGAGTGTTGGTGATGAAAATGAAGGAATATTGTTATTTTTATACAAAATAATTGTTTTAGGTGCATTATTGCGAGAGGTTCTTGGAATTGATAACAGACTTGGAAGCCCTACTTCCTACCAGAAGATTCTTCAATACAGTTTTAGATGACTGTCATTTGGTAGTGCACTGTCAGCTTTCAGCTCTAATTAGAAGGCCAGAAGGACATCTATTCAGCCAGGTGAGTGATACAATTTTAGATAAAAATTCGATTTTTATTATAAAATGAGTAAGTACATCATGTAAGAAAATGCAAAAATGGAATGAGTAAAAATAGTCTACAATAAGGATAAGTACAAATTCGTAAAAAAAAACCTATTCGATTACTTAAATAAGAATAAATTAATTTCATTATTTTTCGCAATTGCAAATACTTTTCGAAATTATATTTAATTTTTGTTAATAATTAAATTACGCCAAAAATTTTTAAATGCAACAATGCTCCTTAGTTAACACCATAGCTGCCAAATGTCATTTGTAAATTCACAGCCATATTCCAATGACCAGTATAAATTTGAAAAAATTTCTAAAAATCCGTGTAAATTTTTCACGTAAATTCGCAAAATTAAGTACATTCAACAATGTATAATATCAAATATATCAAAAACTAGGCGTTAAAACTTTAACAACGTAATAATCCATTATATTTTTAATACTAAATACTGATATTCACTGGTGTTAATATTAATTGTTAAGTATTTGATTGAGATTCGTTTGTTCCTTAAATTTTAAAAGTGTGTGATAAAAACGTGCAAATATACCCTGCATTCTAATTCTAAGTGCGTTTAAGTACTTAAATACTTAATAGTTGTTTAGTGTATTCATAGCTGTCATCTCGTCTCCCCATTCCGCTTCCGGGTTGGGCTTACAGCAAGGAAACATCGTATAGCAATATGTTTTTTGTAACAAATAAGCCACGTGCTTTTGATTGAAAATGCACACATAAAGGATGAGAGGTCCTTGAAACGTGTTTATAAGAATGTACGCGTTTATGAGTCCTTCGTATTTCGCAAATGAAGATAGAAAAAATAGCCATTGAAGCGTCATAACTAAGAGTAGTAATATAAACATGCGGAAACTGAAAAAAAAACGCACGAAATAATGTGAAAAAGTAGATAATTTGTAGTGCGATATTGTAAGAGACTTACGTGTGGCGTAATTTATGATGAATCCTTCCGTAAGTGTGCATTTTGCTTATTTTTTTTAATGTAGTTGCGAAAAAGAATACGTCCGCTATAAGGGTAAATGCCACTGGAACGAAAAATATAATAGTTCCCAGAGAACCTACAAATTAAGATATTAGTAATTGCAAAATGGTTCGAAATTATTAATTATTTTTACCGATTTGTTCCCTGTCTTCGTCGTAAGTCGCCTTAGATTGCTGAAATCCAATTTCAGAATAATCCATAGTGAAATGAGCAAAAACCGCCATTGCTCCTAATAAAATGGTGCACGACCAAGCATAAACGCAATAATAGCAATATTTTCTACCATCGGTTATGCGTAAAAATACATTTCTAGATCTGCAATAATACACTTTAACTTTCCACAAATCTCTAATTAAATACCTTAACTTACTTAAAAGTTTTCCAAATATAATAGGCCAAACTGTTTAGCCAAAAGAAGGCACCTAGCATGCTTAAGTAGCATATAGTTTCTAAAAACCAAATAAACATTAAATTTAATTATTTTTTGTATTACAATATAAATTACCAGTAATAAGTAAGCTGATATGATTTTTAAACACAGTCAATAATCGTATCATATCAGCCGTTTGGCTCACTATAAGGCACATGCATATCGTTGTTATAATATTCCCGGTTAGATCTCTCAGGGTTGGCATTATGAAGTAAATTACGGCTACGAGTAGAAGGCAGATTATTGATAAGGCGTGAGTGATTGGATTAACGACGTTGTGCATTAGAAATTCGGTGCTCGTCAGCCAATCTTTCTGTACGTCCGGTGCACAAACCCAAGCGAAATCGCTTTTAAACCCATCGATTTTCTGTAAATGAAACATAATTACTTATTTTTTTTTTGTATTCTATTGTTTACTTACTCTATCGAGACAATATTTCCCGAGCTCGTAATCGTGGAAAGGAGCTTTTGAATTCTCGTTTTCGAAATCGTATTCCTCGTACGCGTGATCGTGATCGAAATAATGCCTGAGTACACCGTTCGGTAGCAGTCTTAATCTGTCTGTGGAATTGAAATAATGAAATATTGGCCATAGTTGCATGTGTCCACAGTCCGGTAAACCTATTACTAAGCTAATAAAATAATTTATTCAGAATGGATCCTTTGTAATATTCATAATTTACTTACGTGCTGTTGATTTGAATGTTTGCGATACCTTTTTCATTAACAAACAGCGGTCTCCATTCGTCACTTTTATTCACCTTAGCGCACGTTTTACCTACGTAAATTTCATCTTTTTCGCAGCATTTGTTGACTTTAACTGTTGAGGCATTTTCGGGTGTCTTCAGGACTTCCGAAGTAATGCAATTGAATAGAACCAGTTTTAGTAATAATAGTTGAATTATCATTTTTTTTCGTTCTTCTATTAATCTCTTATTAAATGAACCATTGAGTATTTTTTTAATTAGTTATAAAATATAAAATGTGGTGTATGTTGTAGAAAAATGTGCATTCAATCCAGTATTCCATGCACATGTATCTCCCATTTACCTTGAGTCATTTGCGTACTTTACGCTTTTTTTAGTTTAACCATCGTATTTCTTTTAATCGTCGTATTTTGTCATCCGAATGAAATCCAATATTCAAGGATAAAACATTAAGCCAGTAATGTTTGTAAATTTACTTTTTGTGTATAATACAAGTACACTTAACCTTAAATTTGAGGAAATGTCAACATTGTCATATGTCAAGTCGTAACAAGAGCATTACCGGTTGCCAAGTTGTGAAATAAATTTTAGGTTTGTAGAAATTCATTTAATTTGATTTGTGCACTTTTTAGTTCCTGCTTATTGTTTACGATTGTTTTCGAATATCTTTAATTGCGAAAATATTTTGGTAGTTTGGCAACTAGCGGTTTCTATTTTTATTATTATCCATGAAATATGTAATAAAAATTACAATTTCCTTAGTATTCGCTAATTAAAATAATAAAAAATGGAAAAAAATAAAGGTTTTATTGTCATTAATAAAATATTTGACTGAAATGATTTTAATACACATAAATATTCCAATAAAATTTAATTGTTAAATTAAAGCCTTTAAAATATTTTTTTTTTACCTGTTACTCTTAATTTCCATAGGAATTTAATTTAAGAACGGATAAAATTACAAATTGAATTTAATAGCTACCTAAATTTAATAAAATAAATATGTTTGTTCTCGGTATTCATCAAATCTTACTTGACTTCCATCGTGTTTAATTATTTTCTTCTTTCAATCATTCTCTTGTGAATCTCGTGTGATAATTTATTACACTGACTCTGGAGATTGAATTTAATCGAAGGTGTCCAGCCTTATTCATTAGTCGCCTCTATAAAATGGGCGCGTTCAGGGAAAATAACCGTTGAGAAGTAGCAGTCAGTATGTTGAGTCCGATATATGTCAACAGTTGAGTATCCTCTGAACGGCGGATTAGTGTTATTTATGCTGCACATAGAAGCGAATAAAATTGACGCTAACTTGAAATGCGACTGTTGCCAGTCAACAGGAGCTTAGCGTTGTAGTTCAGGGAACCGCTGCAGGCAACTATTGGCAACAGTTGCCAACAGTTGCATTCCCTGAACGCACCCATTGATGTTAAAACACAACTAGTTAGTGGCCACTAACATCATACTAACAAGCCACTAACGTTTCCTATTTATAGTCGCATATTTCTTTCCCACTAGTTAAAATAATGCCAGCAGAAAAATGAATGTGGCTACAAAGGAAATAACTGAAAATTTTATTTTATATTGGAGATTTTCGTTATGTTATTGTGTGACAGACGCACGTGCTGATATCAAATGAATGGGTGACTGGAAAAAGGATAAAATTTCAGTGAACCTTGTTTTTGCGAAAAACAAGATATAACTTTTTACGGCAAAACCAGTTATTAAGCAAAAATCATTATTATTAGCCAATTATCCAAAAATGCAAAAAATAGTTAATAAAACCAAAAACTGTTTTTTTTTTCAATGTCTTTGCCAGTATTTTTGAAGTATTGGGACTACCAGCTTCTGAAATAAAGTATATCGGTATTAGTTAGACGTTAGATATTTATGGAAAGGTGCATGTAAGGTGCTCTAAGAAGCTGAAGAAATAAGTGTATTAATTAATACGAAATCCAGTTGAAATTCAAATATTAGCAACCATGAGAAACTTAGCAAAAGAGTAGTAAAAACACAGTAAAAAGGCAGGAAGGACGATTGATTTCACGATTTTGGTATTTCTGTTTTTCAGTTTAAGATATTTTGTGCAATATTCTTAGTTGTAAAGTGTATGTTTGTATGTGTTTGTTTTGATGCCGAGCCTATGTACAGATAATTATTTATCTCTATAGGACATGTTCTGTTATAACATGTATTTTTCCTGGTAAGTAAATAAAAAATAAAAAAAACTTAAACACCCCTTGTAACGCCCCTAAAAAATTTAGTGGCTACTAACAAAAATAACATCTTAGTAGCCACTAAATGTTAGTTATGTTATTGTGTGACAGACGCACGTGCTGATATCAAATGAATGGGTGACTGGAAAAAGGATAAAATTTCAGTGAACCTAAATGTTAGTGGCTACTAACAAAAACAACATCTTAGTAGCCACTAAATGGAACTATGAATACGATTTTACGGATGTTAATAGTGTGTTAGTAGCCACTAAATACGACTACGAATAAGGCTGAATTATGTTTAAATTGCATTCTTGCTCGTTTAGTTCTTCGCATTCACTATCTCTATCGTCTTTCCAATAAGCCGGGAACCTCCAAATTCCAATTTTCCTGTTTGCATATGCTCTTTTGATCTTCTTTCTGAACACTACAAGTATTAAGAAAATTATGAAACCTTGCAGAGCATTGAGGATATCCGTCATAATCCTGTAATAAATAATTTAGATATAGCTGAATTTACTTTTAAATTTTAAAAATATCTCACCATATCCATTTAACATTGCCCTCCTCGAATATGGCCGAGAGGATTTCGAAAATCCACGTAATTCCCATCACAAAAAATAATCTTGCGTACATTTTTAATCTGAAATATTTTCGATTTATTAATTTATCCACGCATTAAATAGCACGTTACATTACCTGAATTTAAGGATTTTAACCTTTTGACACTGCTTCGATTGTTGCCAAAGTTCTACAGCTGTCCAAATGAAAAATATTATATTCAAAAACAGGATGCAAGCAATCGGTGCGTATAAGAATATCACAGTTTCTCTCATTGCTGGAAAAGTAATTTGATTTTACAATTGGTTACAAATCTTATTGTATCATTACGTACATTGAAACCAACAAATATTATCGCCTATTCCGGGATAAATATTGTGTAAGGCTTGTGGTTTTCCATGATTTAATATTATCACCCAAGTCAACGCCAATAAAGGAGCCGCAATTCCATACACATGATAAATGATTTTCCAATATTTTATGCGATTCAGCCAACCTTTGTTCCTAAAAATTACATTCCTTTATAAGTACTAATTTACAGTTCATAATATTTAAATAGTTAATTATTCTCCTCAAATCTATCGGATGAGGCAATTTCTACTTTATGCTGTTTACGAAGTAATTAAGTATTTAAGTGTGCAGTTGGCTGTAAAATTCGAAAATAAACTTACACGGTCGTCTTCCAAACGTGGAAGCACACAATATTCAACCAGAAGAAGCTGTACAAGGTGGAAAAGTACAGTGAATAAGCCATAAAGTGGCAAAGACCTGAAACTAAGTATCCGGAAACGTTTATAATTACTAGGGACATGTATGCAATCGCCAGTCCACATAGAAAATGTATTAAGCAAATATCCTAAAAAGTTATTGATAGAAAATGTTGTAAATTTACAGGTTGTTGTGCTCACTTGTAATTCTAGTATTTCTGGTACTAGGCAATAGACAATGATGGTTAAAACGATGAAAAACACGGAGATCACAAACAGCACCACATTCACCTGTCGCGACATGTCCCCTGCTACATCGATATCATAACATAGCAGATAAACATCGACGTTTTTACCTTTTATTGTAGTAAAGCAGTATCTAAAAGAACATAAAAGTAATATTTGTAATATTACATTGTACCATCCTTACTCATCAGGCGGGATAACTTCTTCGTCTAAAATCAAATTGTGCTCGTCGTCGTGCTCTATTGTCGACGAATTGTCGTCTTGACGAAGCATGTATTTGTTCTCGCAATTTAGTTCTTTGGGTTTTGTTCCATCTAAACATTGCTTCGCCGTTGAATTTAAAACGTTAGTTCCAGAACAACACAAAGACACAGCTTGGGCGAAAACCAAATTGCACAGAATTAGAACAACACTTCTGCTGGAAATCATGGTGGATATTCGAGTGATCTGAAATTGAAACGATTATTATTATCAAAAGCTATTACGATGCACAACAGCAATGAGTTTGAGAGTTAACAGAGATTGTAAACAAATTCATAATTCAAAAACTTGAAATGCAAATGGAATGGGCAGACAAACTTCGATTGATTTGTTTACTGCATCGTGATTATACAGGATTACGTGATTATACATTCAGGATGTGAATATTTGGATGATTATAAAAAGAAAAGTTTATATCAATATATGTCCTAAACCTCTTGACGAAAACGTTCTAGTTTTCGAGCTACAAGGTGTTACAATTTTAGAAAAAAAAACTTTCTATCATAATGTACTTATTACTCCAGATATTTTAATGAACCTTTGATGATCTCTTCTTAAAATCATCCAAATATTCACATCCTTAAGTATCGGCAATCAATTAGTTAACACCCTGTATATTTTAGATTAAACTAAAATTTAAAGTGATGCATTTTGAAATGATTGATAAGTTTTGCAACAAATTACCTAATGTCGAAACATACCTGTATACTGTTTCTACTAATTGATTACACTTCACAAAATCTATTTTGATTAAATGATCAGTTTGCAATATTTTGATTGCCACAAGAACGAGAATCTTGCTAGCTAAATCGCCTTCGAAAAGACTGGTTTCCATTCCATGTTTGCAGATTATTCATTCTACAGTTTCCTTGTGATTTTATTTACTTTTTGACATTGTTTTTATAAATTAATTATTCAATGTGTGATCAAATATCTGGTATGCAAATGCGATATTTTAAAGTTATTTGCAAAATTAAATATTTATATTTATAGTTTGTGTGATTATTTTTTTAAGCTCGAATGTAGTTTCGCGTTTAAAAATTAATCGCAATTATCGTGTGAATAGTTCTCTATAATTTTGCAAGTTTGTTATCTTTAATGAAATGTGATATACAAGCATTTTATTTACGTTCAATCAAATGTGCAGTGTAATTAGTATTTAAAAATAGAGCAAGGAAATGATTCTTTGAAAACCGCGAATAAAATGTTGCATTCTACCTAAAAACATAAACAATGTGCATTTTGTGTTTAAATTGAAAATCTAGAATATGTATAATCGGAAGTGGAAATATAATCTTTCATAGTACGAATAGATAACATATTTTTCTATATTTTCTTTAACACCAATAAAGTTACTAAATTAACTCAATCTAATAAAATAAAATTGAATTTGAATCGAGAAATTTTAAACCAATAAAAATTAAGATAATTTCTGATTATTGTTGCAAAAAAAAATATGATTGAAACTAATTTATTTTAATACAAAATAAATTACGTACCAACAACTTTGCAGATTGTAACAAGCTGTAAAATTCATGCTAAAAAGGCGGCGTATCGCTACGCACTGATTCAAAAGATTTGCAAAGTTATTAATAATTTCTGAAAGCTGCGCGAAACTCAATTTTACTATTTACTACTCATTTTTCTATTCAAATTCCATCTTTGAATTACCTGTTTACCAATCGGAAAATATTTACATTTTGTTTATTTACTTAATTCTAATTTTATATGTATACCTAATAGAATAAGTAGGTATGCATAATTGAAAGTGAATTTACTATTGAAACGTTGTTTTGTTTTGGAAACCTTAATTCATATTGTTTTATCATAAATCATGTCACATAAATATTGTTTATGATTTGATGTATTTTGGAATCTCTTGTACTTACTTTATAATATTTTCCTTATATTTTTCTTTATAAATATTGTCTCTGTAGATTGAAAACCAACACGAAACAGTATTATATTGAAAAATCATATCACATAATCTCTCTTATCAAGTTTGTAAAATGTGTTTACATTATTGGTTTTTCATCAAATGAGTATTTCATATCTAACACGATATGATAGATATATATGATATTGATTTCATATCATTTTCGATTTTTATACCGAGCGTCCCAGTTCAAGCGCTGCAATCAGTAGAAAGAGAGAATCAGTCGAACTGAGGAGAGGTGCGGCTTCGGCGCGATGAATCGGCGGACGAATGTAGGGTTCTAAGGTGACCGCTCGGTATATGATTTCCACAATATAATTCAAAAGCTCATGAGGACGTTTCATTCACTATAATCGAATTTATAATTATTGCTTTTATAAATTGATGCATTTATTCAACGCAGCATGTATCTTTAAAGCATCTTAATAAAATAATGGGTGGTATTAATAAAAATCAGTATTTACTTATAAGTGCTTTATAAGTATTAGATATATTATATACATATATTATATATTAGATATATTTTATATTGTTTTTTATCTATTTTTTTATTAATTTTATTCGTGATTAAAATAAAAAATTATTACCATTGATCAAAAATGCGATTGGGTATATTTTTATGTAGATTAATGGTCCACTAATTCTGGATCAGAATGTTGACTATTAATTATTCTATTTATTTTGACACATTTTTCTTATGTGCAATATATTTTAATGTCAGAGAGTGTTTGTATAAAAATTATCGCATAATTTTGTTTAAAATGTTAGTTGTTTTTATTAGGAAATACATGTTATTTCTTATCGTCGAATATAATAGATTTTGATTTCTTAAAAACGAACAGTCATAAGATTTTTTTATTTGGATCAATTTACTGATAATTAAATAAATTCTTAATCAAGCCTATCCAAAATAACGATTTTTTTTGTACTACAAGGTTTAATGCAACGATTTTTTCTATTTTTGTTTGGTATTTCTAGACATGATACATCTGACATAACCAACGCAATATTGAATAAAATTTAACTATAATTTGAATAAGTAAAGATATAGATTTAGCAATAAATATTGAACCCATCCTATTTCCAAGCACACCTTAAATTATAAATATATGAAACAATCTCTAAAAATAGTATGCATTTGATTTGTAAATGGTCAATTCATTCATAAAGCCATACGTTCTATTTATCGTAATAATATACTTACATTTGTTGCTCACTATATTTTTTACAATACAACTAACCACACAATAGTTACTACGGAACTGGATATTATTTGATAAAGTTCAAATTCTTTAATATCCGTTACAAATTTGCGTCAATTGAAATAACACAATTTGGTTTACCATTGGGAAAATTTCTTTCTCTATACATGCGTACCTACCTTATCCATCCATTAATCACAGCAGGAAGATACATACATTATAGATATTGGTGAGAATGATGAGAATAACGGTGATACATAGATATTTGTTTTAATGAGAAACATTTGTGATTGATAGTATTCATAATAATCATAATAAAGTATAACTTCAGTTAATACAGCCTATACACTGTGTCCCATATTTTTTAACATTTTTCAGTTGCTGGACATGCTCAAATTCTACTCAAGATTCGAAATTTGCGATGAATCGGGGGATCCCCTTACGGACCACGATATGACCCAGATTCATTACTCGAAAATAACGAGCTTACAGGTAAATTAATCAATCAATTCGTTAATTGAATTGAAGATTGGAATATTAATTGAGAATTGGATAAAATGCATTATGTAACTCGATAACATTTATTGTTTATAGCAAGCTGCTTTTTCCAAATTTCCGGACCTAAGAAATTTCGCTTTAGCGAATGTAGCTAGTGTAGACACAAGGAAGAGTCTAGAAAGGCACTTCGGGCCGTTGAGGTACAAGTTCAATATATCATAAGTGAAATATATTAATTATTGTATTTTTTTAGTCGGGAAAAACTGAAAGCTATCGCGATACATTTGAACTTGGTGCCGCCTCCTGAGCTAGAGGAAGAGTTTAAATGGTGCAAAACAGACGAAACGTTCTTAAGAGAACTTCTAGTGAGTATCTATTTATTTCAAATGCCGAAACTATTTATATTTCGAATAATCGTAGTCTTAATTTTTATACGCTACAAAAATATCTTTTTGGCACTATCGCTAAGTTTCTCCAATATATTTTACGATTTTTTGCAGGATATAAATTTCGTTAATAATGTGGACAATAAACAAACGTCTTTCATCTAAATCATTAAACTTGGTATTTTCGGTTTATTTATTCGAATTTTTTAGGTATCCCGACACGAGAAACGCGCCTCGCAACTGGAGGCTCTCAACGAAATGCCCTTGTACCCGATAGAAAATATCATTTGGGACGAAAACGTCGTCCCAACGTCCTATTTCTCCGGAGAAGGGTGTCTAGCGTTGCCCAAATTAAACTTGCAATTTCTAACGTTGCACGATTACCTCTTAAGGAATTTTAATCTGTTTAGATTAGAATCCACTTGTAAGTAAACTATCTACACCCACTTGCATCGCTTAATTCTCGTGTAATTTTTAGATGAAATTCGACAAGATATAGAGGATGCTGTAAGTAGATTGAGCCCTTGGTGAGTGCGCGTTGTCATCGAGTTTGTATATTTTTTTGAATTAAAAAAATGTAAATTTCAGGAGAGCCGAAGACGGCAACATCTACTGGGGCGGTTGGGCGAGGATGGCCCAGCCGATCATCAATTTCGCCGTGGTCGAAGTCGCTAAACCCAACATAGGCGAGAAAAGACCCAGCCGAGTGAGAGCCGACGTTTCCGTCAATTTAAACGTGAGACCGGAAATCAAATCGGAATGGGAAAATTTGAGAAAACACGACGTGTGTTTTTTAGTTACCGTCAAACCGCCGAATCCCATAGGTAAGCGGGAATTACCTTTTTTTATTACGCTTCTTATCAACTGCACTTATCGTTATAGGAACGAAATACAACTACAAAGAACCGTTTCTACCGCAAGTTGGTCTGCAATACATCAGAGGTTGCGAGGTTGAGGGTATGCTAGACTCAACCGGAAGGGTAATAGAAGATGGACCGGAACCCAGGCCTGTGTTACCCGGAGACCAAAGGACTTATAGAGTATGGCTAGATTGCAACCAGTACCGAGACGACATGAACAACACCAATCTAGGCCAAGAGGACGTTTACGAAGGTAAAATCTTCCACACAAACAGTTACCTCACAATCGAGCACTTCCATAATTTCAGGTTTCAACATCCTAATGAGAAGAAAACCGAAAGAAAACAACTTCAAGGCAGTGTTGGAGACCATTCGCGAGCTAATGAACACCGAATGCGTGGTACCGGAGTGGCTGCATGACATTATATTAGGCTACGGTGATCCCAGCGCAGCTAATTACAAAAACATGCCCAATCAAATAGCTACGATGGACTACAACGACACCTTCATCGACATGGATCACCTGAGATCGTGTTTTCCCGGATACGAAATCAAAGTCAAGACGGACGATCCTAAGAAACTGGTCAGGCCTTTCAAACTCACCTTCGAGGATCTCGGCAAGAGCGAGGACGAGGATAAAAGCGATATTAAAAAAACAATCGTCGTCGAGCCGCATATTATCCCCAGGAGAGGACCGTATCTCTTCAACGAACCGAAGAAGTGAGCAATAATTAACTAACCCATTACATGTTAGTGTAATATTTATTCTTGCAGAAATATGATACCGTTCACCCCGACTCAAATCGAGGCCATCAAGTCGGGCATGCAGCCCGGTTTAACTTTGGTGGTCGGTCCTCCGGGTACCGGTAAAACCGATGTTGCCGTCCAAATCATATCGAACATTTACCACAACTTCCCCAATCAACGTACGCTCATAGTGACTCACTCCAATCAAGCTTTGAACCAACTGTTCGACAAAATCGTCGCTTTGGACATCGACGAGAGGCACCTGCTGCGTTTGGGTCACGGAGAGGAGGCCTTGGAGACCGAAAAGGACTTCAGTAGATACGGCAGAGTTAATTACGTGTTGGCCAAGCGGCTGGATTTGCTAATGGAGGTGGAGAAATTGCAAAAATCGTTGAAAGTCGACGGAGATGTGGCGTATACTTGCGAAACTGCCGGGCATTTCTATTTGTACCAGGTGTTGTCGAGATGGGAGCATTTTTTGAGCATCGTGAAACCTAAAAATAACAAGGTTTGTTAAAGTTAATCTTCTCGATAATTGTATGTTAATCTTCTAATTGCAGGAGGTTCCGATTAATGCGATAAAAGAGGAATTTCCTTTCCACGACTTTTTCAACAACGCTCCTCAACCGTTGTTCAAACAGCAATCGTTTGAGGAAGATCTCGATATAGCGGAAGCTTGCTTTAGGTATATCGATCATATTTTCAAGGAATTGGAAGAGTTCCGTGCTTTCGAACTACTGAGGTCCGGTTTGGATAGATCTAAGTACCTTCTGGTCAAGGAAGCTAAAATTATAGCTATGACTTGTACGCACGCAGCTTTGAAACGAAAAGAACTCGTCGAGATAGGTAAATAATAATAAATAGAGCTAGTTATAATTATTATTGCGACCACTCGTTTTTAGGCTTCCGATATGATAATATTCTGATGGAAGAGTCGGCGCAGATTTTGGAGATTGAGACCTTTATCCCACTCCTGCTTCAGAATCCGCAGGACGGTTTCAATCGTCTGAAACGTTGGATAATGATCGGTGATCACCATCAGTTACCACCCGTTATCAAAAACATGGCTTTTCAGAAATATTCCAACATGGAGCAGAGTTTGTTCACGAGGCTCGTCCGATTAGGCGTGCCTACAATAGAACTAGATGGCCAAGGTCGTGCTAGATCTAGGTATTTTGTATAAATTTTTAAATTGTTCGTTGTTGTTAATTGATATTTTCGTAATTTTCAGTATTTGCGATCTCTACAAATGGAGGTACAAGAACTTGGGTAATTTGAAACACGTGGAAAATTCGATGGAGTACCAGTTAGCAAATCCCGGTTTCAATTTCGATTTTCAATTGATAGATGTTCAAGATTTTAACGGTGTTGGTGAATCCGAGCCAAGTCCATACTTTTACCAGGTAAATATAATATCAATTAACGTTTATTTTTGCTTATACGTTTCTGTTTTTAGAACCTAGCTGAAGCTGAGTATTGTGTAGCAATGTTTATGTATATGCGGTTAATAGGGTATCCAGCAAATAAAATAACCATATTAACTACATACAACGGGCAAAAACATTTAATAAGAGACGTTATCAATACAAGGTGCGCCAATAATCCACTCATAGGCAGACCGTATAAAGTAAGTACATCATCTTTGCATTGTTTTCGTTATTAAGCCAATATTCCTTAGGTCACAACTGTAGACAAGTACCAAGGTCAGCAAAATGATTATATAATTCTTTCTCTGGTAAGAACTAAGGCTGTGGGGCACTTAAGAGATGTCAGACGATTGGTTGTTGCCATGTCTCGAGCGAGATTGGGATTGTACGTATTCGCTAGAGTTGCTTTGTTCAGAAATTGCTTCGAATTGACACCAGCTTTTGAACAGGTAATGTTAATTTTACCAACAAATTTAAAGTATACTAAATCGTAGTCTTTTACAGCTCGTCTCCCGTCCTACAAAACTTCATATAATTTTGAACGAGTATTATCCTCCAACTAGATACAACAACCAGCAAACCCCCAATGAAACTATGGTAGTCGAAGATATGGCACACATGGCTAATTTCGTCTACGAATTCTATATGCAGAGAGTAAAACAACTAAAACAAATGTACCCTGTAAGTATCAACCATTAAATATCCCATAAAAGTGCTAAATTTTATATTTTTGTAGTCTGAAAATAAATGGGACAAGCCAGGCGACGTTCCAGTACAGGATCATGAGGGATTCGTTTCAGCTCACCCGGGAGAAGATAGGGATACGGATAGTGAAGATGAAGATACAGGAAAGCAATTGCCAGTTCCTATTGAAGAAGAGCCCATTGACAATCAACCTGTTGAAACCCCGTCGAATCAGAAACAGCAAGTAGAAACTGAGGAAGTTGAAAAGATGGACGAGACTGAAGATCAGCCTAGAAGAGATGACACAGATGAACAGATGAACGTGGATACAGGAGAAGCAGAAAACGATGAATAGTGCTTAAATTTGTATTCTTAAGTTTTTTTATCTACATTAAGTTCATATTGAAATATAAAAATAATACTTAAAAATTAAAATCAATTATTGTTAGGTGAATTTGTTTTATCATCATCCGAAGAAGTTGTATCTGGTGAGACTTCAGTTTTCGACGAACCTTGTACAGATTTTTGCTCTGTATTCTTCTCACTGGAACTGCTAACTTCATTATCATCATCACCGTCATCGCTTTCTCCAGAACTGATGTCATCCATTTCATCATCGACCCTAAAATACAGAAATGAGTTAGTTTTGTAGATGTTCATATAGGTTTGATAAAACAAAATTATTACCAAAACTTTCTCTTCTTCTTCTTGTTGGTTTCAGTTTCTTCGTGTTTTCTTTTCACCACTGATTTGCTGCTAGAGGCTTGCATACCTTGAACTACAGCATCTTCTACTAATTCAGGAAGTGCCGATCTTTCTTTATCATATTCTGAATCTTTGAATTCGTGCTTAGGAGGTTCGCACAACTTTTCCAGCTTCTTCTTTTTCCTTTCTTTGGCTTCTTTCTCCCTTTCAGCCTGTTGATTAATCCATTTCTTCAACCTATAAATATGAGAAATAATTAGCACAAAATGAATACTAATCATACAATATTACAAACCTTTGTTCCTCGTTAATATCTCTCAAACGTCTGCCACTTAAATCTCTGCAAGCTTCACGATTCGTAGTCTTTTCTATCTGGGCCCCGATGGCTCTCAGCATAGACCCGAAACCACCTTTTCCCCCCAAAATCCTCGGGATAATTTGAAGACATTTTAAGTTGCTATCATTGAGAATATAATTTGAATCGACTATTTTTCCGTTCATAAGGATGTAGTAGCTGTTTATGGGCAATCCCTAGAAACAAACACACGCATTGAAATATGGGAAATTGAAGATTGTAAATAAATACTTACATATTGTTCTTCGAGGAATTGCTTGTACATTGAACATGTTAATTTGTTGTTTGTAGTTTTATCCATGTTTAATTATCGTCAATTAATACAGAAAATGCGAAGTGAAATCAAGTTGTGCAAGATAAATAAAAATAATTTTGTGTCAGTGTCAGTAATGTCATTGTCAAATGTCAAGTCAACTATCTTTTGTCAAATTTGACATTCAAAAAATCAAATAAAAAGAAGAAACGTTAAAATTGAGGTTATAAAAAACGAATGGAAGAGCTCATGTCTGTCGGTAACAAATTCATAAGATTCACCACAAATACTGCATTGAACGTTTGGAAAGGGTACCTAAATTGTTGAAATAAAGGCTAAAATCCATTTGTTTCTTTGTCAGTTTTAGTACCATGGCGACGAATCCAAAGAGCCCTCGGATTTTGAAGAAAATTGGCACTCACAGCGGTGTATTCCATTGCGATGAAGCTTTAGCTTGCTTTATGTTAAAACAGCTTCCCGAATACGCCGAAGCTGATATCGTGAGAACTCGAGATCAAACGGTAAGTCCTCCATTCATTATATTGACTGAAAGTAATGTGCAAACAATCGTTCAGGTTTTAGGAGAATGCGATATCGTTGTAGATGTTGGAGGTGAATATAACCCAAAGAAGCACAGATACGATCATCACCAACGAGATTTTAACGAAACATTAAGTACAGTTCGGCCAGATTTGGTAAAAAACAAGTCTATCAAGTGAGTTAACGGAGCTATACAAAAACCCTATTACGATACCCTATTAAATGTATTTCATATAAAATTAATTCTAGATTAAGTTCTGCTGGGTTGGTGTATGCACATTTCGGCGTGGAAGTTCTAACTGAAATTTTAAACAAACAAAAAATACCGATGACTAGCGAATGCGTATTTTCCATATACAAGTACATTTACGAGACTTTCGTGGAAGAATTAGATGCCATCGATAACGGAGTGCCTATTACAGACGGAAAGCCGAATTATAGAATAAATACTCATTTGAGTGCGAGAGTGCACAGGTTGAATCCGGAGTGGAATTCTCCCAATCCGGTGCCCAGCGATGAAACATTTTATAAAGCCATGGAACTGGTTGGATCGGAGTTTGTCGAAAGGATAATTGAGGTAAAAATATCTCTTAAAAACCAATGAAAAAATCTAAATTTAATCGGTTTTAGTCTTCAACAATTTGGTGGCCGGCTCGTGAAATCGTCAAGAAAGCAATAACTAATCGAAATAAAATACAAAATAAAGGAGAAATAGTGCTCTTAGAAGAAAGGTGCCCTTGGAAAGATCATTTATTGTCGCTGGAAGAAGAATTGGGTATCGCAGGAGAGATTAAATTCGTTTTGTTTCACGATGCAGGAGAGTCTTGGAGAGTTCAAGCCATACCCATTCAACCGGACAGTTTCATTTGCAGGTACGTTTAGTAATTATTAATCTATTCGAAGTAAAATATATTTAAAATTTCAGAGTTTTTTTACACAAAGATTGGAGAGGTATAAGAGACGAAGAGCTCAGCAGCGTGGCAGGTATTAAGAATTGTATCTTTTGCCACGCGACTGGTTTTATAGGTGGAAATAAAACTAAAGATGGCGCCTTGGAAATGGCTTTAAAGAGTTTGTCTGCACATATTGGTGATCAGGAGTAAATGTTAATAAAGTGTCTTTATATGTAACGACTTGAATTTATTAGACTCGCTTATTAGGCTGCGCTCCCTTATAACCGAAGGTCTAATCGCCTAAATTGTAAATGTTACGGAAAACTATTTTTCCCAAAACGAATTTTTCATGAGAAACTGCTGTACACAAAAGTTGGAGAAAAGGGTAGAGAATATTTTGGGAAATTCAGAAGTAAAACGGTATTACCCAATTGGAGAAAAGTGAAAAAAAACGTAAGAAAAAGTTTATTTTGCTCATTTGACATTGAAGATGAAAATGAAAGTATATTCGGTATTTTCCCCGTTGAAAAAGACGACGTGTTACGTCACTTCCCTCTAATGGTGTTCGGGAATCCCCGGGCCGGCTACTGTTCTTTTTCCTATAACTTCGCTAAAAGTTTAGGTAAGGTAAAGCGATTTGCGGGAAGTAATTAGTAATAAATTAAAGAATATTTAAGGAAAGTTTCAAAAAGATCGTAGGCGTAGTTTCCGAGAAAATTTCGAAAATTCCCGGCAGTCTAAAAATTCGGTTTTTTTTCACTTGGAGGGAGGTTTTCCGAGATTAGAAATGTCGATTTTCCGATAGATCTCGTCGAGTTACGTAAAATAGAATTTTTTCCGACTTTTCTCTTCAAATAAAGCCATAAAAACGCCATTCAGTCAGTGAATGAATGAATGTCTCGATTAGAGTTGTATAGTTTTATAGAGACTATTTTAGGGGTCATTAGAAAATGAAAAAAAAAACAGATTTTGTTCTTCATCTATTCGATAGGTTTGAATTAAAAGAATAAAATAGTTTTATGTTTATTTCAGTAATGTAAGTTTCTTTTAGAAGTTCCTTGTATCAAAAATTACAAACTTTTATCATATTATAATAATACTATGACAACTTTTTACGACTTCTCCATCTAATTTGGCTCGATTTTTTCACCACAAACATAACACATCCTAAGCGGAAAAAATGAACTATCAAAATTTTGACCTGTTTAATTTATTACACTACTGATAATTCCAACTTCGAATTTGGCATTATTGTTCACTATCAATTATCGTTTACAGAAATCATCATTTCACTTTTCTTATTATCGGGATTTTGAAAGTCCCCAGGAACGGTTTCGTTCTCATATTCCCCACTTACATGTGCCGACTGGCTTCCCGCTTGACCGTGCGGCGCCGAATGTACTAAACGGCCGATCAGCGACGGTCTGTCCTTGCGCATCCTGAGCCACTCGTGCTGTATGACCCTATCCAAAGTGAGCCTCTGCGTCAGATCCGGCTCGAGCAGGTGTCTCATCAGCGACTTCACCGTCGACGACAGCGTGTCGCGCACCCTCGATCTGAACACCCAGTTCTTCGTCATTTGGTCTTTCAGCAGCTTCCTCAGATTGGAATCGTCGAAGGGCATCGAAGCGTTCAGCATTATGAACAGGATGATGCCCAGGGACCACACGTCGGACAGCTTGGGATTGTAGGGGGTGCCGTTGACCACTTCGGGGGCCGCGTACGCCGCCGAGCCGCAGTAGGTCTGGCTCAGGATTCGCCTGTTGTCGGAATCGACGCAGAACCGGGCGAAGCCAAAGTCCGCCAATTTTACGTTAAACCTTCGAGACAGTAGGATATTTTCACATTTTAGGTCCCTGTGCGCTATATTTTTCCCGTGTAAATAATGTAATCCACTAGCCATTTGTCTAAACCATATTTTCGCTTGTTGTTCGGGTACAACTCCGTTTTTCTTTATAAAATCCAATAGATCCCCATTATCTGCATATCTATAACAAATTCGATTACCATAAGAACAAATGTTTAATTTCTTTTGTGATAATATTACCTCATAAAAATGAAGACTCTAGGTCCTCGTTGTAGGATACTGTGAACTTGTATGATATGCGGATTTTCAATTTTCGTTAATATTTCTAATTCCCTCGGAAAGAATTTATCTAAAAAATCTTTGGGTGCCTTCTCTTTATCAAAAATTTTACAAGCAAGGCGCATCTTCTTTGGTCCCGTGCTGTCGACATAATCGGCCAAGTGCACCGTCGCGTACGAACCTTGCCCGATCTTTTTTCCAATCAGATATCCCCTTTGTTCCAGAGCATTTACTTCAGAATTTCGTGGACTCAAACGAGTCGCCATGTGTTAATTAATCAGGTTTTTTCTTTACCTTTGATTTTCCAAAAATATCCATTCAGGCGAGTCGTTCGCGCACATACACCCTACTTAAATTTTCTTTCCACCCTTTTTGTATTGCTCGACATTGATTTAAATTACGAAAATTTGGGGAAAATGACACTTGCTTTTTGACAGGACAAAATTATTGATCCTTGTAACTTGATATTCATTTTGAAAACTTGAACAGATCGTGTCAATGATTTTGACAAATCTGCTTCGAATGCTACGTTTCCATAAAATTATAAACAACACTCCCTTATTTAAACATTCCTTGGATTCTGCAGATCTTTAAACCCCCCTGCAACCTTTAATTTTCTTAAAGAATAAAGCCTATTTTAATGAAGTTCAAATTTTCATGATTTTATTTACTATTGGTCAAATAAAATTAAGGCATTTAAGAAACTGTTCTCTTTATAGCAAACTGGGACTGAATAAATTTGAATCAACTATTTTTTTAACTTCATATCAAAACAGCAGATCAAAGAATAATAAAAAACTCATTTGAATTTTTTAATCCCAAAATATTTGTCGAAATAAATGTATGTTGAAGTAAAATTTTCTTATCAACATTTTACTTCTTCATCTAATTTCGTATTATTTATTACCCAAATGCTCTACAGGCCTTGTAAGCCTAGGACAAATTCTTTAGAAGCTTTAATAAAACAGTCGTTTCAGAAATAAAATACTCCCAAAATAAATAAAACAGTTTATTCAGGTTTTATAACATATGCCTCTGTTGAAAGGTATGTATTCTCTCATAGGAATCTTCATCAAATGGCATTCTCTTGCCATTTTTAGGGCTACGAAAAAGACCACGATCGATTTGCACGTCTGCAAGAAATACTTGTTACAAATGCACTTCCTAAAGTATCTGACGAGAACACAACTTTCATCACAATCGCACATTTTTAGGTGGTCCTGTGGGGATTGTTCATGCGAGAGAATATGGGATTAGCACTCGGAATTTATTATTTTCTACAAAAATAGCCGACAAAAATGACAAAAACGTCAGTCACATTAGTGTTAAGGTATAGGATAATGGGCGTAAAAAGAACACTTAATCAAATACCCGTAAAACAAAAAGCTACTTGTAATTAAATCGATCACGTTTCTCACACACACGATTCAAATATGTTTTAAATATTTATTGCGTAGTAAAAATGGCTTTAAAGATAAATCCCAGCACGACGTGCATAAAAAAAATGGTATATAAGAGACTCCGATGGACATCTTCACAAACAGAAACAACATGAAGCTATTGTCAGTAATATTTCCATTGATCCTACTCGTCGTCGAAGGTAAGAATTAATTTTCAAAATTTCCAACATTACTCACCCCGCATTTCGCTAGGACTCGGGTCGTACAGGCACGATGTCATGTCCCATTCGCACTGGCACTTCATCGACCGCAGCGAATGCGGCTTGGTAAAAATATACCCGCGACTGGCCAAAGGCGAGGCCGTCAAAATCAACAGGTTCCCCTGGATGGTCCAGGTCTTGCAACGAACCGTCACCGGCAAAAACGAAGTTTCCGACAAATTCGTCTGCAGCGGAGCCCTAATCAACAAGCATTACGCCGTGACACCGGCCCATTGCGTGGCGGGATACGAGAAACTAACGTGAGTTTCACAGAATATCATTGTTAATTACTGCATGTCGCGAATTTTTAGTAAATTTATCCGATTGGGAGAGAGCTTGAGGATAAGCTGCATTCCGGCATTCGACGATTGCTCTTCCAGGAAGGTCAAAATAGATTCGATTTTAATTCACGAAGGTTACGACAAAGTCACGCTAGCTAACGATATCGCTTTGATTAGATTAGACGAAGAACTCAAGTTCAACGGTAAGAAAATTATTCTACCACTAAACAATTCACTAATAGTGCAACAATTTAGAAAACGTTAGACCTATTTGCTTGCCATCGGACGATCTACTAGACAGTAAATACCTCGGTGAAAAGGTGCAAGTGGCGGGATGGGGCCTGGATTCCGCTGAAATCACCTCGCAAATTTTGAAGTTCGTGGTGCTGCCGACCAGAGACAGGTGTGTTTGCGAGCAAATTTTCAACTCCACGCTCGGCGATAACCGATTGTGCATAGGAATCGACGATATGGTCGATACTTGCGAAGGCGACCCGGGAAGCCCCGTCGTATGGACCAGACAGGAGAACTTCTTCACCAGGCACTATCTCATAGGTAACGAAACATTGCTCAAACTACCATTAAAATGTTATGTTCTACAGAAATGTATTAGTTTAAAAATCATATATGAATTCTATCTACCATATGATTCCTAAATTTGTAATATTCACTTTGCATTTTAGGCTTATCGTCGTATGGAGATGATGATTGCGGTGTAATGCCCGGAGTTTACACGAATATGGGAAAATACGTGAAATGGATATTGGATAATATATTAGGGAGTGAATTCGATACGATTTTTCAATTTGTAAACCACAACGTAGTGCAGCTTGATTATCAGCCAGAGGGCGAGTCCGGCTTATCTGCATAATAAGTAAAGGCACTCCAATAAACAGAAATAGTTTATACTAAAATATACATACATACTTCATTTGTGTGATTCAATTACCCTGCAGGACTTGCATTACCCTGTTGCTGATAGACCAGTGACCAATAATACCCTTTTAACTTTTGTAGATCCTCGTGAGTTCCCATCTAAGGAATAAATAAATACACAAAATTAAATAGTCTACTATTATACAGGGTGATGAATTAACAAAGGAACATCCCCCAAAAGCAATCAACTTTTTCGTAATAAAACTCAAAAACTGCGAGAAAACATATTTCTCTTATGAATATAAATACTTCTTAGTTAGCTCAACAACATGCATATGTTGTAATATTTACCTCAACAATTCTTCCTTTATTAAGAACTACTATTAAATCAGCGTTTTGTATAGTGGATAATCTGTGAGCGATTACAATAACTGTTCGGCCTTCTCTTGCGCGCTCTAACGCTGCCTGTACGACTTTCTCCGATTGAGTATCCAAAGCGCTAAAAATTCATTTCGAATTATTATGTACTCTAAACTAAATTAGGTACAAATTCCACTCACCTAGTAGCTTCATCTAGCAACAACACCACTGGATTTTTCAACAACGCCCGCGCTATTGCAATCCTTTGCTTTTGACCACCAGATAAAGTTACACCTCTTTCCCCCACGTGAGTATTATAACCCTTGGGAAAATTATTTATAAAATCATCAGCGTTCGCTAAATGCGCAGCTTGTTTCACCTAAAAAAAATATTCGTAAGCTTTAAACATAAAGTAAAAGTGATTATTTACCTCTTCATCAGAGGCTTCTGGTTTTCCATAACGAATATTTTCCATAATAGATGTACCAAATAAAACTGGTTCTTGACTGATTAAACCTAAAACGCTTCCTCTTAACCAAGAGGGATCCAATGATCTTATATCGTGTCCGTCTAATAAAATGCTACCATCATTAATGTCGTAGAATCTATAAAAAATTGTTAATTGTTATTTATGTTAGAAGCAGTGATAAGGAGGTACAAACCTCTCTAATAATGCCACAACTGTTGATTTCCCATTACCAGATGCTCCTACTATAGCGACAGTTTTGCCAGATGGTACAGTAAGATTAAAGTTATGCAGTATAACCTGTAATAATTGCATTTAGTAATTATTATATTAATATAGATTAATATGTTACCTGTTCGCTCCTTGTTGGGTATGCGAATGATACGTTCTTGAATTCAATATCACCTTTTACTGATTGGCAAGGTAATATTTTACCACCTTTAAGAGACATTGTTGGTTTCATATTAATATACTAAAAATAAACATTTTTTTAGAATAAACTATAGAAAGTTGTGAGTTAGGTACTTCAAAAACTCTTGATCCAGCTGCTACTCCTCTAACTACTGACCCAAATAATAGCGATATCTGGGCAAGGGACCTTTGTATGGTTTGCGAGGCCATCAAGTAAGCCATGACCTCACCCGCTGATAGCTGATTGGTTGATAGTAAATACCCGCCCATATACAAAGTTGATAACACCATACTGCAATTTTGAAGCAAGTTATTATTTGTGCGAATTTGTAAATACTTTTTGGATACCTGTTAATAAATATATTTGTCCCGGCTTGAAACAAGCCTATTCCCATACCCAAATTCTCGTTATACAGCATTGCTAGAGCAGCTTCATGATTGTACAATTCTTTTTCCTCGTCTTCCATAGCGAAAGCTCTTACGGTCCTGATATTACTGACTGCTTCATCGGCAACAGCAGTAGTTTTTTCTACCTTTAAATAACAAAAAATATATACATTGAGTTCTTTATTTGAGTGCAATTTATTTACCTGTGCTTGGGCTTTCCTAGATATTGCTCTTAATAGAGAGCCAAAAACCGTACCAACGAGAATAACGGTTGGTATGGACATTAGAGACATCATAGTCATTTGAGGTGATATCGAAATTAATGAAACTGTACAACCGATAATCTGCGTCGTGGCCCTCAAACCTCCAGAAACAATTTGCTTGAAGCTACTTTTAAAATCTTGTACATCAGTTGTAAGCCTATAAAAACGTATGTTTGAATAATAGTTTGTTTTGATAGAAGTACTGTTACCTATTTATTATTTCACCAGTTCTATGCTTATCGAAAAAAGCTATATCTTGATTAACAATCGAAGAAAATAAGTCAGTTCTCATCTTATATGCCATTTGTTCTCCTAAATTTGAAAGCATAAAGATGTAGAAAAATGTACAAGCACTCTGCAAGTAATTTTTTTAACTTTGTAAAACTATAATTAATTACCAATATGTATTGTAATTCTGCCTGTATCAGATGTGCTACTTACCTGTGCTATATACATAGAAACCAATTGAAATACAGGGTTCTTCACTTCTGCGATAAAAGAAGTACTGCTTTCGTTTTCATTATAACGAATAAGCACATTCACTACGCCGCCAAGTATTTGGGGAATTTGAATATTCAATAAAGCTACAGCCAAAGCTCCCTGACAACACGAAAGGATATTAAATAGGTTTAATAAGAAGGTAATATTTAACTTACCACTACAGCTGCTATAAAATACCAAATGCTCGGTTTTAGGTATTTCCATAAGAGTTTCCAGTCGAAGGATGTTGTTTTATCGGAAGTTTCATACCTGGATAGCCTAGTGTTCTGAGCTTCACAGGCTACTTGGTTTCGTGAAATGTACAATTTAACTATTAATCCTCCAGTAAGAGATATACCCACTGTTTTAACATTTAAAAAGGATGTTTTTTTCTGTACGTTCGCTTTAATACTGTTTCCTATGTAATTACTAATTTTGATTTTTGGTAATCTTGAAAACAGCAGGTTTTTGTTAAAATATATTAGCCTACAAATAATAATATTGTTTTATAATGTTGTATACATATTAAGAGTATATAAGTTAATATACCTATTATGGTGAAGTAATTTCCACATATTTAGTGTTTACAATTAAATCTTATATAATTCAAATCATAAGTGAAATTTAAAAATTAAAAATACAATGATTCCTTAAATTCAAATAAATAAGGTGAATTTCTTCTTCTCTTTCGTTACATTTATTAGCTTATAAAAAAGAAGAAATTCTTATTTTCATCAAGGTAAATGAACACTTGTAAAAGATTGCCAAATCGAGGGGTACTTATAGCGTCACATAAATCTTACATTTTTCCATTTAATTTTATCATTCTTGTGACGTTTATTTAAATCAATCAACCTCGTAAGATTTTGCACCTTGTCTTTTTGAAGTGAATTGCAATAGTTTTTTTTTCTTTTTTATATTTGTCAACCTGTGTCAACATTGCCATTTCTGACAAAAAACTGCCATGATTATGTCAAAATTGCCAAATTGGTTACAACTTTCAATAAGTGAGTCGTAAATCGTTATAGGGAATAAAAAATCTACATCATGTCTGAATTAAATAATCGCAAACGGTTGGAGAAAAAACAGTATTCTACAGAAGGTAATAAACGTTTGCGTGTATTAAAACCTTTTCAGCGTGTTTAATTCGTTATAAACACAACAATGAAATAGCAAAAATTACGCATTTCAATCGGCTCGTCTAGCTGATTTTATTCAATTCGACGTTTAATTTACGCCTACAGCTAATGAACTTTATATGTTTGACATAAATTGACGTTTATTTTTTTGTAGATGAATATGAAGACACCATGACAAAACCCCATGCTGTACCCATTGTGTTAGCAGACGAAGATCATTCGTTCAAATTGGACGAAGAGGCACTCAAAAAAGTCCTAATGAAAGAGGAGCTGAAGGACAGATTCGTTGTAGTCGTGTCCGTAGCCGGTGCTTTTCGTCATGGAAAATCCTTTTTGCTCGATTTCTTTCTTAGATATATGAATGCTAAGGTGGGTTAGATTGCGATGATATGTGCTCGAAACGAGTTGTTTGTTGTAATTTGCAGATGTTAATGGATTTATATTTATAGTTGAGCGTTTATTTTATTATTTAATCAATTTGATAAGCACATAATATTTTTATTAACAGATTAAATATTTTAGATTGCCTTTTTAGAGTTCAACGATTAAGCGTGACTTATTTTTTGTTTCCTGCAAAAATTTATTTGTAGTTGTTTTAATTATAATTAAAATGATATAACTAAACTGAGAAATATGTAGTGAAAAATTCAAGTCGAAAAGCTCACCTCTCGCATACAAACTACTTGTTTCAGAAATAATTTCACACTTAATAAGTAGTTGCTCTAAATTTTAGTTATGTGCAAGGTTCATTAGAGTTAATTATATTATTATGTAATCATTCGTAATAGTAGCATTATTTTTGTCAATTCCTAATTTAATGCGCTCTATTTTTCCGTAGAATTATTATCAACATCATCCGATTTCATTTCATTGAAATTTAATAATACCTTTATCAGACGTATTTTTTTGGAATTCTTAATGTATTCAAAACAATTGTTGTCATTCTTTCTACTCCAACTTTTTTTAATTAAATTCCGAATAATATTGGAAATAAATTTTTGCAGTACGTATTAAAACAAAACACATCAGAATGGATCGGCTCAGAGCAGACACCTCTGGAAGGTTTTTCGTGGAAAGGAGGCTCAGAAAGGGATACTACCGGTATACTCATGTGGTCCGAAGTATACACAACAGAATTAAGTACAGGTGAAAAAGTAAGTATTACTGTAAATTAACGCCTTAAACACATGTAATTGATTACTGTATATGTTCTAGGTGGCAGTATTATTATTAGACACGCAAGGTACATGGGACAGTAAAAGTACAGTCAAAGAATGCGCTACAATATTCGCATTAAGTACAATGTTAAGTTCCGTACAAATCTACAATTTATCCAGCAATATACAGGAAGACGACCTGCAACATCTGCAAGTAAATGAATTAAACATCTCGTCAGGGAAAACATTTTAACTACTGTAATTTCAGCTTTTCACCGAGTACGGGCGGCTGGCATTAGCCGATTCTGGAACGACTCCTTTCCAGAGGTTGCAGTTCCTGGTTAGAGATTGGCGCTTTCCGTACGAGGCTGCTTACGGTGCTGTGGGCGGACAACAGATACTCCAGAAACGTTTAGAAGTCAACGATCACCAACACACCGAGTTGCAATCGTTGAGGAAACATATCAGTTCGTGTTTCACGGAAATCGCTTGCTTTCTGATGCCCCATCCCGGGATAAAGGTCGCTACCAGTCCTACGTTCGATGGCCGACTAGCTGGTGAGTATATTAATGTTTGCATTAAAGTGTTTGTATAATTGTTTTGTGTTTGTAGAGATCGATTCGGAATTTAAGGACAATCTGAAAATACTGGTGCCGATGTTACTAGCACCGGAAAATTTAGTTCTAAAGAAAATCAACGGGGATAAAGTGAAAGTGAGAGATTTCGTCCAATACTGCAAATCGTACATGCAAATTTACGAAGGAAACGAATTGCCCGAGCCGAAGTCCATGCTAGTGGTAAGATTTAGTATTGAATATTTGATTTACAATCTCAAGTAAGTAGGCGTCTGAATAATACGAAATGTACTTAACAGGCCACGGCCGAGGCGAATAATTTATCAGCTGTGGCGGACGCCAAAGAGGTCTACATAAGCATGATGGAGGAAGTTTGCGGCGGCGCTAAACCTTACCTGAAAACCGAAACGATCGAAAGCGAGCACCGAAGGGTCAAAGATAAGGCCATCCACCAGTTCAACAGCAAGAAGAAAATGGGAGGCGACGAATTCAGTTTGATATACAAGGATCAGTTGGAGAAGGTATTAATAAGTTCTATTTAATGAAACGTTTGCGATTGATTGATTTTTTTGAAGGATATCGAAGAGACGTTTAATCAATTCAAAGCGCATAACGAGAGTAAGAACATTTTCAAGTCCGCTCGTACTCCGGCCGTATATTTCGCACTTGCGGTTATGTTTTATATCATGTCCGGTTTGTTGGGTTTCATAGGGATATATTCGCTTGCTAATCTCTGTAATATGGGAATGGCGATTTCGTTTATAACGCTAGGAACTTGGGCTTATGTTAGGTAAGCATCGACGAAATTGTTCGGAAACCAATCGGTAATGTTATTGGTATTTTTACAGGTACAGTGGAGAAATGAGAGAGATTGGATCGTACATCGATGAATCGGCGAATTTCATTTGGGAAAACGTAAGTGTACCATTCCATGATTTTATAAAAAAGCCTCAAAATTTGTTTTATTGTCTACAAATTTATTAATTACCTCCGTAACGTCCATTATCATAACTAATACGGATGTTTAACTAATATTGATTAATCCCATTTTTAGCATGCCTATTTCAAAAAACGAAAACTCAGAAAACAGAGTATGTATTTCCGTGAATATTTTTGCATGCTAACAGAATATCACAAACTGCATGATCTCACTTTGCAACATTTAATAAACCAGCGCAGTAACTACATCGGAATTTAATTGTTCCTCGAAACGAATTGCACATGCTTCTGATATGAACATTTTATATCTTATAGTAATTTATTATGAGTCTCAGTTAAGCTCCACGAGTCTATGAAGTTGCTTATTTTGCAAAAAATGAAAAAAATGAGCTTTTATAAAACAGCTTTTGTTATACAGATAACTGCAAAGTTGTATGCAATATGGTCTATGGGTTCAACAATGACAACTTAATTAGTAACATATAAAAGAAAAAGAAAGAGTGGTATTAGTCCATATTTATAAAAATGAAGCATTTACTTTGAAGCGAAAGATGACAGGAAAAGGTTTTGCTCTGATCCATATTCATAAACTCCGCCTTTTCCTGCAAGGAAACGCTAGGAAAAAAATAAAGTTAATGGTACAGTACAAAAAAAATGTACAAAAACCATTTAGACGGGAGTCTAAATGTTTCTAAACAGTTCCAAATGATTCTGGAGCATTCCAGATTGTTCTAGATGACTCTGGAAAAATCTAAATGATTCTAAACAGTTCTAAATGATTCTGGAACGTTCTAAATTGATCTAGGTAGTTCTAAAATATTTTAGACAATTCTAAATGATTCTAAACGATTCTTGAACATTGTAGATGGATCTAGACAGTTGTAAATGATTCTGGAGCGTTCTAGACAGTTCTAGAAATGTTTTTTTCCAGAAGTTCTAGAACATTTCTAGAAATCCAGAAATGTTTTTTTATAAATACGAAAAAGATAAAACCTTTTGCTTTAAAGCAACAGCAGTGTCCTCGAAACAAAACCTCTTCCTTCTCTTCTTTTATCCATATACCTTGAAGCAATTCCTTCATTTTTTGAATGCAAAAGGTTATGCTTCTTTTTATAAATACGGCCTATTGTAGAATTGCAACTTTTAATAACCACTGTTAGTTTGTTTTTTTTCTTTGTTCAACTCATAGAATTAGTCATATTGCAAACAACTTTGTACTTACCCAATTTGTTCACGTACATTATACCTTCTGTACGAAAAAGAAATTGAATTTTTTTCAAAGAATTTAAATTTTTGTAGTTCCTGAAGACATTGGTGCAAGGGTACGTCGAAAACGGTATGCAACAGGTGGCTGCAGAAGTAGCTGAGAGAACATTAAAGAACGCCACGCAAACGGTCGTAAATGGTGGTAAAAAGAATGCATGATTAGCGGTTTTAAATATACGTAAATTATTGAGGAGTCTCCGCGCTGTCGCTTTTTGTTACATATATCGTTAGAAGGGTCCCGTGTCTAAAAATTATTCCATGTTTTATTAGTAGGATTGTTGAAACTTGCCATCGTTTTGAGAAATTTTCCACATGTACAGATTTTATCCTGCGTGTAACGTGTATATATGTAACATTTATTTTATTATTATATTGTGATATCTCGGCAATGTTGGTATTAGAGTAAATTTTTATATTTATGTTATATTAATAGATGTTTTATTTTAACCGAATTTTCATTTTCACATGACAATTGTGATTGTTAAATTTAAATTACTAAAGGAATTTCGTTACTTTATTCATTTTATTCTCTTACTTGAACTAAGCCAACAAATTTTAATAAACTTGTTCAATATTGACTCTCGGATTGTATAATTATGTACAAATTAGGAAATTTAAGTACGTACAAAATAATTTGAACAAAATTACTTTTATTCGATATTTATAGTTAATTCAAAGGGAGTCATTATTCTATTATTTCAGTTGGTATCGCCTAATAATAATTAAATAAGAACATAAATTTGGCCAATATACTGCAAGTAATAAAATTAAGGTTAAAACGGTTCTTGAATATACTTATAGTTTTTAATGCACTTGTTATTTTAATTAATGGCAACTAGTGGATTAATAATCCAATAATTGGTGCGAATTTATTTATATTGTACTTTATAGCAAAATTCCTGATCTTGCCTGGATGGTTTATCAAAATTTGTATTCTTTTTCTTCTATATTATATTTACATTAAGGCTAAAGATATACTATAATACCCTTAATTTTAGAGTTTTTGTGTTTTTTATGACTGGTTTTTTAAGATATTTTGAAAATCCACCATGATACTTTAATAATCTCATTGTGGATTTTTGTGGTTGTATTTATATTGGGTGGTTTTTATTTTTGTAGTACTGACATTGCAACATTTACACCGAAGTGCCTCATTAACCTCTATGTACTATAAATTTTGTTGTGTTTTGTCTATGTAATTACTAGGTTGTTATAATTAGATGTTTGAAAGTTTTCTCTATGAATTAAAAAGCCATCAAATTTGCTTTTATTTTTTATTTGAAACACTATTGTTTCTTCCCGATAATTCTTCCAAGAATTTAATTTGTTTTGGTATTTTTTTCATACATAATAATCGCACTTTTTCGATCTATGTGCCAATAACTATTTAAACTTTAAATGAGTAAACTACAAAAAATATTTCTGGAAACATTTATCACGATTAGTGATGGATGGCTTTTTAATAGGTACTAGTTTAGGATTAGTTAAATTTGAAACAACAGCAATCTTTATCGAAGAAACGTACTAATACGGAATAAGTAAAAATCAATAAAACAATAATTAGGTCGTGAGTATTAATCGGTTTAAATTTAAAATGTAAAGTCAGCGGTGTTAAGCTCAAGAGTTCTATTGTGTAATTAATTACAATGTACATTTGGTTTTGGTAATAAAATATTTTTAAACAACACGTGTTATTTAATTCCTAATGAATCAACAAAAATTATAAGAAAAATGTTTATTTCAACTACAATGAAGACAACAAAAAAATACAAATTCTTATCGATAAAAACTAATTCGTAGGAAACATTTTCTTTATCATATCATTTACCCTAATATTAGCTTTCTTCAGTTCCTTCTTAACGTGTGCTAAATGCTCAGTACATGCCTTATTTTCAGGCTCTAATTCTAGTAACTTAGTAAAAATATCTATAGATTTTTCAAAATTATTTTCATTTTCATACGCTACTCCTAACTTATACAAAGCCTTAACATTACTCGAGTTATAAGACAAAACTTTTAATGACAAATCTATTACTTTCAGCCAATTTTTGTTTTTTAGATAGCACGAGGATAAATTGTTGTATAAAGTCTCTTTGTATTGATTAATATCGGAAACTAAAATATCTTCTACACTAGAATTTGCTAACTCTACATCGAGAGGTATAGAATGCAAAATTTTTAAACCTTTTATAAACCTAAAAGCAGCATCTTTGTTATTATTCGCTTTGAAAAATTGGTTTCCTGCATTCTTATGGTGCATTGCTAAACCTATTTTCTTATCAGCGCTCCATTCGTATATGTAACCATCAAATTCTATATCTAACATTTCTATAACTAAAGATACATTTTCATTCGAATCTAAAATTAAAAAACTTGATTTTTCCCCAACGTACATGGACATTAAGCAGAGCTCGATTGACCTCCACAAATCCCCATCGGCATCCCCTATTGTAATAATGGTATCGGTAATATTATCAAGGTAAGAACAATCTGTTATGGTAATAGTGCATTTGCTGTTTTCGCTGGGTTTTAATCCTAATTTACCGGCTATTAAAACGTGCTTGGTAATCTTCCCGTCCGGTGAAACCTTCTCCATGCTTAACATTCGGATTCCGTATTGAACTTATCAGCTAGAACTTCTAGTGTTAGATTGTAGTACTCATGAGCGATTTTATCATTAGAGCAAATAGGACTGGGCACTGCTAGTTTACAGTCACTAAAATACTGTCCTGTGGTTCTGCTGGAAGTCAGGAGTAAATGAAGAGGAGTTTGAGCGCCTTGTTTGGGGCTCTTAATAACCACCAATCTAATGGGCCACTGAAGAGCGAATAAGAACGGATTGCTTAACGGGAAAAAGTTTCTGAAGATTGGAGTCTCGACGTTACCAGGATTGGCTGCGTTTACTATAACGTTGGTATCTGGAAGGATAATTATTGTAGTGTATGTTAGTTGGTATTTTATGTAACTTACTTAATAATTTCTTGGATAGTTCCTTTGTGAATAAATTCAAGGCGAGCTTCGAGACACCGTAAGCTGTAAAATGATCTCTGAATTCAGTCTGACATTTCGTTACAGCGTTTAAGTCATAAGTATTGACAATTCGGTGCGCTTCTGAGGATACGTTGACGATTCTGGCGTGTACAGATTTTTTAAGAAGATCCAGTAGATGATGTGTCAGGACAAACGGACCTAAATTTAGAGAATAATTAATATTTTGATACATTTTTTAGCCATGTAAAGTACCCAAATAGTTCGTCTGCAATGTTATTTCAAAGCCGTCTTCAGTTAACCCCTGCGGGTGATGAAATACTCCGGCGTTGTTAACCAAAGCGTAAATCTCAGTGAACTCTGATTTTAAAGTTTGCGCAAACTTCAGGATACTCGATAGTTTTGCAAGATCCAGTTCTTTCACGAATATCTTGATGAATTTGTTGTTTAAACGAGACTGAATGTACTTTTTGGTCTCCAAACCTTTGTCTACACTCCTACAAGCGAGGATTAATGTAGCGCCTAAAAAAGCACAATCGAAATGAAATCTAGCTAAATATAAAACAGTAAAGCTAAAGCACCTCTCTGGGCTAGCTCAAGAGCCAAAGCCTTGCCTATGCCGGAATTAGCTCCTGTAATAATCACTACTTGACCGTCTAATCTCGCAGTGCAACGACAAACGCCTCCAGCAAAGTATTTACTAAAAATATATCGAGATAATGGTCGTAATAGTATCAAGAAAGCGTACTTACACCAAACCGTAAGCTACCGAACCAGCTACCACAGAACCTGCAACGTATTTCCACATCTTCAATTCAACTCCGAAAGCAACAAAAAACCCAATGAATTCTTTGCGAAAATAATAATAGCTTAATTCCTACCTAAATATCTAATCACATGTGTTTAATTTACAGCTCATAAATTACTGTAAACAAAAACCGCTGAGACAAAACACAAAATGCAATCAAAAACCGAAAAACTTGCTCCCCAAATACACGGTAACAGTAGGGTGGGGACGAGAATAACTCAAGGTCAAGGTTAAAAAGTTATTCTATTTTTATTATAAGGGTCTGTGAGTGAGAAGTTGTAGATAATAGTGTAATAAATAGGGAATTATCATCCGAATTATCTTACAAAGGGCTCCTCACCTTGACCTTGCACTATGGCCTTGTATTTAGGTATTAGTTGGCAATAGCAACCATTTTCTTCTTCCGCAATTATTGGCCTAAGCTGACTATTCTATTCGGCTACTTGTATTGTGACATTGAATAATGACAGATGTAATAGTAGTTAATATTACGACAACAAAAAAAAGAAGAGTAAAAAACAGTATCAACAATAACATTGAATTGATTTGTTAAAACACCACTATTTATCACTTAATTCCAGTTGAAAACTTCGGTTTAATCATGTTCAAGAGAGTCTGCTGTGCCCTGTAATTCAAATGCGTTCATCAGTTAGTTATATACTGTCGAGTAGTACCAGTGAGCCGAACATGTCTCACCCCGATTACGAACAGTACTCTCATGATCACGCCTCCCTTCTGGTGCTTGTGAAGCACATAGGTACGCAATTGAAGCCCAAAGTATTCTCGAAATATTTCGATAGAATCAGCAAGTTGGCTAGCGTGAGAATAACGGATTCCACTGGAACTGTGAGGAACATATTGTTGCGTTATGTTAAAGAATATCCAGTGGAGAATAACGATTGGGGAGATTTTCAAACTCATAGACGTTTGCTCGGGTTGATATCGTTAGGGAAATATGATTCCCAACAGGAGCTCAACGAAATATGTAGAGTACATGAAAGCTTTAAAGTTAAATATAACACGACTCTCTTCGATTCGAGGTGTATTTTGTTTGGACCAACGAAAGATTCGGAGTCTCCATCAGACGAAAATCCTACTTCGAGTAGTTCAGGAGACAGTGAAAATTCATCGGAAAATAAAATTGAGAAATATACAACACCTAGTAACTTCAAAACTAGAGCGCTATTCTACGACGTTTCCTCGGCCTGTTTAGACTTAGAGAACCAGCTAAACGAATTCGTCAATTCCCTCTTTTGGGTGCTGGATTCCAAAAGAGTGGAAAGGTCTAGAGAAAAATTAGAAAGAGTATCGTTACTGTTAGCACCATTCGAGAAGAAAGATTTCGTTGGATTGGATATGGAATCGAGGAACAACAAAAAGAGGTGTACAGGTCGAATGACGAAGCATTTAGGAGACTTGTATTTACAAACCGGCCTGTTAGCAGAAAGCATAACTTACTACTCTCAAGCCGTAGACATTCTGAAATCCATCAACGATTGGCTATGGCTCGGAGCGGCTTACGAAGGCTTATGCGCAGCGTCTGCCTTAGTCCTTTACCCCGATATGCAAAGAAACGTGCCCTTGCAAAGGAATGCAAGTCTACAGGAAGGCTCCCCCAGGAAGTCGAGCCAAACCCCACCGGCTATCGGTTTGCTAAATAAAAAAACTATCTCGAATGCATTAATCCCCGAAGAGATATCGAAGAAGTACAGAGAGGCCATTATACATTACAGCAAGTACCAAAACGCCGGGATAATCGAGACCGAGGCGAGTTTCAAAGCAGCTAGGATCACCGTAGAGCAAAGTCACGCCTTACAAGCCGCAAGCTTCCTACAAAACGTCGTTTACATTAATTTACAATTATCTGAACAAGAAAAAATTCAAAGATTCGAAACGCTCGCCGATTTGTACTCGCAAATCGGTTTTTGTAGGAAAGCGGCCTTTTGCCTAAGGCTAGCAGCCACACGGTAAGTCCTACAGAAATTAATTGATACATGGTAATTTTAAACGATGCGACTAGATACGTTTCTCCGCAAAATCCCTCTCCGAATTGGAGTCGCTGCTACGCTTTGATGCTCCAGAGCTTATCCGGACACCACCTGAACTTGGACCCCGTTGAGATGAGGGCCGCCGATCAAGGATGGCCCGCTTTGCAGATTCAACTAATTCAGGTCTGTAAATAAATCGATCGCCCTTACAGCTTTTAATTTCTTAATTTACTATGCAGGAATTGGTGGTTGCTGCTAGAAGAACAGGCCACTCGGCATTGGCTACTAGACACATGACCTTTCTTCTACAAACAATGTGGCCTCACTTGAAGTAATAGCATTTATTAAAACAAAATTCCGGTTTATTTATAGCTATTCTGTTTTAGTTCTACAGAACAAAAAGAGCTAGCTGTTCAATTACAGAGCCTCTCGGCTCAGTGCGAAGGATCGCCCGTTCCGTTGGTTTTAGATAGCGGATTGGTGGTTCCTCCGGCGAATCTTACCGACATACCTCTTTGCGCCGCTTTTACACCGAAAGACTTGCAATCCCATTTGAGGCCCAGGCGAATCGAGAGCAACAAGCAAGATACAGGACCTTTTTTATTTACCCCTATTCATTTTGGAGGTGGTGGGAGTTTAGACAGAAGATCGAGGAAGAGCATCTCCAAATTAGGTAGAAGCTCATCCAGGACTCTCTAAAAGTTGTAACGAACGTTATTAAATTGTAGATTTTCTTTGGGTACAAAATGAAATGTGCGAGGTGCAACTGAAACTGGTCAATCCGTTGCCTTTTGAATTGAAAGTTTCCAACATGAGATTGCTAACTGGAGGTGCGGTGTTTGAGTCATTGCCTGAAACTATAGTTTTGCCTCCTGACGTTCCCACTTCCTTGACTCTGAGCGGCTGGGCTAGAGAGAGCGGTGAATTGGAATTATCCGGATACAGCACGCATACTTTAGGAGTGAAATCGAACTGTCGCCTGAGGCACATGCCGGTTTCATCGAACTTTCCGCCTTATTACAAGGTTCAAGTGGTGCCTACGTTGCCTATTTTAGAAGCAAGTTTTTCTAACAGTCCTTTATCGTACATCGTTTTATGAAAATATGTTTTAGGTTTCTACTACATTTCCCACCTACGTGTCGTTCTCGAATTTCCAAGACGAAAACACAGTGACTTCGGCCAGCGTGAGTTTGTACCACGGCGAAAGCATCGAGTGTACTCTAACTTTGAAGAACATCAGCGACGTACCGGTGGAAATGTTGGATATCGAAATAAACAGTATATTGGAGCATTCGTTGCAAGATCAGATATTTAAATGGGACAACGAGGAAGTTCAGAAACTTTTACCCATTCCGCCCGGCGAAAGTATCGGCGTGACTCTACTGTTCCATTCGGCAGCCAACTTCTTAGCTCCTAACGTGGCCGTTTCGCCTACTATTCCTCAAGATATGAGTAGCGGGCCGTTCAGCAGCATGTCGCCTTCCATACCAGGTACGAAATATTAACTCTATATATTGAGGTATTAATTAAAAAGGTGATTTTTTTCAGGAGGTTCCTTGCCTTCGAGGTATAATTCGAGCTTTCGTTCAACTAATTCGGGTCAATCGAGCTTAGCAGCCGGGCTTACATCTCTGTTTCAACAACAACAACTTTCCACGTCCGTCGAGGCTCAGTTGAAATTGAAATACAGCGGATCCGAAGGTCTCACTTCGGAGTATTGCAGGTCCTGTTCGGTTTTCTTAATGCTGGATATGACGCCATCTCTACAGGTTACCAACTGGGACGTACTTCCTGCTGAAACGTAAGAATTCAATAGCTCTAAATGTTATTACTAATTTATAAAACTCTTATAGTCATTCCCAGTTTTATCTCGTGCTGGATATCGCGAATTTGACTGGCCAAGAAATGGAACTTCAGTACACTCCTACTAAAACTATGCTTATCGAAGGCCACGAAAGCTGCAGGGTGCCGATTCCGGTGGATAGATGCCCCTTATCCAAACTTTCTGGCTTATACCAGGAGTTAAACGAAGGAAACGTCGACGCTAGAAACGAAATAGACGTTAATAAAATCTGTTCAGAGCACATCACAGATCTTGTGGTGTTAAAATGGCATTTGCTCGGATCTGATAATAGAGGTGTCGCTTCGTTGAAGGGTATAACTTTAACATCCAGAATGTTGGATATTGTTAGGATGTCGCCTTTAGATTGGGGTATGTAAATGTATGATGTATCATATTAGATAATTGTGGATAATTTATTTTAGAGGTAAAAATTAATGGAGATGTCGTGAAAGCTCAGGAGGAAGTAACGTGTGAAGCTGGTGATTGTTTGAATTTAAAAATGTCTATTGTGAACAGTCTACAGAAAACCTTGCAACAGCTTACTTTGAGTGTACAATTTTATCAAGATTACGAAAATGGTACCTTGAATTACAGAATGGATACAAGACTGGCTACAGCCGGTTGTACAAAGTAAGAATATTACATCCCGTACAAAATTTAAATTGTATTCTCGTTTTTGTAGAAAATTGTTTTCATCGTTGGAACCGCAAGCTGCAGTCGATCACGAATGTAACGTGATATTTTTCACGCCTGGTTATTACAAGCTGGATATTCAGTGTTGCGCGCCTGAATGTTTAACAGCTCCGAAAATTAATCCTTTGATATCTCAAGGGCACGTTTGGAGATTTACGCCGACAGTCTCGTTCCAAGTGAATTAAAATCGTTTCCTTTAATTCACGCTTTTTGACTGAACAATGTACTTTTGCAATATTATCTAGTCTTAAGAGTTATATTTTAAATTACTGAGTAAGTATAAGTAAAGTTAATTTTGTTGGTGGAATAAATATTTTTGTTTCACTACACGTCAATCTATCCAGGCATGACTTTACTACATTACTGTAATGTCGGACATTATTTTGCACAAGGGTACAAATTATTAATCAAATATACTGATATATTCGGTAATGTTTAATTTCAAAATTATTCATTAAGTAAATAAAGGCAACTATAATAAACAATAAAATACTAATATCACAATGAAAAAAATTAAATCTTAAAGCACATTTCGTATGTAGGTGGCTTCTCTGGTATATTCGATATATCCAAGTCGTCACTTTGAAACCATTTGATGTCTCCTTCCGATAAATCTTCTAATTTGGAATAAATGCTAGAATCAACTTGTTTAGGTAGAGTAGCTGGTGCAGGGTTTTGTTGGTTTCTAAATATGTTGTTATTGAAACCTTGCGGTTGATCATTCGCCGGAGGTTGATTAAACATGGGCGTTTGGGGATTTTGTGTAGGTTGTACGAACTGGTTGTTTGGAGGTGCAAAAGAAGCTGCTACGGGTTGTGCAGCGCCAAAAATATTCTGTGCTTGTGGAGCAGGTTGATTCTGGTTCGCGTTAGCGAATATATTACCACTGTGTGCTGGCTGGTTGTTGGTGAATATCGATCCTGTGTTAGTTTGTGAAGGAACCGGTTGGGTGTTGAAAATAGAGTTGCTTTGTGCGCTCATGTTGTTATTTGCTTGATTAAAAATACTTCCAGTAGGTGCAGGTGGCACTTTTCCAAAGACATTGCTCTGTTGGTTCGCAAATATATTTTGTGTGTTTTGATTATTTACGTTACTTCCACCAAATACGTTATTTGCTTGATTATTAAATGCATTCTGTTGAGTATTCCCAAAGATGCTTTGGTTCGGTTGATTGAACAGAGTAGTTGTATTCTGTTGATTTATTCCTCCTGAATTGAAACTGAAGTTACTAGTAACATTGGTTTGTGTGTTTCCTGTAAATGTTCCGGCTTGTGATGATGGAGGAGTATTGTAAATGTTCACAAGCATGTTTATTATATCCGGTGATGGATTCTGAAGTGACCTCACTTTTATTAAAACTTCCTGAACTTTTCCCTGTATTTGTTGTTTCTGCAAAAACAAGTTTAAGTACAACACAAAAGAGATGAAATACCACTTACGTATTGCTCAACTGTGTTTGTTTTTACGGCTTCGTAATAAGCGAATCTTAATTCTTCGAAACTGAGGTCTTCAAATCCAGGAAATATTGGCTTTTCTTTGTAAGGAGCGTAGCAGGAAAATAGCCATTGTCCACCTTTTTCTGCCTGTGTCATATCGGATACTACAGATTTAACTAGCATATTCGTATCTACTGCTGGTTTTTCTTGTGCTGGTTGTGCGAATTTAGGTTGATTAAAGTTGGAAGTTCTTAGCACCGACGTTCCTCCCGATTGAAACGGATTGTAAGACTCTAAAACATAAAAAAAATAATGCATAAAATTTAAAACGTCCAATTTCTGAATTAGTGTAAATGATTACCGTTTACGTCATGTTGAAACTTGCACATGTTTCCGAATTTACAAGTCCCTTGTAGGAAAAATTTACAAACAACCATTTTTATGGTAAATATAAATTATTCTATCCCAAACACCAAATTACACACAAATTCACCAAAACAATTTTTGTTGAGGTTATGTATAATTTTGACATTTGAGCATTTGACCTATTCTCCTACTGTCATATTTTGGCCTTGTTCGTTTAAGAAAATCGAATAATTTTTGATAAACATTAAGTAACTGAACGAAAAGAAGCAGAAATACTAAAAATGTAAATATTGCAGGTTTTGTTGTGTTTTGAATTTGTTATTGTAATATGCAGTGTATTCACAAAATATCTATTAAATTACTTCTTATTAATCGATAAACAGTGGTAGTCGAAATGCCTGTAGATATCAAGGAACTCACAGAGGGCTGGCTTGAGCTAGAAAGCGACCCCGGCTTATTCACATTACTTCTAGAAGATTTCGGCGTAAAAGGGGTGCAAGTAGAAGAAATATACGATCTCAATAAACCGCTAGATAGCCCCGTCTACGGTTTCATATTCCTCTTCAGGTGGGTCGAAGAAAGACGGTCCCGAAGAAAGGTGGTCGAGCAAAATGAAACCTTTGTTAAAGACGAAGATGTTGTCAACAACATTTTCTTCGCCCAGCAAATGGTACCGAACAGTTGCGCAACGCACGCTTTAATATCGATATTGTTAAATTGTCCTACTATACATCTAGGTGAGACCCTGGCTAGATTGAAAGCCCACACGCAAGGCATGAGCCCCGATAATAAAGGCTGGGCTATCGGCAACACACCAGAATTAGCCTGTGCTCACAATTCTCACGCTATGCCCCAGGCTAAAAGAAGACTGGAGAAAGGAAGCGGAGTCTCTACAGGACGATTTACAGGTACTATTAAATATTAAAACAATTCATCAGTTGTATTAATTTCTATTAATTTTTAAGGAGAAGCATTCCATTTCGTTAGTTTTGTACCAATCGGTGGAAGACTATTCGAATTAGACGGTTTGAAGCCATTTCCTATCGATCACGGTCCTTGTAACGATATGGAATGGACAGATAAATTCAGATCTGTAATAACCGATAGATTGGGCATTACAGCAGATGAATACAATGAGATTAGATTCAATCTAATGGCTGTGGTGCCTGATCGAAGACTGGCAATTCAACATAAACTAAAAATGTTAAGAACTAACAAACAAATTGTGCTAGATGCTCTACAACATTTGATGAAAATTAAGGAGAAAGGGACTGTGAAAACGGAGAATGTAAATGAAAACGAACGGGGTAGTTCTGCTGCAAATATCGAAGAGGTGAAATGTTATTGATAAAATGCGTTATACGATGATAATTTTTTTAATACAGTCCGCAGATTCCGTTAAAGAAGGTTCTCCAGAGGAATCGAATTTAATTAAACCACCTGACATACCACCGACAACCAGCAAAGTCACTTTATGTCCATTGGATTACTCTACACCTTTAACAATACAAACCTCCCCAGCTCCGAGTACTTCGGGCACAGACACGCCGTCTGATTTGGGTTCTGCTTTCAATTCCCCGACGCAAACCTGGACGAATTGGGCGAACTCTTCGACTAGTCAAAACAGCCCCGTTTCTAAGGATTTAAAAAGATTTGTAGTGCTTCGAATGACCGAACAAGAAGACAAAGAAAAAGCTGGTTAGTAAATAACTCAATTGTTGAAATTTATAATACGCTCGAATCGATTTCAGTTAATGCTTTAAATCCCGAAAATCAAGAAAGAAAATCTAGCGGGGGTCACGCTAGAGTGCATACAAGCGATGGAGATCCGGTTATAGCTGAAAAGAAGAATCAGGAATTGCTGGAGCCGCACACATTCGCACCGAAGGACCTTTTGGCTTTACTGAGGAATCTGGAGAATGAAATTTGCGTGTGCGAAGTTAGTCTTAAGGACGAAAACGACAAGCAAAACAAATATAGAGTAAGTTAATTAGATTGTATTTGAATGTATGTACATCGTTTTATCATTGTAGGTAGATGATAGTAGAAGAACTCATAATTACGATGAGTTTATTTGCACATTCCTGTCTATGTTAGCGGAACAAGGGAAATTAGCGGATTTAGTGGAACAAAATTTGGTTGTCCCAAAGCGACCTAATAACTCAACACCCATACCGAAACCCACTAAGAAAAAGAAAGACGGCGCTAAAAAGAAAAAGAAAGGTCGCTCAAAGGTGAAAAAAAGAAGATAATTAATTGTTCGTTGTTGATTGAGGCTTTTTAGTTATTTTTTTTTTTGAAATATGCAGTAACGAATTACTTAGAGTATAAGAAAAATCCTATTTATTGTTTAGCTTAAGCTCATTCTGTGAATACGAATCTGTCCTTTATATCAGAATTGAAATGTTTATATTATGATTTTTATAAAATATTGTAAATGCGTTTTGCATAAAACGGATACAATTTATATGATAAAATATAATACTAAATAATAGTCGTAAAAATACGAATTTATATTTCAATTTGAGTAAAAATTTGTTGACTAGCCTATTAAAATTTAAGTTCTTATAATTTAGATTCTCGCCTAATCTTCGAATGAGGAATAATTTTCCTCAACTCCCTTCTTAAAATTTTCCCGCTCGGATTCTTCGGAATAGCATTTACAAACACCACGCCGCCCCTTAGCCTCTTATGGGGAGACACTTTCTCTGAAAAAAGAACCGCATTACATCACAACTCACTAAATTATCCAAGTTTTATCTTACTGTTTACGGTTTCTATAAGCTCCTGTTCGGTAACTTCCATTCCGGGTTTCTTCACCACGAAAGCCACCGGCAATTCTCCCACATTCTCGTCCGGCGCCCCGACCACCCCCACATCCAAAACTTTAGGGTGGTTCAACAAGATCGCCTCCAGTTCAGCCGGAGCGACCTAAATCAATCCCATTAATCCCAAACTCGATTCCCTCCGGAACACAATTTACCTGGAAACCCTTGTACTTTATAAGCTCCTTCAGTCGATCGATGATGAAGAAGAACTCATCCTCATCGTAGTACCCCAAATCCCCGGTTCTCAACCACCCGTCCTCCGTGAAGGTCTCCGCCGTCGCCTGCGGGTTCCTGTAGTAACCCTTCATGATCAGCAACCCCTTCAGGCAAATCTCGCCGACTTGGTTGGGCCCCAGGGTTCTCCCGGTCTCCGGATCCCGCACTTTGATCGAGGTGTTCGAGACCACCGAGCCGCTGGAACCCGGCTTCGGGGGGTCGCCCCTCTTCATCATGGTGACCGCCAGCGTGGACTCTGTGAGACCGTACGCCTGCCTCGTCGACGAAATCTTCAGCCTAAAAAATTCGGAATGCATTCGCGGGAGGTTTCGAGCGAAAATGAAATTAGCGTCGATACAAAACGGCCGGTGCATTAAACGTAATGGAAATAAATTAGTGCGTGTTGGCTTTACAAACATAAAACGACGTACTAAGTTGATAGCGATCACTTTTAATAGCCATATAATTCCATATGCAAATACATGGCCGATTGGCCCGGTATGATATTGGAGCGTTCCATTGAAAAGGGCCCAATGGGAATAATTATGGATAACTATCTGTTATAAATAATAAATATGCATAATACAATTAATGAATGGTGTATCTAAAATTATTATTGCGTTTCGTACTATCCAAATTTTGAAAAATACCTAGAAAAAATAAGTTTTTATTTATACCTTTTTTTCAAAGCATTCTCGAGCTCCTTAGACATGGGCGCAGCTCCGCACAGAATCTCTTGTAGGGAAGATAAATCGTATTTGTCGACTTTGGGGCTCTTGGCTAGAAACGCAGCTAAAACGGGCGCTACACCTATAGCGCTGATTTTGTAATCCTGCAGGGTTTTTAAGAAAATGTCCTCGTCGAATCTCTGGAAAACCGCAACCTTTTCCCTGTTGACAATCGACCCGAGCGTTACGTTCAGCCCGAAACCGTGGAAAAAGGGCATCAGACCCAACGAGACGTTTCCAACTAGCGGTGCCGAGGAGATTTTTTCTTCTCTAAAAGATATTAGAAATTAAACCACTGTTCTTACAACACACCTCGACTCACCTTGAGTGAACTATCCTAACCAGAAAGTTTTTGTCGGTCGACATGACACCTTTAGGAAGTCCTGTAGTTCCCGAGGAACTCAAAATAAACGCGACATTATCGGACGGGTCCGCTTCTTTGAATACTTTAAACTCGCACGGATCCAACAGGATCCCGTTCAATTGCTCGCCCACGAATCTCGAAATGTTTTCCACTCCGAACGAATTCGTACCTTCCCCCATGATCACCACTTTCTCGATGAATTTGAGCTGTTTCTGAAGGGTCAAAAATTTTTGGACGCTCAGCGACGAGCAAAATATTATTTTGGGTTGATTGATGCTGAGCACGTGGTGCAGTTCGTGCTCCGTGTAGGCATGGTTGATGGGCGCAACAGTTGCTCCGAGGTATAGCGTCGCTATGACCGGTACGAAGAAACTTAAACTGTTTTCACTGCATACTGATATCACCGTGCCCTGTTTGCAGCCGTATTTACGCAGGGCTTGGGCCAAATTGCAGGTGTCCCGGAACAATTGTTCGTACGTTAGGGTGCATCCTGTGAAGACGTCCACCTACAGCAAAATTGTATAAACATTCAATATTTCTAGTATCTATAATTTATGAACCTATCCTTATTCAATGTAAATTTTTGAATGTAATTGTTGTGGGCAAAGTTTAAAATTATTACGAAAACTATTTTAATTTAATTTATTGTTTGTTGTTGAGTTATCGGTATTATCAACAATATTTAAGTGATCATTTATCTATTTCGATCAACTTGTTATTTGGTATATTTCTACTTGTACCTTTATAGGTATTCGGTAATAGATGGAATAGAAATTATTGAAATCTCTAGTGCTCTTCAAAGTAAAAAAATATATTTAATTGATCCGTACTTTAGATTAGCATTATGTCAATTAATTAAATTGGTGGCCAATTAACACACAAATAATAAATATAACTATAATAGTGACAACTAATTTTAAATGTTTTAAATTTTAATAACAGAAATGTATGTATAGTATGTAATACGGAAATCGTTTGAGTAAAATTTTGACTGTAGGAGATAATTAACAAGCCTAATCTGGTTTAGAATAAAAAAAAGGCTAATGAATTAATTCGAAGGCATTATCATAAAAGTTCCTACTCGACATTTGATCACAAAGTACAAAGTACTATTTAATTATAAATGTTGATCCTATGTAAATTTGGAAAATTTTCAAGAGGCCACTACATACTTACATATATGAATTTAATTTTGCTTAAAAAATTCACAGTATTTACAAAAAATGTTTTTCTGCATATTTAATCACTTTCATTATCAACAAAAATATTTCTTTTACATAGAAACTTGTTAAATGTTTTTAATTGCTGTTATAAAATTTGCCTTACCTATTATAAATCTCTATTTGTTTAACTTATCAATTATCAACAAAAGTGAATTAAAATTTAATGTTAAAATATGTAAACTTACCATTGCGACATCTTTGCCGTTTCCATCTCGCAACGAGTTATAAATAAATTCACCTAACATTCCATCGGGAATGGGTACCGAAGACGGACCGCCGTGGATAACATATTTATCGTCGTCGGACATTCTAAAATGATTACCTTACAATAACAACCGGAATGACCAGAAACCGAACGAACACTACCTATTGAGTACTGGTAAAGTTTACTAATAATTACACTGTGATCCGCTCAGTAACAGTGCTGCTATACTGTGTTATATTATTATTTCACACTTGATACTTGATAAGGATGGATAAGCAGTGTTGTATTGAGGAAATTTGTTAGCTAACATCTAAATTTTTTATCAGGTGGTTCTTCATAGATATTTACAAGGAGATCTTTCGATAACTTTCTCAAAAAAGATATTATGCAAAGATGAAATCTGACCTTGTTATTAACTGTGAGCTGTATTAAAAAAATATATTCATATAAATATGTATTTTGGCTGTAAGGAGATGCTTAACATATTATTTAAATATAAACATAAATAAAATTGGATTAATGTTGTTTGTTTGGGCTCTTAGTACTGTTCTTTTATTAATAGAATAATATCGAATAATAATGTATAAATAGCATAATAAAAATTGAGATATGTATTTTTTTTCGTATAATTGTTAACTTAACGCGTGTATGGAAATTAGGCAATTATAAGACATACCACTAGGTACATTTTATTTAATTCATAGATATTCATTAGCATTCTTAATTAAGAATTTTTCGTTTTTCATTAATAAAATTAGCAATGAACAAACATGATAATAGATACAAAATTATTTTAGTTAAGCATTGAAAGCATAACAACGTACTACACATCTAGTATTAATGCAAAAAGATCAGTCATGTACTATTTAGAATTTTTTTAACAATCAATGAAATATTAATAATGATCTACAATTTGTAGAGTAATATAGACAATTTTATAAAAAGAGGAAAACCCTGTATAACTAGGTAAATAGATAAAAAATATGCTTTCGACGAGGAGAATAATGGAAATCTCTCATTTAAAAACGGCCCTATGCATTGCAAAAATCGATTTTGACTTTGTCGTTCGAATTGAACACACGCGTTAGGGGAAAGTGGGGCAGTTTTTTCATGACATTTACCAATATCATTTCAGAACAAAGCAAAGTTAGAAGCAGAAATTGTGAATTAATTGTTTGAATTCATTGAATCAACACATTGATACATGTAAAATCATCCAATTATAAAAAAAAATTAATAACAATACAGTCATATTTTTTTCCTTGGTTTCTATTTAATTTACCGATTTTTTTGCTTGCCCCACCTTAAATTTTTTCCCGTTCTTTCGAAGCTCCTGCTGAAATGCTCTATCCGCCCTTTCAGCCCGTACGCATTGTCGTGATCCAGTATAATAGATAGGGTAATTCGGAAATGGCATACCGAAAAGGCATTCAAAAGAAAATGATTTCATGATAGGAACAGATTTAGTTTCGCGGCGGCTTTTTTTCTTTCGAGAGTTCAATATACGGCACAGACGTGACGACTAGAGAGTTTCCAAAATGAGAGAAATTCTACCTATTTTTTATCCGCTTGTATAATTTATTTTTTTGTTTATTCCATTAAAACAATACATGAATATAAATCTTTATACATAATATGAAAAACTTGTTTTTGAACTCGTGTGTAATTATTATATTGTACTATAAACTTTGATTACTATTAAGCCAGTTACTTTTTCTATTTTCAATGTTTTTATTGTTTTTAATTATACCAAATGATTCTAAAGTCTTTATTATGTTTTATGTCTGTGCATAATATTTCTTAATTCTTTTTTTATGCCTATGTATGAACATTTTTTTACAAACATTTGCATAAATTTAAATATGTGACGCTGTGTTACACTTCAATAATTTGTTGTAAATTTAATAAACACAAGTAAATATTTCTAATAAATAAAGTTACGGTATATTTTTCAATAATTTATTCTACTACTTATCTCCTGCTGCATAAATTACGAATACTAGAATACTAGAAAAATTCCATAATAATTCCATCTCACAGAAATTTATTCCTTTTTTCAACTCTTATTAATTTAAAAAAACTGCATATTGCATAAAATAGGCAATTACATTATTGCCTAGTAAATTAACGAAACTGTTAACATAAAAAATAATGCAATTTTTACTGGGAATGCAGTCAAGTTGTCTGATGAATTGCACAAATCCGAAGAGCACTCTTGGCAATGCTCCAGGTAATTATTCGGTAGCGATTGATTACTCAAGAATTCGCAGGTGTTTGGTAGAGAACAATGCCTGTATATTATAGACGGACCAAACGGAGCTGAAATTAAAAAAAAAATTTCTGCAGGCACTCTCTAAAAGGCGGGAATGTGATCCAAGATATACTAGACCTCTCGATATTGCTCATTTAAAAATAAGAGAAGGGCTATCCTGTTACCAGGAGATGCATTACTATATTTGCTTCTACTTACGTTTGAAACGATAAGAAACGCAAGTCGTGTTATTTGGCGGGCACATCTTGTGAGGGACATTTTCTAAGTTTTCCTCGCAATCAATTCCTTTTTCTGCTGGTCCAGAACATTCATAACAGTTTAAAGCCTCAGTACCTTAACAAAAAGGGCAATAATTAAATAAATGAACTTTGGATGGATTGGGATTATGAGTAAAAAATTATTTTTCTGAGATTTAATTGCACTGTAAAATAAATGATACCACCGCTATTATTTTTAATATGTAGAAAAATATTTAATTAAGTGTCTAATTAATTTTAATGATACTTATTTTTTGGATATGTAAAAAATCGAGAAAAATTGCAAAATAAAAACAAAACTATGTAATTTAAACACACATAAAATAAAAAGGAACAGAGTAAATAGCAAATTTTATTAAAAATATTCAAATATAGATATTATTTATTTAACATTTTAATTTATTACTTTATTTAATCTTTATCAAATTACACGCTTCAATATAAGCCTAATAATTGAAAAATAGATATATTGCTTTTTTATTCATACCTTTATCCATATTCAGAAGGACAAAAATAATTGCTACACATTGAAAACCCCTTCGAAACATTTTTTCTTCTCTATGTTTCTTGATTAAATGCTTCAAATGAACTACCTATAATGTGGTCCATAATAATGTAGAGCAACAAAAAATTCGAGATAAAATTTTTATGAGTTTACATTCACCGGAAAGCCTTTTTTATTAGTACGAAGTGAGCCAAGCGCGCAAACATTTAGATTACCTACATTGCGTATCCATCACGCCGAGCGGAAGATTTAATTATTAAACAAACTTTTCTCCTGCAATTTTCTGATTGATGACGAGAAACGCAACATCGGCAGTTCCAACTCGCAAACTTAGCATGAGCATTTACTAAAACATGTTTTTCCTCGTTAGCTATTCTTGGCGGTTTTCGAGCAACACGCCCGTACGTGTAGGGGAGTTTCCTGTTGCGGTCGGTGCACGGCTGCGGCAGGATACATCGCTCCTCGAAGTTCCCGTTTTATTGGGAAGCGCCGACGATCTCGAGGTCAGGAATTGGCTAAATGCAGCTGTTGGTTCTTGTTAAAGGGAAGCTCCGCTCGTTCTTTAGTTTATAAATCGCCCGTTCGTGTCGGGCGGGCCGGCAAAAAAGGGTTTTCAACACAAGCAGACGGGATAGTGATGGATGTTGTTCGAAATTCCTGCTAGTTTTTTTCGTGGGATGGTCTGCAGATTTGCAAATGTGGTAACATATATTTTGCCAGAACCTACTGAACTATTAGATACTAAAAAATAGAGACTTTGACTGACTCATTCATTGATTAGTTATTAAAATAATAATTAACAAGCTTTTAATTTACAAGTATTTAAAAGGGGCTTGCCTTTAGCATTAGCTTAGTCATTTAAAGTTAAATTAGTACCAACATACAATAAATCACTAAAATAATTAGGAAACATATAATGATAAAACGTGACTAAACTCTTGTGTAAACCTTTAGTAATTTTTATAACTTTGAAGTGTTTTATCTGGATTGATAAAAAACATAAGGACTTTATTAAAAAATAGCGTGTAAATTCTCCGATTGAGCAAAGCATTTCTAAAGAAAAAAGTGAATCTAAAAGCAGGAAATAAGAAATTTACCGCCTCTAAGACAAAATAATTATTTTTTTATGAATACAAACGGAATGCTACAATCGCGAAAGTTCAAGTCCTCGTTGAAACTTTTTTAATTATGGATCCATTAGGCTAGCTATCTAGTTAAACATTACATTGCACCAGTGGCGCATCGTCCATAGACATTTTACCAATCACTAATATTACCCAATCATTTCTTATATTCTCTTTATTATATGCAGTATACCATGCACGTTTCCATCGAAACATTTTATTTTTATACATTTATCCGATGCAAATTAATTAGCAAATTATGCCCATACGCTTACGAAATACGACTCCAGTTACGAAATTAATTTTCGAATGCTATGCGATACGTAACTCCATACGGATTAGAGACTTTGATGTCTGAACTTGCCGGAACGCGGTCTCTTTTCCGAATGCCTTTGATAAATAAAATTCCACACCGACCATGCTCCGGGTCGCTTTTCCGGGCCGAAATGAAACATTAGAGGCAATTACTGCGACGCAGCTCTCCCGGCTAAAGTAAACTGTCCTTTAAAGTGATGGGTAACTATTAAGGAAAATGTGTTTGCTAATTCGAAGTGAGTGACTGACATACGTGCCTTATGTGACTCAGCCGGCGTGTCCCTTTCCGGTTTCATCGAGGTTTGTTTGATATGGGTCGTAAAAAACTTATACTATTTCTGGGGTTATGTACTCTAAAAGGTTTTATGTGGACCACCCTGTATGCTTTGATTTTGTTTCACGTGGAAAACATTTTAACTCGAAATATGTGTGGGATATTCGCATATTATAGAAATCAATCATTCCTCACAAGTTTTTTGCATAATAAAAATCCTCTCAAAATCTTGGTTCGCTTACTTTATGTGTCTTTTATTCGTCCGCGAAAGTATATACCCTTGATTTTTTATCTCTATGAATTATGTATAAATAAACAATAACCGTCTCTTTTAATATTGTTTCTTTCATTGTAAGAGAGTATACGTTCGTTTGATTTGATCACAAAAGCGAGTAAAATGGAATATTTTGCTGTGGGAACTCGAAAACACTGGCGGTTTTCTTAGATACTAAAATAACTGAGCGAAAAATTCAGAAAAATACCAGAATTCATTTTTATATATCCATCAGTAAGTAAGAGGATATTTTAGTTAATTTACTTTCCTGGCATCATATACTACTCGTAGATAAAATAGCGTATGGAACACCCGCAAGAGACCTAATAAATAACGATTTTATCGAACGAATAAAAATCTTGTCTTACGAATACCTACTATAATTCAGTGGAAATCCATTTTACTTTTTACATTCAATTTGACCGGCGCCGGCGCCCGTTAAATCATGCCCGGTAATTCCTCCGTTCGGAAAACTCAGACTTAAAAGATATGCGACGCCACGCGGCGGCGGCTCGAGGGACAAGCTATCTAACTCGTAAAATTTATTGTCGCGATAAGGGGTGATGAAGGGGAACAATATCCTATATATACCAACACTTCAATCTTGTTACGGTGTTACGTCTTTCGGCTGGCTCTCCAGGGAGGAACTTCCGAAAGCGCCGCGTCGGAGTCTTCTCGCAGGAAAAATTATGCCCCGGAATTTAATTTAATTTGCCCGAAGTTAGGTATCGATTGAATGTATGCTAAGCATCAATTATGAGGACTGTAGATTGATATCGTGGGATTATAGGGGTGGTAGGTAGATAAAATATTGGCTTCAGAACTTCTATTAATAACCATTTGTCTTCAATTTGCCAAGAAACTTTTGACGAAAATTAGAAGCTAGGATTTTAAACAGCTATTTAGGTTTGCTGATGGAAATTTTTAACGTTTGTCATCTTTTCAGTTATTTTTTAAACTGTTTTCATTTTATTTGTGTGTGGTCTATTTTTGTCAGTAAAATTTCATTTAAAAACATTAAGAACAATAATTAAGAAAATTTCTATAAAATCACTTACTACATTTTTAAATTATTATTTAAATCATTTGCTACGATTAAAATAAATTATTCAAATTGATGTTTCTCTGGAGATAATGCTGTTAGGCTAATTGAGCTTCACCTTATTTTCCAACGTCTGCATTTAACAAACGTGTTCGTGAAAATCGACAAAAAAAAAACTATTTTCCCGACTACAACGCTAGAATAGACTTATCATCCATCACGACGAGTCATACAAGGCGCCCTACGGGTTTGAAATTTAATTCCATTTATGAAATTTCCTTCTTCGAACGAAGAAAATAGTGCATCGAAGGTGTTTCGTTGTGCAGGCGAATTTATTTTCACACCTACTTCAGACTAATAATAATGGATTGGACGAAACTTTAAAGCTTAAAGCGCAACAAACGATATTTTATGTCAACGAAAGGTTTCACGTATACTAAAGAAAAATCGTCAACACTATCTAACACTGAAATGAAAATCTACTAAAATACTTTCCCAAAAAAAGCAGTTTCTTCGCGAGTCCCATTTTCCGGGTCTGGCAGTTCCGTCATCTGCCAGCGCGCACAGACAAAAGCTTTTGACCGACAGGTTAATTGAAATAGCGCTAGATGAAAAAGCAGGTGCTTGAATTAATGATGGAACGTGGGCATACACAATATTAGCTCCGTACGGACAGGAACGGTGGCTGGATGGAGATGGAAACCCGCAAACAAGCCTTATAGGTTCGTACGGATGTTTGGTTTAAACCGATGCATGGCCAGAACAAACTGGCCAAAATTTCAACTAAGCGGGAAATTGGGCAAAACTAAATTACTTGCAGTAGTACTTTTAGAATGATGCATTTTTTATGAAGTGTTATCAAGCGATGTTTTCCTCATTTGAGTGTGCTGTATCATATTGGAAATTTTACTAAGTGCTTCATTGCTTTTTGGAACTCTTGAGTTAATTAGAAATCAAACTTTCTAACAATCCACTTGTTCAATTTAATTACTTACCACACAATAATATCCCTTGTTTGTTGTTTCTTTGGAATGTTCGGTGGATCAAATTAATAGCCCCGAAATAGAACGGAAACAATTCCTGCGGTCGGGTCTCTTGTCCAGTTGATGTTTCGTGTTTATGACACGGTTGAATGAATGGAATGTGATGTTACGCAAATACAGGAGAAGTGATTACACGCCAGAAATGTCTATTTAGAACAGTAGGTTATGGGCTAAATGAACCCTAAATTCACAAAGTTGTGTATTTTGGGGCTGCGCTGTAAATCTGTGACTAAACTGATGTATTCGCAGCAGAATCCGATATACCACTCTCGGTAACTGATTGGCATTTTTGAGCAGCTTTATGTTAACGTGGGAGAATAAAATTATCATCAGTGATGGATAAATTATTAAAGAGAAAGTTATCATTAACCTCGACTAATTGACGATTTAATAAATACTAAAGTCGCGTAATTACGTTTATGAAATTAAAATTTTATCTAATATCCTCGTTAAATTTTAATAGGGAATCATTATTGTCCGAGTCGTACGTTATTAATGGATAAAAAATTGTAACTTTATTGAAGAGAATTTATATTTCTAAATTACTCATTTTCCTCTAGTTTTTCTTTGTGATTACACAGAAAAGTGGAATAAAAATGAAGAAAATTCAGAACACCTGCAGTGATTATTACTCTAACAATGGTTTTCTCGAATCGTGAAAATTGTGTTGTGATCTACATCTATTCAAATGCAGAGTTATTATAGTTAATGATGATTACAGTAACACATTATACATAGTTACAGATGAATATAAATAAATTATACCACTATATCGGCGAATAAATAAATATTTAAAATAATATACCACTAACAATACGTTAATCTGTCAAAAATTTAAAATATGCTTGACGCAGTAATCGTTTTATTATAAATCGGTTTTGTTTTATAGCAGCGTATGAAAGATTTATAGGTAAATTTCGGCTTCAATGCTGATTTACAATTCCAATTTGCCGATTGGATAAAGGTTGCAA